TTAGTAGTTTAGTTAGTTTTTTTTTTTTATATGACCCGAACCCTAACGTCAGAGACGAGTTTACAGCCTATAATAATTAATAAGTTATTTTCCCTAGGGAAAAAGCTTTATTAGCTTTTTAAAAATAATTAAGTAATTTTTTCCCTTAGGGGAAAAGCTTTATTAGCTTTTTAAAAATAATTAATAAGCTACTTCCCCTAGGGGAAAAGCTTAAGCTAGTTTTTAAAAATAATTAATAAGCTACTTTCCCTAGGGAAAGAGGTTTATTAGCTTTTTAAAAATAATTAATAAGCTACTTTCCCTAGGGAAAAAGGTTTAGTAATTAGCTTCCCCTAAGGGAAGAGTTTTAGTTAGTAGTTTAATTAGTTTTTTTTTTTTATATAACCTAAACCTTAATATTAGAGATAAGTTTATAGCCTATAATACTAATATATACTTAATTATAAAATTAGTAATTATTTTAATAATAAAAAAAAAATTTATAAATATTAATAATTAATATTTTATTATAAGGCTTTTTTACTTTTATATAACTAAAATAATAACTTAATATTTTTAATATAATATATTAATATTTTAAATAATAATAATTAAAATAAAATATATTTATTACTATACTAAAAATTAATACTTATTTAGTAAAAAAAAAATTCTTATACTTTGTTTAAAAAGCTATTATAATATTAACTATAATACTATAATAAAAAAAATAAATAAATTTACTAAGATTATATACTAAAAGTTAATTAAGTATAAGTTTTTTTATTTAGCCTTAAGAATAAAGTTAATAAAAGGGGGATATTATATTATAACTTAATTTAACCTCTTATATAATTTAAGATAAGTATATACTTAAAATAAGGTTATTTTACTTTAATTAATAAAAAACTAAAGTGCTAAACTTAATTACTAAAGTACTTTATATAATTACTTTTTTAAATAATAAAGTAATAAGTTATATTACTTTATAAAAGAATAACTTACTATATAAAAATAAAATATTTATACTTATTAAATAGCTTAAATAGTTAGTTATTAATATAATAATAAAATTAATTATTATTTTAAGTTATTAGTTATATAATAAAATTACTTAATTATACCTTACTGCCTTTTTTAATATAAACTATAAATAGTCTATTACCTTAAGAAATTATCCTATATTATTTAGTATAAACTAGTTTATTACACTTAGCTTATTATAAATTAATATTTACTAATATTATAAATATAAATTACTAATATTTTTATTAATAAATACTTAACCCTTATAAAACTTAGTTTCAATAATTACTTAATTATGATAATACTATAAATTATACTAACTTATATTATTATAACTAAAGTTTACTATATAAACTATAATTAATTTATTACCTTAAGAATTTACCTTATATTATTTAGTATAAACTAGTTTATTATAATAAAGTATTATTAACTAATTATATAAATACTTTATTTATTATTCCTTATTAATTACTTACTAATTTAGCTTAACTTATTTACTAATATAAATCTAATATAAAGTTTATCCCTTAGGAATTTCTTTTATATTAACCCTATAGGAGCTTAACTTATAATAATAAAGTAAAGTAATTTTAATTACTATTATTCTTTAATACTAAATCCATAATTAATAGCTTTTCCTACTAAAGCAGTATTAACAAGCTCCTCAATAGTACTAACTAATTCTATTAGTAAAGATTCAAGGAAAGCTATATCTGCCTGGTTTCCAACTAGTCCAGCATTTAATCTCTCCTGTTTAAGGAAAGAAACCGCCTTAAGGGGATAAGCCGCGTCACCGTGTGGGTTGAAAATATCAACTCTGCAACTTCCATTGGCAAAAGGCATATAATCAAAATCCTCAAAATCTTGATGGTGAACAATGGAGTCAAAAAAGGTTGCCCCCGAGGACCACTCTGCGCACTGTTTAGCGATTCTTCGAAAGCCAACAAAGTCATGAGCAGCAGATTCGGCGGTTTGATTCTGAACGAATCGTAAGAGGTCCATTGCGGACCATCCAGGTCTAAATATGACTCTGATGGGTGCGAACTGATAGCATGGACCCATCACATTCTCTGTGTCCAATTGGTCAATGTTTCGACCAGATGTTACCCCTCCGAAAGAGACATCTGATTTGTGAAGTCTACGAGCTATCGCCAGAGCAAATGCTGCAGTAAGCACGCTGGCTGTGGTAATGCCTTCAGGTGCCATGGAGACACTAGTTTGCCTTGACAAGAATACGGCCCTGTCTGTATTTGTTGTCGACTTGCCAGGAAGCATTGAAAGCATCGAACCACTAAGAAGGTTACTCCAGTAGTCCAACGCACTGTTTTGCAACCTCTCGTTCTGACTTCTTGCCACATAAGAGCTGAATGGTTCAAAGTTTACAACCTCTTCTCCAGCGTAGAATGTTTTCAAATCTTGAAGCAATCGAGGTAGTGATACTCCGTCGTACTGGGCATGAGATAAGACTAAGACAAGGCACCCTTGGCCATCTCGGGTTTGGATATAAAACATCCTGATGAAGGGCGACCCAAGGAAAAAATCGGACTCGATATCATCGGTGCAAAGATTCGTGACAAACTCATCAAGGCTTGCGTCTGTTGTCTTCACCGCCACTTGAACGTTAATGTCGTCTAAGACAACCTGAAATAGGGTTGAGTTGTGCTCGACAAATACTGTGCGCAAAATGTCATGAGTTTTGACAAGATTAGCACAAGCACACACCAGTTTAGTTTGCTCTATCGAGTCCCGGTCGAAGTACAACATTGTGTACTGTATTGATGTGCGTGGCCTCTGAATGGTTGCTTTAATGTCCAATGCCTGCGAATCCGTCACGTTGAATACATCTTTGATGATCCAGTTTGGATTAGCAAGCTTTGGGCGAATATGTTCAGATAGAAAGAGATCTATGTCGATAGATCTCAACATTGAAAATGGTCTGTAAGACCATACGTTCTCCTTGAGCAATTCGTCAACCTTTAAAACTGTGGCAGCGTCGCGAAGGCGCATGTGTCGAAATACATCTGCTACACTCATTCCGTGACCATGCTTCCGAAGATTTGACGTCAGTTTCATAGCTGATACTGAATCGCCGCCTAGACGGAAGAAATTATCGTCAAGGTCAACTTGATCCATATTGACATTAAGCACCTCTGCCCACGCGGATCGCAGGATATCTTGCGACACCGTGAGATTTGCCGGGCTCACAATTTTCGACCATTCTCTTGTGAGACTTTGGCGTAGCTGAGAAGCTATATCCTGAGAGATGTTGGACGCAAACTGATTGACTAAACTGCGATCGATTTTCCCCCGTGTGACGGGCATTTTCTCTACAACGACGTACGCATAAGGTACCATATGCGACGGCAAAGAGTTTCGAATGTGTTTGTCAAACCTCTTCAGTAACCCAGCAAAGTTGGCAGATATAGTTGCACAGATAGCAGTTTCAAAGGGTGGTGAGCCAGACACTGCACAACTCACTTTGCACTCTTTTGGTAGCAACTCAACACTGTCCTTATCCAAGTCCTGTTGTTCAATAAACACAATCAGCTCTTTATCTAGAGGTTGCTTTTCCTCCACAGTTGACGGGTGATATAAAGCCGCAGCAGCGATGACGGATGGCGACAGTAACTGTGTGAAATGCGCCTCAAAATCTGTGATGTCCACCGAATGACCATTGACAGGTACAATATTTTCAGTTCGACCCACAAACACCAATTTGCCATCTTCTCGTAGCTGTACTATGTCTCCTGTTGCTCGAACTTGACCTGATCGGCCGGAGAACTGAGGGCTCCCAGCTGAAAGCCAGGCAGGAGACTCGATTGCTTCAGAAGTAAACAGACGTGGTCCTTCAAGCCAAAGTTCACCAGGGCAGCCTATGGGCGATAAAAGGGACGGGTTTCGTGGAATGCACACCCAGGGAACTAGAAATGGAGGATATGTAGATCCTGGCTGTATTTCCGCGCTTGCCTTAAACTTCCCTGAGTTCTGATCGAACAATACCGGTGGGAGTTGATTGAAGCGCCAAATTTGATTCAGTTCGGCTTCTGGAAGGCAAGATATCTGGTGGACTTTTCTCCCGAGATCGCTGATAAGGTGTGAACAAGCTGTCTCTAGTTGTGCTAGCATTCGTTTCATCTGGCTGATATCTATCAGACTGCCATCAAAGCTTGCACAGATCCTGAATCCATCAGAGTTCATACCACATGCTAGCATAATGGGATAAGGATTGAAATATAACGCTTCTCGAACAACATCTCCGTGGGTAAAACCAAGGTCGGTGCCGTCGTACTCCAATTCTGGTTGTATCACCAGACCTGTTCCTGCTTCACAAGCATGTTGGGCATCTGGGTGAACCTTTCTGATGTTTTGCATGCCCATATGTTGATATGGAGTACGAGCGAGAATAACTTGTTGAACGGCCTTCAAATAATCATTGACGGATTTTGTCCTGTCGATGCGTATTCGGATAGGTACAGTAGCAATCACTGGACCAATAATGCCCTCCACACCTAGCAGTGTAATGTCTCGACCCGTGAGAGTCTCTCCGAAGACGACGTCATCGCCATGAGTATACTGTGAAGCGACCAAGGCCCATGCACCACGGATAACGGTCGCTAGAGTAAATGGAAATCCGATAGTTGATTTTATGGTTACCTGGTACTCGAAAACGGTATCCGGATTTGGTAAGAAATCTCTCGAGGGTAAGCGAGGGAATTGAGCGCCTATTGCACCATCAAGCTCTCTCCTCCAAAACTCTTGCATCGCAATCTGATCTGTGTCGCGAACATACTTGACAAAATCTCGCATAGTAGTGAGTGCGGGCTGGTGAGGCAGAACACTTCCGTGTTGCAATGCTTCGCGAACCTTTTCAAGTATGATCGGCTCTGACCATCCATCGTAAAGTACGTGATGGACAGTCCAAACCATATATTGTTTGCCGTCTTCATTGTTAGTGACAATAGCGTATCGAGCTAGGCTTTCCCCGAGATCCATCGCAATGGCTTTATCGTCTTGAAGATACCGATCAAGATCCGTGGAATGTTTCCACGATATCTTCTCCTTGAGAACAACTTGCTGAAGACCGGGGTCTTGGAGTTGGGCTAAGCGTGTGCGTAAGATGGGGCTTACACCAACAACTGACTCCCATGCTTGTTTCCACTGTTCCAAATTTACATCACTCGGGATGCAAGCAACACGCTGGGCAATATAAGGCTTCGTCGATTTGAGAGAAAACGTAAACAAAGACTCCTGAGTTGGAGTACAAGGGTAAATATCCTCAATAGCGGCCTCATTTGTCCCACAAACGCGTGATGCTTCGAGCCGGGCACTATCGGCAAGCTGAGATATCATGGAAAATTCCGGAACTGTGATCTTCGCGTCATAATCGCATATGAAGACAGCATTTGCCATTTCCGAGAGGGTTGGATTGGCAAATGTTCCAGTCACGCTAAGATCCAACCCTCGATCTCTACATGCAGACACCAATCTCATAGCTGCCAAAGAATTGCCACCTAACGCAAAGAAATTGTCTTCCTGGGTGATTTCGTCCGGGTCCAAGTTTAGGATGAAAGCCCAAGCATGTCGTAGGCGTTGCTCGAGGTTACTGAGCGCTCGAGTTGCCGTGTTCTTCGCGTTTTTATCAAGCTGCTTCAAATCCACTGTGGAACCAAATTCTCTCAGTCGCTTTCGGTCAATTTTGCCTGATATCAACGTCGGAATAAAGTTGATCGGTATGTATGCCGTTGGGATCATATACCGAGGCAATACTTTCGCCACCTCGGTATTAGCTTTCAACATTGTTTCGCTCAAATCTCCAGAGAGGCGTGCCAGTTCCAACTGGCGATTAACGCTTGCCTTTCCGACGAGTTGTGCAATGAATACCACTAAAGTAGGTTGGGCCGCAGATCCAGCTGGTGTAATTACCTCAGATATAACGCTGGTCTCCGAAGGTAGCCTGGCTTTCAATTGGCTCTCTATTTCTCCCAACTCAACCCGCTGGCCACGCAGCTTGACCTGAGTGTCTTTTCTGCCCATGAAGATGATCTCACCAGAACTGTCAGGAGCATACTTTCCAAGATCTCCAGTCTTGTACAGACGACCTTGGCGGCCGCTATGTTGATCGTGGCCTGATACAAGCCACGACGGATCTTGAATGAAAGCGGCGGCAGTCTTTTCAGGATCATTAAGATAGCCTTGCCCGACAATCGGGCCTTCCACAAGCAGCTCTCCCACTGCGCCTACTGGCATTAGTGACTCGTGGTCATCCGGGTCCACGATCCAAATAGCGGCGCCATTGCCTGGCCCAATAGTGATGAAGTCCCGATTCGCAGCTGCATTGCTATTCACGGTACAGCCAATGGTGCATTCACAGGGGCCATATCCTATGATAATCCTGGCATACTGGCCCCAAAGTGCAACATCACTGACGGAAGCCGCTTCACCCCCCAGACCCAGTCCTTCGAGCGACGCAATGATGTCCAAGTCCAGTATTCGAGCAACCGAAGGGGTGAGACCCGCGTAATTCACCTTCATACTTCGCATGGCTGTATTTATGTCGTTGAGCCTGTCTTCATCCGATGGAATGCAGAGACAGCCGCCATTTGCCAATGTCAGTATCATACTGTCAATACTAACGTCGAAGGCGTAGGACGCGAAATCGAGAACCCTGGAATTTGCGTTGTAGCCAACTGCTTTAGCCCGGGGGAACGCACTGCTGGAATAGCTGCGGTGGGATACTTGTACTCCCTTGGGAGTGCCCGTGCTTCCAGATGTGAAGATGATGTACATAAGCGTGGATGGTTGCACCGCCGGTAGATCGGGAAAGGCTACCGGGTCTTCAAAACGAGCAAACGTATCTGCCTCCAAAATAAGAAAATCCCCATGTGGGAGGATGTCCATAGCTAGGTTATACTGGTTTCGGGAGACAACCATTGTCTTTGCATTAACTTGTTCCGCCATGTTTCGCAAGCGGGCCATCGGAAGTGCTGGGTCCATAAGCACCATTGTTCCTCCGGCTTTCATCACAGCCAGCACAGCAACAACGGTCCATCTTGACTTTTCGAAGCACAGTGGAAGGAATTCTTGTGCTTCAACACCACGTTCTCTAAGTAAAAAGGCCAAAAGAGACGAATATCGATCAACTTCGGCATAAGTCAAGCTGCCATCCCAAGATAGAATTGCCACCTTATCTGGGGATTCTTGAGCTCGTCCGGAAACTACATCATGCATGCAGCAGTCGTAAGTCTGGGGAAGAAAATGATTCCACTGCCATATTTGATCCATGTCGTGCGGGAATGGATGAAGAAAGTCCTCAATGACCGCATCATGGTTTGAGATGCACGCTCTGACGGTATGGCTTAATGCTTCGATGTACTGCGTTACTGCATATTGAGAAACACTTTTGGGGATCCGTGCGGGGCGTATTCGTAGATGGTCGTTCATATAATATGTTTCGAGGTATAGGGTACTCTGTTCTCGCTTGTGTTAGCTATGAGACCCCTTTCAAATAGACGCTATTGATAGTCTTACCTCATCTTCAGCCTTGTTGTTCGCATTAAGCCAGCGTTCTGTACCCAACAAGAGAGAAACGGGAGTTGAATGTCTCTCCAGAGATTGCGATACGGCGCTGGCCATATACTTGGAGATGGCAGCGGTGGCTTGGCCGACAGTGCTTTTCAAGCTCCCCGATATTTCATTCGTTGAGAGTTCCCCTTTGACCAGTTCGCTCTCAATCTCCGGTTCTCGTGTTTGATATGTCCAGCTATAGCTAGCTTGCCTATCTTCCTTCATCCTCAAAAGGACAATAAGCCATGATAGGAGAAGGATTTCATCTTTCATTCCTGATGGAGTTGATGACTCTTTCGCGGAAAGATTAGGAAGCTCAAAGGTCCTCGGTATATAGACATTGTCTAAACTGGATGGCATAATGTGCATGTATGTCGGGTCTGTAGCTGGTTATTAAGTTGCGCGGCAGTCAGATGAGAACAAACTAACATAAATGGGAAGAAACCTTTTAGAGCTTTCGATATGCAACGTTATAAAAAATTGAAGTAGCCCAGTTTGCGCTCAATACAGTTTTGGCTTTGGGCGCGTCTCGCGGCTTACCAAAGTAAACGAACAGTTCAGATGCAAACAGCTGGGTCTCTTAGTATATGGCTGCGAGTTGGTTCTACGCGAGCAATCAAAGAGCAAAGCGTAGAAGTGCCAACGATTCCCTCATAACCATTAAAAATGCCGCAGCAATATAGGGTAAATTGCACACACTTTCCAGGAAATGCCTGGAATGAGTTATATCGTTACCAAATGATTCTCATATCTACTTTGCCTTTAACTTTCTAAGTCATAAAATTCCACAGTACTGTACGCTATTGACACATAACATGGACATCGACATATTCTCAACGCCTAAGCTCGCATTAGGAGCTTGTTCTCATAAGAACGGAGCACGCATGCAACGACACCCCATGCATGTCGCCACACAGTTGATACTGAACTGTGGTATCCACAATATTCACTAAAATACAGTATGCGGAACCCCCCCTGCATCACGAGTACTATGGATATATTTGCCGTTGGGCCAGAGAACCAAACTCTAGCACTGGCTTTACCCGATTCTTGCCGGCAATTCGTGTGTTCGCGGCTTAGCGGGACACGAGATAATCTAATCAGATCCGCCGAGTCTCGTGTTCATGAAGCTACTAACGTTTACATCTTATCAGACGCAGTAGGCCGGCAATAGTTCCCAGGTTGCCAGGATAATCACGCCAGCAGTAGTAGGTAGTTGTTAGTTTCATCTAGCCATTTATTAACTGGTTTGGTGAAAAATTTTCTCTAGAGGATCCCGTTCACGGAACATATGCAAATGCATGATGCGATGTCGGAAAGTTGCAATGAACCTCGTAACGTATCGGCAACAAGACTGTACAAATTAACCTCTCACATTTCTTTGGCATTGGAATGGCGGACATTGCAAACGAAAACGCCCAGACAGTAGCACTTCCGCATTCGACATACTGTCTATTTCAATATGTACATGTACTCAAAATTCTGGCCCAAAGGGGGGCATTCTGGGATTTTACACCATTATGTAGGTATTTGGGCCTGATCAAGTAGCTCTACAGTCTAATGGAAGTGATGAACAGACAGAAACACTCGTCACATTTGAATATACATCCAGTACTACGCGCCAGCCTCATAGCATTTTGTTTGTCGGTGGCCTTGGAGATGGCCTTGCTACAACGTCCTACACCGCAGACATTGTGCGGGCGCTACAGCCAACTGAATGGTCCTTCTTCACACTCAATCTCACATCGTCCTACCAAGCATGGGGTCTTGGGCATCTTGACAGAGACACCGATGAGATTGCTCAATGCATAAGATATATCAAATCTTATAAAAATGCCAAATATGGGCATAGCAAACTTATCCTTATGGGTCATTCAACTGGTAGTCAATGTGTAATCCACTACCTCACCAGGCCAAATCCTCACACCTTTGAACCACCCTTTGATCCCGAACTTCAGCATGTCGAGCGCCTAGCCCTTGATGGAGCGATTATGCAGGCAGCAGTGTCTGACAGAGAAGCGATTCAATGGGTTTTGCATCATGGAATTGGCGGCAAGTCGCGAAGCCAAGTTAAACTTGTCTATGAGAAACTAGAAGCGATGGCTAAGGAAGCTGCCCTCAGCGACCCATCTTCCGATACCATGCTACCCATCTCGATGACTTCACAGATTGGATATCCGGCCAACACTCCCCTTAGCAGCAGGAGATTCCTGAGTCTTGTCAGCCCGGAAAGCCCCAAGTCACCTAGCGATGATGATTTGTTTAGTTCAGATTTGACCGATGAGCAACTGGGGAAGACATTCGGAATGATCAAGCAACGAGGGCTGTTGAAGCATAAGTTGATGGTCTTAATGTCTGGGGCTGATCAGTCAGTGCCGGATTGGATTAACAAGGAGGAACTGCTAGCTAGATGGAAGAAAGCCACTAATTTGAACAACTCGGTGGAAATATGGGACGAAGAGCATAGTGGATTGATACCTGGAGCATCACACGCATTGAGCAATGATGACCAAGCAGAACCACGAAAGTTCCTCGTTGGAAAGGTACTTGGGTATTTGAAGACACTGAACTGAAGATAGAGGGAATTAACAGTCAGCATAATGTTATTGTTTATACTCAAATAGCTACCCATACGACATACAACGTGAAATACACATCTCTCTAGAAAACAAGCTCTATATTACTCGGCAACAGATTGGTGCATCACATTTAACCTATAAGTTGGCGATCTCTTGAACAGTTCGTCATGTAGCCCGTAGTCGACACATTGACCTGATTCAATGAGGAAAATACGATCTGCTTTTCTTATCGTGTGTAGGCGATGCGCTATTGCGATAACGGTGATTCCTTTCGTTGCCTTCTCGAGACCATCCTGCAATAACTTTTCTGATTCAGCATCAAGCGCACTCGTCGGCTCGTCTAGAATTAGAAGCTTAGGTTTACGAACGAGAGCCCGTGCAATCGAAAGCCTTTGTTTCTGACCACCCGAAAATTGGTTACCATTAGGTCCACAAAGAGTCTGGTAACCATTGGGTAGATCTTGAATAACATCATGGATGTTGGCGAGTTTGCACGCCTCTTCAATCTCCTTTGCCGAGACCTCTTGTCCTGGTCTGGCGCCAAGAGCGATGTTGAACTCGATAGTTCCTTCAAAGAGCACATTTTCTTGTGGCACCAAAGCGATTGTATCGCGGAAAGATACACCACGGCTCTTTGTCACATCGAAGCCATCTATGACAACTGATCCGGATTGTGGCGTGTACAAACGTTCGACCAGTGAAATTATTGTAGACTTGCCCGCTCCGCTTGGGCCCACGAGGGCGCAAAAACTACCAGCAGGAATTTCCATACTCAATCCTCTCAGCACTTCGACATTTGGACGAGCAGGATATGAGAAATGTACATTGCGAAATTGTACGGTCGAGGCGATGTTGGAGCTTGATTGGAAGCTATTCGCCTCAGTTGTTGCCTCGAGGTCTTTCTCTGCCGAGGGCGCCGTGCTTGACTGCATAAGTTGAAGACCCCCTTGCATCTTTGCCGATCCCATATTGACGAGGCTCAAAATCCTTGCCATTGCAGCCCGGCCACTAGAAAGTTCCGGAGCAAGGGCAAACATTTGACTCCATAGCATTGCGCTGACAAGAAGGGAGAAGACGACAATGAGGAATTGGGTTTGCGTATAGGTACCGGCGAGAATCTGTTTTGATCCCCACCAATAAGCCAATGCATTCACGCAGTTTCCAAGGAAGTAGGTAAGGGCTTGCCAAAAGCTTGCTTGCAGAGTGACTTTGAAAGTCTCTTGACGCGGGCCTTTGAGTGATCGCCGATAAACATTGAGCGTCTCGTGTTCAAGAGACAGCGACGAGATTGTCTTAATGGATGCGATTGCTTCTGTGCCAATATCAACAGATTTGCTGTACGCATTCTCGTGGCGCTCCTCAAAGTTACCAAGAACGCGGAGCTCCATCAGGCCGGCCCCAAGAAGAAGAGGCACCAATGCTAGGCAAACAAGCGCAATTTTCCATGCAATAATATGCGTCAAGACGATTGCCGCGACGAGGTTAATTGTAATCGAAAATAGGGTGCCAATGACGGAGCCACTAAGTCCAGCTAATGCACTGCCATCCCTGGTAATATAGGAGAGAAGTAAAGTAGGTGTTCGCCCGTTAGATTGGTGCCACTGGAGATCTTGCTCGAATAGCGACCGGAACGACAAAACTCGCGCTGAGTAGACAATTTGCTCCGAGACCCATCCGAACCCAGTCCAACTTACGATGTTGGCAAATAGCTCGATGATGGCGAGAACAAAGAACATGAGCGCATAAAAGCTGCCGCTTGATCGAATACTCGACGGGCTTTTGCAAATGTCCAAGCTACCTACGGTGTTTCCAAATATAACGGCCTCGCCGGAGAATGCACCGCCAACGATAGTAGAACCGACAAGTGCAGCTGCCACCATAAGAATGTGTGGCCTCAATGCCGGCGCGTATCCTGTGAGTAGCGCCCAGAAGGATATGGATGGGGTTTCGGGTTCATCTTCTGTCAGAGGGGAAGAGGTTTCTGCATCCAGATTACTCGAGAGCCGAAAGTCACCCGCCTCGTCAAGATCGTCGTTTGATACAGTTGCACTACCCTTTTCAGAGACGATATCAATATCAGTGACTGATGTGCCATCTAGTTTGGCAGCATCGCCTCTGGGGCTGGCGACTTCACTCCCATCGTTCGTAGTTGCCAGTGTTTGCAGCTTGACCAGGTCGGCATAAGCGCCACTTTTCTCCATCAAGACCGAATGGCTTCCCTCCTCCACAACTCGTCCCTTGTGCATGACTATGATGTTGTCTGCACTTTTTATAGTTGACAAGCGATGTGCAATGGTGAGTATGGTCCTGCCGCCCGCAATCTTGGAAATAGCATGTTGGATTCTCTGTTCGCTTCGTGAATCTAAAGCCGCGGTAGCCTCGTCCAGGATCAGAACAGCAGGATCCTTGACAAGAGCTCTTGCTAGAGCTACTCTCTGTTTTTGACCACCACTAATGAGTCGACCACTCGATCCCACAAGTGTAGCATATCCACATTGTAGCTTTTCGATGAATGAATCCGCATCTGCGAGGACTGCCGCGTTTCGAACCAAGGCAACAATTTTGACAACTTGAGGGCCACGTTCCTCCGCTGCAGCTAATAAATCTTTGCCCTCTCTCACTTCATTTGCAAGATCTGCAAGGCTGGAGCCAAGAAGTGTCGACTTCAAATCTGAATGGTCGGATTTACTGGAATTAACCAAGCCATGCGCAATGTTTTCTAAGATCGAACGATCAAGCAGAGATGGTTCCTGCTGGACCAGGCTTATGAAGCTTCTCATAGTGCGGGTATTGAGATCTTTAATGTTGTAGTTGTCAAGTAAGATCTCTCCTTTGGCTGGGTCGAACAATCTTGTCACGAGACTCGCAACCGTAGACTTGCCACTACCTGAAAGACCGACAATGGCTGTATGCTTTAGGGCAGGAACAGAGATGTTTACCTGGTCGAGGACGGTAATTTCAGGCCTGGAAGGATAAGTGAACGATACATTATTTAGTTCAAAATGCCCCGCCACTTTGGATGGTGTAAGACCGGCAGTTGAAGTGCCATCGATCAACGGTTCACGATCCATATCCTCGCGAAGCTTCTCGAAGGAAGCAACAGCCGCCATGAAGAGGTGAACAAACGGCGCAACCTGACTCAAGAGTAATGTAGCTATGAACGCGTGTCAAAATTTTCCTTCCGCAGCGCTCCGTTGATGTTGATGACGAACCTTCGACCAGAATGAAAATCACTGTGAATGTGGAACCGACTGTGACACCGCCAGACTTATGGCTGACCAAATCCGCGATACTTTTGCTTCCCTGCCAAAAGGCCAAGGCATTTGCAGAATAAGCGACAAAATACAGCACTCCAGATTGAATTCCGATAGCCAGGGCCTTCTTCAAGCCTTCTCGTTTTGACGATTTAAGAGCATCAGAGAACTTCTCTTCCAGGCGGGCGTTGGCACCAAAAGCTTGCACAACAGTGATATTGGAAAGAGCCTCCGAGGCAATCGAAGCAGCTGTGGCGGCGTAATCGGACATCAGCCCGGCGTATTTCTCGATGAAGTGGCTTCCAACAAAGGACATCAAGAAGTACGCCGGGACTAGTGAGATCAACATGGCAGCCAGGTCATGGTCTTTGACAAAAGCAACGATGTATGCCGTTACAAAGAAGGATACACTCGCGAGACATATTCCCACCTTCTCAGATGTGCCTGAGCGTATTGTCTGGATATCCGCGCTTATTCGGGAGGCGACTTCTCCTGGAGGTAAATTGTCGAAATACGAAGGCTCCTGTCGAAGGAGGTTTTGAAGATATCGTTCCCTGAGTCTTTGCGCCAACCGAGCGCCGTACGTACTCCAACAGAAGAGATGGGCACCTATTAGGACAAATTGCGCAATTGCCAGATAGAATATTGTAAGTATCTTGCTATTGATCCCACCCTGGAGACCTGAGGCAGACCCAGACTCTTCAGTTTCGGCACACGTCGCTGCATTAAAGTCGTTGAGGAGTTGACCGAAGATAACCCCAATCAATGGGAACGGAACACCGGATGCTATTGCGCACACTGTTCCACAGAAGAGCATTCCAACATCAAGTCGTGTAGGATTTCCAGCCAGTATGAGGCGAGGATAGCCTCTAAGCTTGTGGATCAGCCCCATGGCTCCTAGAAGCGAACAATTGTCCCTTAAAACAGAGACTCTGCCACCATTCGCATTGAGTGTGACCAAACAATATCACCACTGAGAAAGTGATATGATGGTCAGTGATCAAATTCAACTCAATTATTTCTGGAAGAGTTTCGTCCCCTATACCTTTTGATTCGAGTCCACTATGCGTTGCGCTTCGAGAGTGATGGCATCGCCTCAATGGCACTCCTGGATTCTGAGTTGGTTGTGAAAGGCGACTCCAGGCTAAGGATGTCAAGGCATTCGAATGAAATTGGCAATTTTTCAATCATCAACCGATATCGGCTTTTCAAAACCCATAATCAGATATAGCAGCTCAACAAGTCAAGCCGCTAGAAAGCGTGAAGAAGCTCGGTACTTCCGACGGAGTTTACTTGTACGTAAATCGCAAATGCTGGATAGTGCCGCCAAGCAACTTCGTACAGGCCCACAGCTTGCGTTAAAATTACGGCAACACGCGCAATGCTTGCCGCATTAGCCAAAATATAGTTGATCCACGCAGCGCGCGACAGGGGGGGCGAGGCGCATCAGGTTTTCTTCTAGCGCGCGAGTTAGTTGGCGGAGGCGAGACTTGGGTTGCAGAGCAATTGTATGATACAACGGTAACTATGGTGACCTGGGAACGGGGGAGGAGGAGAGCAGAACAAGGTTCAGTTAACAATTGGTGACAGTGCTATTCAGTACCTAGCAATATTATAGTACAGTTTTTTTTCTCCTCTTTCTTCAAGCTTAAGACTACGACAGCTCATGAAATGGAGTCATATCACTTGTAAAGTATCACCATGTTGCTACGCTATTCGATCAACAAAAAAGTAATAATTTCATCTCAGACAAAACATCTACGGAGTAGGTATGTGTGTCGAGTAAGAATGGCCATCAGCCACCGTGCTACGTACTCTCCGCAGCGTAAACCTTCACTCAGAGCTTGGCATTCCACGCGGCACGATCAGCGGATTCAAGTGGCCGCTCACGTCCGTCCCAAAAGAGAGGACATAGCTGGAACCACTTCTCCCTACTGCATATAGAGTGCACCGAACGTTTATGGCCCAGATCAACATATTTACCAATAGTGAGACCCTGAGAATTTTCGTAAGATAAGATTGTCGAACCAGTCGCTTTGGGTTCTCCAACGACGTTTTCTGTTCGTGAATCGTCTAAAAAGCAGTAATGAATGCAACTGGAATACCAAGCGTTGACACGCTGGGCGCCGCGGAATGAAGCATCGCCAACAAGGGAGTGTCGTCCTCGATCATAGGCCCCTGCATCGTAATGGGCGCCGTAGTGATCCTCCTAGAGACATATGAGAAACGATCAAGAGAAAGATTACCAGGGTGAATCAGGGTCCAAGATGATTCAAATAACGAAAGTGTCAAACAGGGTTCTTACTTTTGCCCAATACAACTCGTAGTAAGCGAAACGAGACTCGTCAAAGCGGCCGAATAAGCAAAGGACGTGAGGGTCAAAGTGCAATTTGCGTAGGTACTCTCGGTGCTTCTCCAGTGTCCCCGTTTCGTTCCATCCCATGGCAACTCGGGGGTCATTCTGCCAGGTGTTGAAGAGCTTCAAATGTTCATCGTCCTGCCAATCGACAGCTTCAAGAGAGAAATGGGCATCGATTTCTGGTATGTACCGACTATAGACTATTGAGCCCGGACACGGCTTTGGTCGACGCGTCGGATGGCGAGTATAAACGGGCTGGCTTGGAAACTTATTCGTGATTTGGTAGTGCTCAGGCATTGGCGGGTACTGGGCCAAATTTATTCTCAGGGAATCACCAGTACGGTCTCCTACAACCCAGATTGGCCGAGGGCCTGTCGGAGAGCCTGCGCCTTGCCAAAATGCACTTCGAAGAATCACCAGCTCGGTCAAAGATGTATTGTCTCCTTCTACGCCAGTCCGTGGCTTCGGGTGTTTTATTCCAAGGCCGGTGTAAGCCAACTCCCTCGACACCACTTCTTTCCCCTCCCCCAACAAGGTGAGCCTGAAGCATTCAAATGTTGGATAGGCCAGAAATATTGCGTGGATCACGTTCCAAATCTGGCCCAGAGTGGGAACTGTATCATCTTCCCACTGGAAGGTAGTCGCCGGACTTCGACGTGCTCTGGCCCATGGGCTGTTGTCGGACGTAGGTGGGCACTGATCGTCGGGTACTCTTGTCAAGTCTACCCACGAGAGAGTAGCGAGATGCAGCGGTTGAGACAGCAGTTGGCCATTTGTGGGCTCATTATCCAGTATCAAGGCAAGCCTGGTTGGTGCTGTATCGCCAACTGAGCGTACCCGGTATGTTGTTAAGAACGGATGTGGGAGCTTTATGGGAGGATAATTGGTCTTCTCAACAGCAGAGGGCGCCATGGTTATTGAAGAGCTTTTATGAGAGCTTGGTACTGTTTTGGTTTGGGAAAGTTCAACGGCAATGGCCAGGCAAGATGTATATAAGTACCTAAGGTAGTAGTGACCAAAAGCCAGGTTAGTACGGTAGACAATGCTAACGGCAGAAGCAGCAATCAGATAACAGTGACTCCATTGACGACCCAACCAACTAATTACAGGCAGTATTTTGTAGAATGCCGGTCGTATTTTCGATAGTCTTCCATTCAATACGATGGCTTGACACTAGCCGGCGACACCAACAAAGGCACTAAGGGGCTTCGGGTTATTTGGAAATATAGGCACTTGAACACGAAAGAACATATAAAGTTCGAGAACAGCTGTATGTCTACAAAAGCTGTAAATTCGCCATATATGGCATCTTTCTCGTCTGTTTGGGGAAAGTTCCCCGCAATGTCTCTCAAATCCAGGCATCTGCAATTTGAACATTTTGAGGTCTCTTTTCCTGATGACCACATCATTCAAGTCACAATAAACAGGCCGGATAAACTGAATTGCATCAACAAGTCTACCAGTCAAGAGATTGCGGATATATGGCAGCAATTTGACCAAGACGAGATGTTATGGGTCGGTATCATCACAGGAAATGGACGAGCCTTTTGTACAGGAGCCGATTTACAGGGTAGGCCTCCCTTCATAACTTGCTCAAAACGTGAAGGGAAACTGATGTTGATTGTTGGTCAGAATGGAACGAGATGAACAAGAACGGGGTAGTCAACGATATGGCTGCCCCCGGTCTTGCCGGCCTTCCACGCCGGGATGGGAAAAAACCCATCATAGCGGCTGTGAATGGCATATGCATGGGAGGTGGGTTTGAGATGGTGGCAAACTGCGATATGGTGCTCGCTTCGTCTTCAGCAATATTCTCGCTGCCCGAAGTAAAGCGAGGAATCGTTCCGGTTGCTGGATGTCTGCCGCGACTAACCCGGACTCTCGGCCTGCAGCGCACCATGGATCTTGTCCTGACCGGCAGAAGTGTGAGCGCTCAGACGCTGCATGAATGGGGTCTTGTCTCTCAGCTGGTGGACACATCGGAAGATGTCGCTCATGCCGCGGCCCGACTTGCGCAAGAAATGTGCAAGAACAGCCCGGATTCTCTGGTTGTTGGACGTCTGGGGGTTCGGCTAAGCTGGGAAGTGGGCAGCGTAGAGGAGGCTGTATCGATGCTGGCCAACGAGTGGTATCCTCGTTTGGTCAATGGTCCTAACTTTGCCGAGGGAATCCGGGCGTTTGTAGAGAAGCGCAAGCCAAAGTGGGTGGCGTCAAAGCTGTGAGGAGCTATCGTTTCATACTAGTATTCCTTGATTTTTCCCTTGGGACGTTTTACTTGTACTTGTGGAAAATGCATCCTTGTATTTCCGCTCTGTATTGGGATGATTTAGATCTGATAAGATGGAGCAAAGCGGTATATCTTATCAGATGCCCCGTTGCCCCGCCTCAGTGGACATGTTAGCAGAAGCTCGTCTGCGCCAGTTCCAAAACTATTGAAAAGGCGCAAGTTGCTAGCTTTATTTTAGCTTAGTACACTGAGACGGCACTGGCTGCGTTACATGTAAGTCCACATTTTTTCGTTCAAAATTTTGCACAGTAGGTAGGAAGACTTTTTTTACTATGCGAGTGGCCCGCACAGTCTCTCACACAGTAATCCTTGCTGTTAATTTAGGTTCCATTTTGATCTCCACGACAGCGGATCTGATAATTCTTTTGCCCTTACTAGCAGGTCCGGACCTTTTACGGAGCATGAGTATGTAGCCAAGACAACAACCTTCCCTTGAGGCCCACGTAAGGTATCCTTGCCATTTAATTTCACTCAATTTAGACCATCACTTGGTCGAACCAAACTCGCTTGTTCGTGTTTTACTAGTTCGAAGACATCGACTGATCAGATCATTACCGGAACTCAAGCGGCGGCAATAGACGGTGCAGCGTGGTCCGCACAAAGGAAGTTTTTTTCTTCTCCGCCTCTAAGTTGTGACTAACAGCATTAAGTAATGTGACTCAGTCCGGACTTAAAGAATGAAACAGCAGATGGATCACAGCAGAGAGTTCGTAATAGCCACAATAGGTATTTGTCCGCAATTCTAAGCTGGATAACCCAATTGCTGATGAAACGGTAGGTTTTAAATTACACCGCGCAAGATGTCAATATTTGCAACCAGTATGTAGTCTGACTTGTTACACCGTTTGTCATTCGGAGGCTATATCGTTAAGAACATTCCGACGATCGGTGCTTGGAGGGTTGCGTCTTATGGCTGGCCAGGCCTCGGAGGGGATGGCCGAAGATTGACAAAACTTTGTATAGCGTATAATTAGGAATGGAATCCTGCAAGGTCCGCAAAAAGTTCAACTAGTAATTTATCACAAGCACTCTATGTGCTATACTATCTTCTGGGCATATCCTATGCTGTATAAGGTTAATGACTTGTATGCGCTATTTTCTCCGTTTTGTGATTTCTGGTCGATTCTCCCTCACCTGGGCCAACTTCAAAAACATTGTTCCAAAGATCTTATCCATACTCTCTGTCCCATAAGGTACGACTGACAACACAGACATCTGACCTGCCACCAAGATGGATGACAAGAACGTCGCAGTCCTTGCGACTGACTCTGCGGCTGCAAACCACGACAATGGCGATCCTCAACAAGAATTGCCGAATGAAGAAGCGCAACGAGGCGTTCAAGGTGTCGAGGCCATGGCTCTCACTTGGTCGAGATTGACACTCATCGGTATCTTCCTCAAGTAAGCCTTCTTGAATCCCTTCATACGGGTTCTATCAAAACATAGCTAACATTCACGGCTGATGAAGTATCTGGTTGCTCTACTTTGTCAATGCGTTTCAGTCTACAATTCTCTCCAATCTGCTTCCCTACGCCACGAGCGCTTTCGAATCTCATTCGTTATTGAATGTTATTTATGTCGTGGCCGGTTCTATGTCTGCAGCCACTTATATGCCCCTATCAAAGATTATGGATGTCTGGGGAAGAGCTGAAGGCTTTCTCATCATGACCGTCTTTGCTACCCTGGGCCTGATTCTCATGGCTGCAAGCAATGGCATTGCCACCTTCTGCGCAGCATATGTAAGACGAACCGAACCCGCAACTCTTAAAAGTTACCGACCTATAACACATGTCTTTGTGAATGAGTTCTAACAACCGACATGCAACAGGTGTTTTATAGCATTGGATTCGGTGGTATGACATACGCCGTAGACGTTATTACGGCCGATGCATCCCAGCTGAAGAATCGAGGGCTAGCATACGCTTTCACGTCTTCTCCATACATCATCACGGCTTTTGCTGGAGCCAAAGCATCAGAGGGTTTCTACAACGACATCAGCTGGCGATGGGGCTTTGGCGTCTTTGCCATCGTCTTTCCTATTGTGGCTGCTCCACTATACTTTATCTTGAAGATCAACCTTCGCAAGGCCGAGAGGCAAGGTCTATTGACCAAGGAGCCAAGTAACCGGACAATATTGCAAAGCATCTGGTATTACAGCGTAGAGTTCGATGGTAGGTGATGTTTAACGCTTAAGACAAAGATAACAGTTACTAATCTCGCAATAGCAATGGGAGTGTTTTTGTTCTCCGCCGGTCTCACGGTGTTTCTTCTTCCGTTCAACATTGCCGACTCTGCGCCCAATGGATGGTCAACAGGATACATAATTGCCATGATAGTGGTCGGCTTTGTTATGCTTATTATCTTTACCTTATACGAGACCTTCCTGGCGCCAATTCCTCTGCTCGACTGGAACCTCTTGATTGATCGGACTGTCATCGGCGCCTGCCTTCTCGATGCCACATATCAGATCTCGTATTACTGCTGGGCGAACTACTTCACCTCTTTCTTACAAGTGGTGAATGATCTAAGCTTAGCAGAAGCCGGATATGTGAACAATACCTTCAACGTGGTTTCAGGAGTACTCCTATTGATTGTTGGCTTCCTGATCCGTAGGACTGGTCGATTCAAGTGGCTTCTATACATAGCCGTCCCGCTTTACATCTTTGCGCAGGGGTTGATGATCTATTTCCGCCGACCGAACCAAAACGTGGGCTATCTTGTCATGTGCCAAGTCTTCATATCGATTGGAGGTAGCATCTTCATTATTATCGAACAACTAGCTATTTTAGCTGCTGTTGATCATCAACATATTGCTGCAGCCCTTGCATTGCTAAATGTAGTGGGTACAGTTGGAGACGCCATGGGCGCAACGATATCCGGAGCCATCTGGACAAACACGTTTCAGAAGGCGCTCGAGCGATATCTTCCGGAATCAGCACTTCCAGATTTGGACAGCATTTATGAGGATTTGGATACACAGCTCAGTTACCCTGTCGGAAGCGCCGTTAGGCTGGCCATCCAAAAAGCATATGCCTACTCACAAACCCGCATGCTTGCTGCCGGAACTGGTGTCATGGGCCTTGCGATAATTTGGATGCTTATGATCAGAAACATTAATCTTGCAAAGGTGGCGCAAGTAAAGGGCATGGTCTTCTAAGCTAGAAGATATAGAGCAATAGAGGATTGATAGGTGTTAGATATGTAGCTCTGGTGGGGGATTCAACCCCCAATTATGTACGAAGTCAGTAATATAAAAAATACAAAGTGAGTCAGCCATTTAAGAAAAAAAAACTCAAAAAAGAAAAACCGTATCGTAACGTTCTGTCTCGGTCAGATTGTTTGGAATACAATAAGATTGAAAATTATTTTACCCAAAGAATATTATTACTAGTAGTAAAATACCAGTAGCAACGGACTTCATTAGAGAGATCCGTCTCTTTCCAGCCGGGCCCGGCGGAGCTGTCCACCCGGCCTGGCCTCTGTATGCTTGTTTCAATTGCTATGGTAATGAACGTTTTATGTACCCATCTCTGGGTTCGTCCCTCCCTGCACTGCGTTTTCCCACTCTCTCATGTTTTGCGCGGCAGCAGCATACGTCAAGAGAGACTGGGGAACCAGGTCACCTTTATTTATGTCTTTCAATCGGGCAATAAACGTAACCAAGTGCGCGTCGAGACGGGGGGCGTCTCCAAACCAAATAGCCACTTTTCCCCTGCTACGAGATGCTCCCTACACATCTCCAACACACTGGCTGTACGCTTAGTCATTTCTTCCAAATCATCAAGCCCAACACAGTTTATTTTCTCGTTGCGTTGACTACAGCATGTGTTAGTTGCATTCATGGAATAAATATATGATAAAAAATAGTTTACAAACATTTCAAGTTTATATTGTAGAGCCTTCTGATACTGCGGTGATACGTCACTGTCTATAAGGCACAGTATCTTTTCCTCGATGGTATTGGCGACGCTTGATCTTCCCGTAAAAGTCAATGTGAAAAAATTAATGCTATGAAGACTTTCGAGTAAAGAGGATATAATGCCCGCGTGTGACGGGGGCATAAGGCTTGGAAACAAGCGGGCAAGATAATACGTAATCTTCACGCTGTCGTAGATTGGCTCTGGAAGAGATGGACTCGTAAGTGCCGGAACCTAATTATTGTCAGACTATTGGTGGAGCGTAGGGAATCTTGTCTGAATAGGCTCAAGTACCTGTCCTTTGGGGTTGACATAGCATAGATATTCCTCGGACAGCTGTTCCAATTTGGATATAATGTCCATCTCGTGCTCTGAAAACTCGATCACCAAGGTGTCGTCTTTGGGTTTTCCACGAATCGCTATACAGTATCTTACCATTATGGAACAGATAGAGTACTGATAATGATAAAGCTTGTAGGTTTGAATGGCCATAGTGTCAAATGATGAGCTGAGCTTTTCGGAAGTCAAATCAAGCCGATGTAGGCTGTTGTGAAATCCGATTTCAAGTACCATATACCTTAAATAGTACTATAAAGTTATAATTGTATCACGAGATAAAAATGGGAAGGTGTTGTAGGGTTGAAAGTCAACCCCGATTTAAATGAAAACCCAGGCTCGACGAAATCTAGGACCTGAGTAGTATAGCATATCTTGATGGGACCAGGGTAAATGAGATGCACTGAGCGCGCATCCCCAGCTTTTTACCCCAAAAGTGGTACCTACTATTTCACACCTTGCCGCATTATAGATATGCAGGCAGATTCTTAGGTTGCCGCACCAGGCCTAGCTAGAATGCTTCATGGGGTAAGCCGGGATGGATGATGTAGCTCGCCACCCTACAGTACTTGTATCTCAACCTTGTTTCCGTTTCCGATTCTTGCTTTCTATTCTCTTCTTTTGGGTGAAGATTAGCTAAGATTCTGTTCACGTTGTTAATATTGTATACGGGGATTCTACATGCAGTATTTATAGTCGAGTGCCGATAGTAGCCATCACATTCATATCACAGGCATCTTTCCCATGACAGATTCCTAAAACTCAATATTCAATCTGTGGCTATTATAGATGTTCTTAATCCCATTTGGTAGGCAGTGGCGGCCCCCAAATCGCTGCAGGAGTTCCGGCAGATCGAATGGTAGGGCATTCCTCATTGACTACGTCGCCATCTGAGTAGTGCTCCACTATGAAGCCCGTAGTATCATACCAATAGTCAAAGAGTTGCGATCCCATGACATGCCTGCCAATTCCCCACATCGGTTTATACCCCTTGGACGCCAGCCATGAATGACCCATCATCTCGGTATCCAGATCTTCCACCTCGAAAGACGAGTGGTGAATACTGGTGCCGCTGCCGCTGCTATGATGGGCTGCTATGAGAAGACAATGGTGGTCTGTATACTCCTCACCTAGGTCCACGTGAAAGAAGGACATGAACTCTGTTGAAGGGTCACCTAACTTGTGGACAATATCGGAAGCTTTGAAATTGAAGTTGCCGCTGTACCAGGAGCATGTTTTCGCGTAATTGTCTGTCGTGTATCCGAAATGGCCGAGTTTGTGAACCTTTGAAGGGCCGCTAGTCATGCGGTTGAAAACACCTTCCCGTTGTGCAGGCTCTTGGTCAGCGAATGCGTCCATCCATCGTGCAGGGCAGTGGTATCAAGGAGGAAAGGAATCTTGGAAGCTCATTCATTAGTATACTGACCTTTGCGCGTCTTCTGAACCGCCCCGTTTACCTGTGGCCTTCCGCCAGCCACAACAGAGATGCCTTGTTGTGGAACAAATCGCTCTTCTTGGCCGTGCACAACCTCGATAATGTATCCACTAGGATCTGTTATGCGGACCATCTCGCCACCGCCGGGGCGCCGAGAGACGTCTACCAATTGGGCACCTGGGAAGTTGCAGGCTTTTTGAAAATCGATCGCTGAACGTGCGACAAACCCAGCTCCGTGAAACTTTGGGGCGCCCCCAGAAGCGGGACGGGCCACATAGAGAAAAGGATCAAGCCCGTAACCATGGAAGAAGATCTCTCCGTTCTCTGACTTTGCTGCAAGTTCGAACCCAAAGTCTTCCGCAAAGGTAAAGAATTTTGTAACATCAGGGTGCTCGTAGATGACATACGAGAGTCGCTGAAGTAAAATCTTTGACCCAATTGCCATGATGTCTCTAGGGGAAAAAAAAATTCAACGTACCCTAAATGGATAAAGATACACAATTGAGTAATTAATTGAGAGAATCAAAAGCACAGGTAGGGACAATTCGATGGTAGTCAGTCTGGTGGATGCTATTTGGGAAGCCCTACGAGTGTTGCCGACATACTTCAAAATCATGAAGGTCTTTTGTACTTCCATAACTAGGCTAACTACACCATCACCCGACCTCTGCAAGCCCATTCAGTCTGGGGTAGTGCCTATACATCCGGGCGGTCCGATCTGATCATCGACGCTTGTCTAGTCTCTATGGAGTCCGAGCTGCTCATGCGCATTCTGACTATGTCTCGATGGTGAGCAGTCATATATGCACCTGCAGGTAATGCTATAAGCTGCGTGGGACAGAGATGGGGTTCCGGCTGGAGAAGCCAGACGTCCCCGATTTCATCGGAAACCCCCACCCAGGCCAACGCATGAGATCGGAATTCATCGGAGCACCCCACTCGCGCAGCAAACACAAACCATTCCGCATTCAAACATGACCTAGGAATGGTAACATTGAGATGGGAAACTTAGACGTCGAGGCGAAGATGTTTACAAGAATCTTCATATTCGTCAGGTGCCGGTGAAGATTTTTTTCATCAGCTTTTCCAGCCCTCAAACAACGCCAGCATGAAGTATCGTCGACTCGAAGGGCAAATTGTGGAGGTGATAGATGGTGATGCCCATGGCATCGTACCCGTGGTACGGACTCCGTTGTTGGGCATGTTGCAGGATAATCCCCCTGTTGACTCGGATCCCTTGAAAGGAGGGTTGCCATTCCAGCCACGCTCATATCGTGACTTCATGCTTTTCAAGAACCATCACTCTGCATCACTCGCAGGCTTCACTCAGATTCACCGTCCGGTAATTAGTTGGATTGCAGCGGCCTACACGGGCATCACTGGCTGTCGGTATCCTGGCTTCAAGCTAGGCACATTATGGAGCAACAGCCAATCTTTTACCAATCCAACCATATGGCCTTCTATGCCGATGAGGCTCCGATAAAATTTCCGAAATATTGCACATATCTGGATTTAGAGCTAGAGCTGGGTGTGTTGCTCGGTGGCCACCTGTTCAACGCCACAGCTGAGGAAGCCAAGTCTGCGATAGCAGGCTTTTGCATCTTCAATGACTTCTCTGTGCGTAACATATAGGTTGCGGAGATGAACAGGTAGCCCTCCAACTTGCCAAGGTATCCTCTTAAGTCGATTGCTGACTGCAAGAAAACACAACAGTGGCTTCGGACCACAGCACTCGAAATTCTTCGCAAACAGCATATAGTCTACCGTCGTCTCTGCAGACGAGATCATGCCTAGAATCGAGAGACTCACTGGCCGCGTCATTATCAACGGGCAAGTTGTCCAAGGGTGCAATACTGATCGATGGCAATTTACCGTAGCTGAGGCTATTGCTCATGTATCAAAGAGCACCCGACTATACCCTGGAGAGTTTTTCGGCACAGGGACGTTTCCTCTGGGTGCTGGAATTGAGCATGCGAGCTTCAAATTGAAGGTTGGAGATGTTGTACGACTGGAAATTGACGGAATAGGCAGTGTGACGAACAAGATCGTAGCAGACGAGTGAGGCAATCAATAATGTTGTTAAGCATCCAACTCAAATAAACCATTTCCTCGCATTCAAAACAAATGATACTTTTTGTTGTTTGTTTTCTTGCATTATGCGCGCTAACGCGGCCGACATCTCTCTGCAACAAGGCCATGGCATTTCGTCCAGCTCTCTACAAAACGACGACAAGATTTTTAGTGAAGTGTACCGGCGACCCACTGCTTCCACCCCTGAATGTACCATGCTGTGCCATACTATCAGAGCAGAATAGAAAACGACGACGGGGAGCCAGATTGAGCATTTGTCTTTCTGCGTGCGCACATTCACGTGGTCAAGCACTCTCCAAGCTGCATCGAGAGCTTCTTCCGTAATAGGTAAATCCTTATCTTCAAGTCTCTTCATATCATCTTCCGTTCGAAGGCGCATGACCCCTTCGACCTGTGGAGTATACCCGGCATATTCGGCAAGACGCCCCAAGTGCGGGTAAAATAGGCAAATCCTGCAGAAGAAATAGTAGGCCAAGATGTTGGACGACATCAGCTCACCGAAATGTTCCTGCCATCGATCCAGAGCATATAACAATGCCGATTTTTGACGATGGTATTCACCGTCGGGCGAGAGAGTGGCATATGGGTTGGATTTCCGCGGCATTTCAGCATGTCTATGGCTGCTGGAGTTTTCAGAAACAGTGATAGAGGCCAAGTTTCTCTGTAGAAATAAGGTGTCCGAGAGTATGGCCGTTAGCAAGAGAAGCCCGTCTTCTGGGCTATGTACATCTTCTAGGAGAGCTGCACTGGTAAATAGCCCGTCATAGACTGCTCTAAAACCGTAATTTGATGAGAGCATGGGGACTTTTAGGTCATTACTTGAAAGACCCGGTAGTAGGTCAAAATGAAGTGCCGTTACAGTGTCGACCAGAAATCCAAAACGGAGAAGTAGGGAGTAGTGACTGTGGACGAAAGGGGTCAGTAGGTTCCGGGGGCGACTCGATGAGCCATACCTTGTGGCAATATTGGGGAAGCTGCTCGAAGTAACAGGAACCGCAGGAGCCAATCGTCTCGTAACCTTGGACTCATGTCAGGAGGCGTGAAGAATTCGTGAGGCAAGGGGAGGAACTACCGCCGTGAAGAAGGCCAACATGTTCGTAGTAACCCTCCACTGAGACGGAGGGTGAGTCAACAAACCATAAACCGCTAGCAGCAGCGCCTTTACAATGGATAGTTAGCTGGGACGTAACTGATGTTTGCTTCTCTACTTAGTGGACTAACGGCCAGTGCTCCCTCGACTCTGCGTGCCTCCCGGTTGTCCAATTCGAGCGTCACGATGAATAACCTGACCGCAGTCATAAATAAAGAGTGGCCTCGAGTGTCATTTTTGTCCTCGGACATGAGACAAGTCAGGCTCGCGAGAGCGACGTCGAGGTATGGTGGTGTAGCGGTATTAGAACCCCAGAGCGTGTGTACGTCAAGTCGATCCAGATAGATGTAGCTTTGAAGTGTAGAAGGAAACGTTGGGCGTAACTGGTCTAGCTCAGCTTCCAGATTGAGAGTGCAGGCATCTGAGCTGCTGAGCACTGACTGCGGGTATGGAGTTGTAGATGGGCTCTCCAATTGTGACTATGCAATTGTTTATAAGTTTCCGATATGGATCAAGTTGAAGCATTCCGATCCAGCGGATCTTACAAGAAATGATTCATCGCTGCCGGGTTTGAGCGGCCAGATGCCTCCGATACCTCGCAGATTGAATCTTTGTTGAGAGTGGTCAACGACCCCCCTCGCTTCTTCATTGCAAAGCAACCTTTGCTTGAAATCATCAAGAAAATGCTTGTCGGGAATCCTGTTTGCTTCTGACGTTACCCACTTGGTTGGTTGGCCTAGAGACAACAGGACAGACTCTGACAAATTGTTATTTTGCTCCTCGTTGGCCATTGAGTCTTACAGCTAAAGGACTGCCGGAACAATGACGAGATTTGGGCTGAGCGGAAGGTCAATCTTGATCTTTACAGATTGAATGAGGAAGATGAATCAAGGTAGAGCTCGTATTTTGACACGAAAACTAATCACAAAGTCAAAAAACGAAAATGCCCAAGACGCTAGCTGTCCACCCAATTTTTTTTTTGGAAGTCTTCAGCGAGAACAAGGCTCACGTGCATCGAGTGATTCAAAGTCAAGTCCGACCGCCACACCTTAACACTCCCTACCTAAGGTAGGTAAGGTTAGGAACGCAACAAGTGGGGCATACGGTTGGTAACTGCTTGGAATGAGAAACAGACGAATGGGTTGACGCTCCGATGACAGCTGAAAAAAAAAATCAAGGAGGAGGATTTTCTGAATGGGCCATTCGCCTTCTGTAGGAGCCATACCCTGCTGGGCCCTTCCCGAGCCAGGGCTCTTCGGCAGACGACCCCATCTGATGTGGGGAAACTTTCATGTTGCTGTATGGGGTGATCCGGCCGGCGCTCTCAGACATCGGAGCATCCATCCCGATGTCTCCAGACCGAAGAGGCCCGCGTTTCTTCTGCATATTGCCAATGAAAGCTTATATGAGCCTGGTAATGACACGAGAAACAGACTTCAGATCTTGTGTTCCTATTCTCCAGATTCCACTTGAATTGTATAATCAAGCAACTTTTCTCCACGCATTTCTAGACGTTTCCCACAATATCCAGCATGGCCGCCAAACAAATCAGAGATATCCAAACAACCTTCCACGATGAAGAAAACAACCTTCTTTTTGAGAAGAATGTCAGCATTCCCATTCCTGATTCCGAGTATCCTGTCCGATGCAACATCTATCGACCGTTGAATTCCTTGGCCACGGCAAAGCCCGCCCTCCCGGTGATTATGACCTACGGACCGTATGGAAAAGATATCGAATATAGCAAATTTCATCCCCAATCGTTCTCAGAGATAGATCCAGAACAGAGATCCAAATATTCCGCATGGGAAACGCCCGATCCCGTCTTCTGGACCTCACACGGCTTTGCAGTTGTGCGTTGCGACGAACGGGGATTCGGACAGTCTCCTGGTTTTCTTGATTCCATGTCCAAGGATACGGCCGCCGCTTTTTGCCATGCTATTGAGTGGGCAGCCCAGCAGCCGTGGTCCAACGGTAGGGTTGGCCTCCTTGGAGTCAGTTACTTTGCTGGTACTCAATGGCGTGCCGCGGCTGCGCAACCGCGCGGACTCTCTTGCATCCTTCCCTGGGAGGGTATGTCCGACTACTATAGAGATCGCTGCCGCCATGGTGGGATCCTTTCCGACGCATTCATCAGATTTTGGTGGGATCGTCAAGTCATCACAAACCAGTATGGGCGGCCAGGTCGGGCAGCAGCTGGGCGAGGGGATGATACAATCGAGGGGGATCTGTCAGAGGAAGACCGTCAGAGAAATCGACGGGACCAGAACTTCGACAACGAAGTGCATCGTTTCCGAGACCAAGATTATTACAGAAGTCGCGACTTCAAATTGGAAGACATCCGGGTCCCCTTACTATCGGTGGCCAATTTGGGCAATACCGGCCTGCACCTACGTGGAAACGTTCTGGGATACATGTTCTCCAGCTCGAAGTTCAAGCATCTACGATTTTTAGCCGGGAGACATGATTTGCCATTCTATTATAAAGACGAGGTGAAGCTTCAGCTGAGCTTCCTGGATGCGTGGCTTAAGGACCAAGACCGGGTTGGCTGGACTGTTCCTGGAAAAGTAGCACCTGTCAGTGTTCTTCTGCGTAAAGGAAATGCTGGGTATAACAGCCCGGATGGCGAGAAGTGTTTCCAGCGTCGGGATGAACAGGAATGGCCGATTGCCCGTACGGAGTATGTGCGATACTATCTGAACCCTCAACATGAGCTCACGAATGACGAAAACGTAACGAAGCTTCCGGAATCGAAGATCACTTACAAGGCACTGGGATCACTTGATGAACCGCAATTTGTAACGTTCTCTGCTGTATTTACCAAGGAAACAGAAATCACTGGGCACATTGTGGCGCATCTGAACGTCTCCGTGGACCACACGGCAGAGCAACAGCAGTCCGGCCCAGTGGCGGAGGCAGACCTGGATCTGTTCTTGACTCTACGGCATCTAGACTCCCAAGGACAGGAAATCTTGTACACAGGTGCAGTTGGTGATCCCGTATCTCTCACCAAGGGCTGGCTACGCTGTAGCTTGCGGAAAGTCGACGACAAACATCCTCAACATCACAGCTATTTGCCCTATCGCCAATACTTCTCTACTGACGAAGAGCTTCTTACAACCAGTATTGTCTACGCGGTCGATGTCGAGATCTGGCCCACTAACGTCGTGATGGACGAGGGCGACACCTTGGTTCTAGAGATTGCATCTGGCGACACGCTAGGCAGCGGCTTGTTTAGACATGAAAGTAAAATAGACAGGGATCCAGCGCGGTTTGGTGGATGGAACAACATTCATTTTGGCGGAGGGAAATCGAATTACATTGAACTACCCATCATACCTCAGAAATTCTAGGTGTACAGACACACATATACATTTCCATTTGTAAGTATCTTAGTTACTGATAGTATAAGAATAACAACCTACTCTGCATAGGTAACTCTCTATAAGACTACTACTTTGTACTGTTAATGATAAGCTGCTTCTCCCTAGAGTGAGGCTTCTGATTTCTATTGTATAGTAGATATCTTTCAGGATACGTTATGGTGGTGGCCTGCACTGAGTTTAATCGTGGCAGGGACATGCGGCTCAGACTTCCGTAGTATTAATTAGGTAGCTTTGTGAGGTACGGTGCTGTCGACAGTCCCTCCGAAGAGGGCTGAAATCAAAGGGATATTAGGATGCATCTAGTCGATACTGAAAGCTCATGGAGACTTATATTTACAGCAGAAATATGTAAAAATATGTCAATTATGAATCTCGACCCAAATGTTCAAAAGCAGTACTGCTGACAAACTACAACCCTTATTCAATTCTTTTTGCTCCCATAAACTGGTCCTGCCCGAGCATTTCCTTCACTGATGCGTCGACGATGCTTAATATCGGTAGCTCCGATAATCGGTTGACCACATGATGTAAAGTAGGGAGCTGCTTCTTTGTCCGCTCTAGAATTTGCAAGCCGGCAGCTGACGCCTGTTGGCTCATCAAAACTTTCGGCTTGGTCGAATGAATCAACACGTCATAATCTGCGTCAGCCGCTCCCCTGCAAGGGGATCAGTGGTCGATGGGATGTACTTGTGTACGAACAACGCATCATCGCTGGAGGAACAAAAGCTCAGTACAGGCTCTTCGCCGGCCCCAGATCCATTTGCGAGATTGCCACTGTTGACGCCATTGATGCCAGCAGTATGGCTGGATCGTGGCGCGTCATTTGCGTTCAACCGACCCCAGGAGAAAAAGGCCCATTTCACACCACCCCAGGAAAGCTCAACATCCAAGTTTCCCCCAAGATCGGTGTCGTTCTTGAACTTGATTTCGGAATACAACTTTGGCCAACCAAGGTCTTCCCGACCAGAGATGATTGGATCCGTCAGATTTTCCAGAACAATGGGAATGTAAGTGCCATGGCGAATGACGCCGTCTTTACTACGGTGCTGCACCCCGTGAACTTGGAACATGACTAGCTCGTAGCCCCTGCCTCCCAGCCAGCTCAAGTTTTGGATGGACTGAAACGTAAAGCTTGCTTCAGCAACTGTGTCAGTCTTGGTGAAGCTGTACGCAGTAGAAGGAGACATATTTCGCAGTAGAGTCGCGCTTGTGCGAAATCGAACGGTGGCAGTTGTAGACACTGCGTCAGATAGTCCATCGGGGCGAGGACAAGACAGGGCATCTTGTCGGGGACTACGGAGTATCCATTGGCCCAAATCCAAGTGGCTGCCGCCAATAGAGCCTTGGTACCTTACCCCACATGTATTCTCGGAGAATTTGAGTTGAGTTATGCACTTCGTCGTGACTGAAGCCGTATGTGAGATAATCATGAACTGCAAAGGTGCTCGTATCAGCATCATATCACTATCATAGCGTGTGTGAAATGGAGAGATAGCTTAACCCTACCTTTCTATTCCTCCATTTCTGAGCTTGAATTTGACCGTGTGGGCTCATTGTCTGTTACGCAACTCATATCCTAGATCAGAGTTGCCCTTGTATATCAAGCTGTATTAAACAATTAAAGTCGTTGTAGTATGGCCTCCTTGGAGTCTAGGAAAGACAACATTACGCCCAGGGCCGCAGCGTCCTCTATGGCTTAAGCGGCCCCTTGCGCCAGATGTGGCGTAAAGGGGTCTAGAGTATAGCCATTTTTCGAACTACCTAGTTATTATAGCTTTACTAGCGCTCTTAACTATAAATATTACGTCCACTACAATATTTATGGATAGGGATTATGGGATTATATTTACGATTAACAGAATCAGTAATACCGTACTCGCTAATCCAGAATCAACTTATGCCCCAGCCTTTGGTGCAAACTCAGAATCCATCCGCAGCTCAATCTAACTAGCCACAGCTGACCAAGTAAAAACTTAAGAGATTTAGGCCAAAAAGTATAATGCATTCTTAAAATTATAAATATAAGATTTAACCTTTATATCCTAATTTTGTAGTTGCTATATTTGGAGATAATGAAATGGAAAACAAAAAATAAATGATTATATAACAATTGCATTAGTAAGGCTCATTAGTATCAAATATATCGCGCCTTCCTCCACATATCAGACAATCTCCTCTGTAAATTCTTAACCCAACCCACAACGTCAAATATCATAGGGAAAAAAGTTACGCTCACTAGAACAATGGTTGCTGCAAACCAGGTTTTTAGCGAGAGATTTTCCAAACCTATGTTCATGGCGAAGAAAGATGTCGTAAACGATAGTGGTGCAAACGCGAAAGCCAGGAAGGTGAGTTTGCCAATACGTTTAGATTGTTCGTATGAATTCTTTATCTCCTTTAAGTTGATGCTGTTCATAAGACTAGAGATAGCATCCTGACATTGAGCTTGCAATGTTTTGACACGTATCTGGAGATACTCGTATCGCTGAACGACTGATGTTAGCGCCTGAGCTGCTTTGGGATCTTCCTGCCTAGTAGTGCGCCAGCCAGTTCCACCATGTAGTTGGTAAAGCTTCAGCCAAGCGTTGACCTGATCAAGCTGTCGTTGCTGTCGATACAGTATGTCTTTAATGTATCTTAGGTTGGATAACATGTCGAAATTATCGTAGTGCTCATCGTCGGTGAATCCAGCCAACTTGTGCTCGACGAGATTTAGATACTGATTTACGGAGGCTGTAGTGAGGTTGAATACTTCGGTTAGAGCGTAGAGTGGGTCTTTTGCCATGATATCCGTATACAAAGTTCGACCATATCCAACACAAAGTTGTGATGCTGCTTCTGCCCCCCCAATAGAGTGTAAATGTCCATGGGAATTATATTGATGAGCTGCAAGACCTGTACCGGGCTTATAGTCAATGACGGGTGCTAGAGACGATGCATTATTCTGGAAAGCTTCTGGAAGGACACGAAGGTCTAAGATAGACTTGATGCTTGGTGTACGGCCTGCATCTGTCCACACAAGAACTATCTCCAGGTCAGAAACTGCTAAAGTATAATGAGAAGTAACTTACGTGTCCATTGGGAGTCTTCAGCGGTTTTTCTTGTGAGAGGTTGGAGACAGATCCAGATGCATTGTTCCAGAGCAAAGCTATTGTGATCAATTATGGCAACGTCTCTGACTACAGAAGAGGCTACTATGATCTCGTGTCCGCGTAGAAGCTCATGGTGCTCTTGAAGTTTCAATCTCGCTTCCATGCGCATTTTATCTATTTCAACCTGGTGTATGAATCCTGGGAAAACTTTTCTTTCCCCTATTGTGATTATCGGAAGCTCAAGAATGTTCCATGTTGCTGCTGGTAGAGCTGGGAGAGAATAGTTGACGGCATTTTCTTTGGCGGGCTTGAAATGCAGAAAACGCATAAAGAATTCCGAATCAACTTTGTATTTAGCGCCAATAAGGCTCAGCCACTCCGCAGAAGGAAAACCACGAAGAAAGAGTAGCCTGCCTAACGATTTAGAGGTCTCTGAGCCCGTCTTGTTTGCGAAGTCAAAGCATGATTCATATTCTATGGCACAGCTGAGAGTCCACGTCTTCTGGAGCTTCTCATCGTCATCTTTGTCTGGGTGCGGTCTGTCAACAAGCTATACATATATCCTATAGATGCACATAACTTACCAAACGTGTATGCAAGCGCAAAGCGCTCATCGTGACGAGAAAGATTTAATGAAGATGATGCATGTGATAGCAACCTCTCAAGAAATCGCCGGAGTATCTCATGGTTCGCCCCTCGACCGTCGGGTAGGTTCGCAAATTCGCTTACTCGCTTTGCATACTTCACAGCAGCGACTAAATGGAGTATTTAGTGATGAGAGTCACCGGCGCAAATACAACTGGCTCATTACCTTGATGCGCCTCGTTTGTAGATTTATTTCTGACCACTGAAGGATTCATTGGGGAGAGTGAATCTGGATCCATAATATTTTGAGCCTGCAAGCAGACAGGCAAAGTTCCAATTGGTATCGCCGGTAGACGTACGAAGTGAAGTAACGGCAGTAAAGAGATCTGTCGGAAGTGAAATGGAGGCAGGTTTTTTTATATGTGTGGCACATGGTACTGGTACTCTCTTTAGACTGGCTAGACATTTGTGGAAATTAAATGTCTTGCAAGTAATTTCACCACATGCATGCAAATTTAGCCTCACAAATCATATTATCGGCTACGTGCATCATGTTATCGGCTACGTACATTATATTATCGGCTACGTGCATCATGTTATCGGCTACGTACATTATACTATCGGCTACCTATGTACGTCATATTATTGGCTGTATATGTAATGTACTCAAGTAACAGCTGTTGTGTAAATATCTACCTAGTAGTATGTAATGGTATTACCATCTGCGTCGGTACAGAATATTACGAGCCCGTCAAAAGCGCCCCTAAGCGCAGGCAGAAATGCTGCGTCAATGAAAGCCACCCTACTCAAACACGGCCATCTCGTTCAATCAATGTAATATTGTTCTATTGCGGGCAGCTAGTATGATATCCACCAAAGGCGTTTATAAAAAGTATAATGCATTCTTAAAATTATAAATATAAGATTTAACCTTTATATCCTAATTTTGTAGCTTCTATATTTGGAGATAATAAAATGGAAAAGAAAAAATAAATAAATTGGAGCGCGAAGCTGTTATGTTGAGCAAATTTAATCGGATAGTTTTAAGCTAGCTGAACTGATTGAAGCTATTTCGAGAGAACGAGGCTACTTATATATATCCCGGGAAGCTAAATGGATCAAGGGCATTCCATTTAACCAAGGTTAGCTAGATTGATTAGTGTCCGTTATTACCTTTCGGGATCGCCTGAGCCTGGCTTTACCTGCGGCGTTCTTGGCAAACTCTTTTTAATGGCAACATCGTGATACGTCAAATATGGAACAAACCAGCAACTGTAGTCAATTACCATTGAGTACTTCATTTATGGCGATTTCTGTTTCTTCTCCCCTCACATTAAAGAAGCATATCTGGAAGCTACACTTCACTCAAGTTATCACCTTCACGAAGCCGCTTCGCAGCTTTGCTTGATCGGCCATGTACTGAGTACCTAATACCACTAAGCATAGAGATATTCATTGTTACGGTCGGACACGATTTTATAAATGAATGCGTCTTGTTTGCTGTACACTGAAATCTACATACAAACCTCTAAGCCTTACTTGCGACCTATCATATGGATATCGGGCTCCAAAGCCTCAACTCAATTGCATCGTCTAGATTATCGTGACATAAAGATCACAAGTTCATCGTAATCTTTCTCTGAAAGCTCATCCCATGAACGAATGTCTTGCGGCATTAAACTTTGACGTTGTTTATGGGCTGCTTTGAATGACTGCTCAGCTTGATCGATATTGCCGCTTGCCAGATATAGTTGACCCTGTCTGAAGGTCGTCCTAGCATGTTCTTGCCTATGGTGTGGACGGCGAGCGAAGATTCTGAGTGCTTGCGTAAGGTATTCTCTATCATCAAGATATCAGTGACTGTCAATGTGTTATGCTCAAAAGTCTTACTGTGCTTTCTCAAATCGTCCTTGTCCCATCAAGTCTTGAGCTATTTTATGGCTTACATCGCCAATTCGATGATGTCCCGTGCCAAGAGTTTCTGACCACTGGCTGAGAGCTCGTAAGTGGTATTCCAGAGCATGTTCCAGATCTCCAACAGACAGATAGACATTACCAATTCCGTACAGAATTTTTCCCGTTCTAAGAAGAGATTAGCTTCCCGTTTATTTATAAAGCAAGAGACATACTTGAATGATTGTCTATCATCACGGCCATACGCAGTTTCATATATTTCGCGCATACGATGCAGTACCTCCAAAGCCGATTTGTGGTTTCCCTGGATCCAATACACCATTCCAATATTTGGTAGCGGCCATCCAAGCCACTTTTCGTCGTAGTCGGGGAGGGACTTGTATATAGAAATGCTCTTTTCGAAGCAGTCAAGTGCTAGAGAATACATGTTGTTCATCGCATAGGCCACACCGACTTCGTTATATGCACAGCCGAGTTCATAGTCAATTTTTTGTTGGCCATCTGATGATATTCGTTTGCGCATCAAGCTCATCCATGTAAGATTGTGATGCAGACTTTCTTGGGGATTATTAGTCTCGTTGGCAGCCGAACCCTGGTTGTTATGGGTTTCACGTAGTAATTTGGCCACATTGCGGCTAGGAATCCTCTGCTGAACGGCCTCACATATGCTTTGTGTGAGTCTGTAAAACGGTTTAGATTCGTGTGGGAGACCTCTCTCGAAACAATACCTGTTCAGAAATTAGTATGGTAAGATTGTTATCATCTAAGACGTACCATCCAGCGTCGTTGAAGAGCGATGCTGCTTGTTCCGACGCCTCGATCTTTCGAGATATAAACAATTTCTCGTAATGCTGATATACTCGGTCCACATGGGGGAAAATCACAGAACATGTTTCATATCGGGCAGTATTGAAGCGGATCTCAAGCGGCTGATATACCCAGGCATCTGAAACCATCTCAAGAGCAGTTAGAAGTGCCCTCACTCGTGCTTCGGGAGTCAGAGACTCTCGTACAATGTCTTGATAAATGCGATGCATACGAATGGTATGGGTAGACTCGTTGAAAGTGATCAAAGAGGCCTTTTGCAGCTTATTCAGAGCATAGTTGAGCTCACCATGATTTTTTGGGAATGCAGAAAGTTGTACTCTATCGGTAGTATCGACGATGAGTTTTTGATGAATGCCCTCGGGGTTTAAGAATGCCAGTACATGAATTAGGCTTTGTGTGCCCTCATCTAAGCATGCAAGGCCAATCATTGAGGCAATGGACGCAGATACGTCTGGTAACAAGTGCATCTGCGGTATACCATCAACTGAAACGGCTGCAAAGCCATTTTTCTCCAGCAAGTTCAGCATCATATCGTAAGTAAGGTTTTGGGCTGACATCGTACTTGCTATTGCATTGATGACAAGAGGAAGTCCGCCAGCCCACCGAGCGATAGCCTTAGCAGATCCAGGTGAGCCCTTGAAAGGATTTTGAGAGACGACGTGGAGGAACTCAAGAGAATCTGATGAGGAAAATGGTTCAAGGTCCAAGCCATGCTGGGCAGTGAAAACATGCGACCGCGAAAGTGGATCACGGCTTGTGATCAAGATGGACCCTATGCCGGTCGTGGGCCAGAAGTCTTCAATGATGCCCCAGTCGTCGACATTGTCAAGGACCAACAGCCACGGGATTTCATTGCCAGGGCTACTTAGAGGTAATTCGGCGTCTTTGACAGGATTGCACAGCCACCCTTTGACCAATTCGCACGCCTCTGCCAAATCTCCTGCTTCACTCTTCTCTTGGAGGCCAATGTCAACTGCTATGCGTGCAAAATCTTCAAGTAAGACGTTGCGGCTGTCTGCAGTAACCCAGAAGATGGCAAGATATTTTTCCCTCCTGGTGAAGATGTACTCAGATGCAAGTTCTGTTTTCCCGATCCCTCCAGCACCACACAGTGCAAAAGTCTTGAGATTTCCTGACGGCCGGATTGATGCTTCATCAATAGGCGACTGGATGCTGTCAGGAAGCAGGCTTTTATCGATGGATCGAAGAACGTCATCACGTCCAAAGAATGGAGTTCTGCGAGTTTGAGATCCTACCGAGAAACAAGGGATGCGTAGTTTGGGTTGCTCCGGCTCAAAGTGATTGGTGGATGGTACGACTTCGTAAGAGAAGGTAGAAGAGTAGCCGGCGCTAGCTGAAAGAGTCTCCTGCTTGGGCTCGATGCTGAGAAGTGCTGAGACATGATCTTGGGTTATCTCCTTGTGACTTTCTAGAACCGACGAGCTCGATACCTCTGCCGCTGGTTTTGCCATCCTACTCCTATGGCTTCGTAAACTTTGCATATCCCATTCATCTGGACAACTACCGTCGATTTGAAGCTCATAACGTTCTACGAGACTGTCAGAACTCGCCACATTAATAGGAAGATGACTTACCTGTAACAACTTGGGGAATAGAAAATACTTCATGTTTGAGCACTGCCGTATCTATCAAGCGAGCTATAGCTTTATACAATTGCCCATCGATCTCTACTTTGCAGAGATTTCCATGGCTGCTTGGAATCCCGTATATTTCTGCTCCAAGGGTTGAAGGTAAGACAACATGTTCTTTTGCCACTACCTGTTCATTGATTAGCAACGGCTGATAAGAGGGAGCATGAGCAGTCTTACAAAACGGGTCCTTGAAAATTGGACCCTCCACTTCACGCCTCGATATTTACTTTGAATGGTCTCAAAAGTTGAAATGATATGACCACTAAAGTCCGAGAAACCTCTTGAGATCAGCGAAACCATTTGATTGTCCTCTTGTGTGAATGACAAGAAGTTAAACGGAGCTGCGCTTGCTCTCACTATAGTTTCAAGGATGTTGATATCGAGCTGACTCGTGTCCTCTATGTGCGGTGTTCCAAGAAATACGACCCCAAAAATGTGGTCCAGAACATTATTATTCTCATGTCTCTTTTCCGTCATGTTTGCATAAGCCTTGAGCTTGTTAACAGGTTATATACCTTGGGTGAAGAGAATATTACTTGTTTCCATATGAGTCCGCCAAGACTTTGGCACACGATCAGCATCGCCGTACAGGGCAGCTGTTCATTTTAGTGACGCCTTGCATTACACATCGGGGAGTACTGGACTTACATCTCTTGGGTTAAGTTGGTGAAGTGATGTCGGAAGCACATGGCTTTGCTGGAGCAGTGATTGTAAAATCGACTGGCCTTTTATAGCCTCGTAGTCGAAATGCCAGATACGGACTCTCTCGCCATGGGGTTTCTGTATCATTCTGAGCCATTCTCCTGACGAGTTTCTCCATTCTGCCGGTCGAAGAAGACCAATGCCAGGGACGATGACAACACTACACGGATTGATTAGTGAGAATAAGTGGTAGTATATCAAGAACTTACTTTAATGTTGCGTTGATTTCGGCGGATACAACTGTTGGGTGAAGAAGTTTTAATGCCATACCTTGGCTTACCATAAGTAAGGAGTCAACGTTGGAAAGAAGGACTGGATTAGAATACTGGGCAGGGGATGTACTACAGTCTTATATAGTATGGGGTATATACACTTTACACCACATAGGCCTATAAAAAGACATGCATATACGGAACAAGCACGGACCGATGTGCCAATTAATGAGTAGAAACTAGCTTCATGTTGATTACAAGCCATGCAGGTAGCCCCTCCTTTGTTTATCATGTTGTGATACATTATGAGGCAATGTATCATTGAAGGATAAGCCACCGATCTCCACTCCATCGCTCGTTTCTAGGTAAGTAGCTTAGTAAAAACAGGCATAAGCTACTTGCATTTATTGTACTAGCTGCATAGTGATAAGATTGAACACACAGCACCGCTCCGGCCGTCACATCAAAAGCCGTGCCTCTCATGCGCTTTTTGGCTTATGCATCATTATTGTAAACGCGAGAGGGAACAGCACGTGGGGGAGAACAGGCTTCAAAAGCGCTCATGAACTGGAACATCAAGTCTTCTCTACCAGTCTGAGCCATTATACCCAGCCCATATGGTCTCCCATCTGCTTGGATGACTCCTGCGGGCATCGTCGCAATTGGGTACCCTATGAATCAATTAGAAGAGTCTCACTCGTTGCCTCGCTGAAACCTACCCGATGCAGCAGACATGAACACCATAAGGCTGTCCAATGGAAATGCGAGTAGATTCAAATTCTGCTCGCGAAATAATTTGTCGATCCCATTTTCTTTTGCGACTGTCTTCATCCGCCCCTTGACGACTTCATACATTTTTCGCGTGGGAGGATCTCGGGAAGCCTTCAGTAGCTGATTCTGATCCGGGTGGTCTTCAGTTTGGGATTGTCCGTCAGCATAATGCCATTCAAAAACAAAAGACAGTACATACCCATAGGCAATTCTTCGTGTCGATGGTCAAAGTTGAATTTTATGACGTCTTCTATTGTATTCAGTCCCGGAACTTTAGCTTCGCTAAGCCAGGCCTCGAGTGCCTGTTTGCCTTCGTATGCTTTTGATAGTCAGCATTCACTCGTGATTGTATTGTATCGACATACCAACATATAATCACGTCAATTGGATTTCGCCCTTCATACCACAGGTCCGTCGCAGGTGGTATATCGACTGGATAGGTCACGGATGCTTTGACAGCGTGCTCTTTGACACGTTCAATAGCGGCGAAGTAGATGTCGTTCTTCACAAACCTCAGTTGGAATTATATATAACGGAATGGGACAACTCACCATTTGCTTCAACGTAGCGTTGTCTAATTGTACAATGCTGGGATGAAGAGACCATTTCGTAGGATCAAGAAAGCCTACCCGGAGTGAGTCGAAAGTTTTGGTCAGGTATTTCTGATAGCCCTCTTCCGGTAAAAGCTTGCGCTTCTCCCCTGTTAAAGCAGCCTCACTCAGAACGGCTAAGTCTGCCGTCGATCTGGCAAGGCCACCGACAACATCCAGCTCCACAGAGCTTTTGAAAACTCCATCCATATTCACAGTATTAAGAGCGGGCTTGAAGGCATACAAACCAGCTCTAGAACCCGGCATGACTATAGATCCAATCGATTCAGTGCCCAAGGCTAATGGCGCATAGCCTGCTGAAACGCCGACTGCGGAACCTGTTGAAGAACCACATGGGTCCTGACAGAGTAGGTAGTCAGCTTGGAGCACCAAAGTAGGATGAGAGATCGTACACTTTGCCCAAGGCCGGATTCGTCTGGCTTACGAGCAATATAAGCAGATTGTGTTTGTCCTCCAATTGCCGACCATCCATTCGAATTTGCATCGGCCCTGCGTGTATTTCATGTTAGACTTGCAAGAATAGCTGGAGTATTGTAGCGCACTTGAAGTTGCAAAATTGCTAAATGTCGCCTGTTAGCCAAAAATAACGCTTGCGCAGTGGTATTCCTTCTCTTACGTTCAAATTTGTTTTGCCTAACACGATGGCGCCCATTTCCTCTAGCTGGATATCATGTCAGAGTTTCCAGGCTACTGCATGTGACATCTCAATCGCTGACCTTGTCAACTATGTTGGCATTTTTGGGCATAATAGAATCCTTCAAGGCAAGACTACCCAATGTTGTTGGGAGTTCGAGAGAAGGTCTTGTGGCAATGGCATCCTGTGCAATGTTAATAATTTCAGACTGTAGTATAACGCCCCAAAATGACAGACTTTGATGAGTATTGGTATACCGTGGAGGGGGCTTCTGACACGACCTGCCGCTCGCTCGCGGTCAAGGTGTGCTGAGTGCTCCATTAGGATGCGATTTGGAACGATTGAAATCATAGCATTCAGTTTTGCGCCCTGGTTATCATGTTTGCTGATTTGTGCAAGGCATGCTTGAACTAACTCGACACTGGTGAGAAGACCAGCCTCAAGCTTTTTCTGCAATCCTGCAGAGTCTAAACTTAGCAGCTCAGTGGTTGATAGTCTTGCAGCCATCTTGAACCACAAAGTTGAGTAAACGGCGAAAGAAAACAAGACGAGGTAAATTTGATGCCAAAATGAACTGTTCAAGGTTGCGGGGTCGTGGATTTTGTAAAGTCGGTACATGTACATGTAGGCAGGCGAGAACAGATGCACTGGCCATTATCGTACAGAGACTTCTAATTTCCCCGAGCCTGGCCAGCTGTTCAGACGTGACCTCCTTGTCTACAACTAGCGAATCATTGGTCCATGGTCTTCCAATGAGAATTTCTCGCTAAATTGGGCATAGAGTTGGCCAATAAGATAGAACCACGTTGAACGCCGCATGCCTCTCAACGGCGAGAATGAGTTACGGGAGGGTGCAGTAGAGGCTCGTGCACAATTCACAGCGTGCCCAGATGGTGCCCAACGCATCCGTGTAACGGAATGATGCAGCTCTTGCTCGAGGATGCTATTTAAAATGTCGCACCTTTATTCAATCTCCCTCAAACCAACAATCATACGCCGAGCGCCATGACCACAGCAATATCCGCGTCTTTCTTCTTCCTTCAGCATGATGTGAAGTGGGATAAAGAAAAGCCTTATCACGTCCTGTTCAATCCCCCAGAAGGATTGGAAAAGAGCAACCTAAATCTACAGCAAGTGAGCAACATTATAGTGAACGACGTTCGAGAGCTTGACACTCCACCCACAATCGAAAAGCACGGGTTTACGCTGATCAAAATTGATACGGGACTTTTGAAGTCCGAGGAGTTTGACGACACCCAAAAGGTTGCAGCTATTTTCCTCCCACGAGCGGCTGCTGCCGTAAAAGAAGCACTCGGTGCACATCGAATTCAATTTTTTGATACCACGGTATGTCAGCAGTTTCTTTCTTAACCCTATAACTCACTCTGTACCAAGGTTCGAAGACGACATCCCGAATTCCCTATTCACGTAGGGGGAAGTTATGCTCACCTACAACCGACCTCTATCGCCCATATTGGTAAGGCATCGCCAGAATCTGTATGGATTTAGTCTTAAACTTTACAGACACAACCGAAGTTGATGCGGAAGGCATAATGTTCAAGTTAAATCCACGCGAGGCTGCTGAGCTGAGCAAAACAAAATACCAATGGTTCAAGTATGGTCCTTTTACTGGCGCTTGATCACATGCAGGCAGCTAAGCAGTGTTATAGCATTTGGGTACCATTAAAGGGCCCAGTACGCGATTATCCTTTGGCATTACTTGACATTAACACAGTAGATCGTAACACAGACCTCGCTCATCAAGATACAGTCAAAAGCGATGTGGTGCACGAAACGTACCAAATATTTAGCAATAGTAACCACCGTTGGTACTATGTTAAAGATCAGATGCCTGATGAGGCCTGGTTATTTATACAAGCCACATCAGGCGATAATCCTCCACCTGGCAAGATAAACACCATCCCTGGCGAGGTGTAGCTTACGCTGATTGTATTAGGAGTTCCACATACATCGTTTGACTACCCTAAGAGATCAAAGGACGACCCTCTTCGTGAGAGCATCGAGTGCCGTGGTTTCGCATTCTACAATTAATTGCTTGTGCAACAATTGCGAGTTTGGATAAGGATAGACGTCAATACAAATTGTCTCATACTCCAAACAAATATCTACCTACAAAAACGCAAGCTGTCTGAATACTGATTTTTTTTTTTTTTTGAAATCGCGCTCAGAAATATCTTTCGCGAGACCGACTATGTTGATGTTGCTATTACGTACTACAATGATTGGAAAACTGTATATGTACGAGCTTTACTAGGTGCTAAGTATTTAATTATTGTCATAATACGCGCTGCTATTCCACATCTAGTATATTAACTCTTAATTAGACGAGGGAACGTTTCCATAGACATGTTGTTCCAATTACATATAGATTTGCCACTTTGTAATCCCTACTAGCAAACGCCTTACTCAATAAATAGGTACTTACTATATCGCTTGAGTATGAATAAGTTACTTATATGTTTAAACAGAGGTAGTATTCATTATGGAGGCACATGAACAGGGGATTTGTTTGTGGAGATCAAGTACTAATAGGAACTTGTTAAGGTGAATAGGTATGTATACCCCTACTAGCCATCTCTTTTCACTTCCATGTTGGTCCATGAATCTTAATATCTGCCTCCGTCTCCACTTTCTGCACTGCTCCCAAAAGTTGACGACAACGGCCGCGAAGTAGGAAGTTCGCAGTTTCTCAAACCGATTTAAGCATTTTGGCTCAGCTCTGAGTTTGAATCGTACAAGATGTGCTCGCTCTCGCCGTCATTGCCACTGGTTCCACCTAGAGCGATTCTCTGGCCCTTGTTGAAACCTTTGAGTTTGTCTGAGTGATCGCCTTTTGGCCCCGGTTTCCAGTGTTCGCGCCATGGCTGGACACGGTCATCATCAGCGCCGAAGATAATTCGCTGATCGGTTATGCTGTTCTTTCCGCGTTGTGGTTGCTCCATTCTGCGTCGTAGTTGAGGGAAATGATAGAGATAGTACTTGTACTTCGACGGTGTAGGATAGAAAATTCTGCTTTAAGATAAACTTCAAAACTGTGCGTAGAAACTGGATAATTTTTTGCCTTTATGATTGGGGTGGGCTCAGGCCGAAGGCCGAAGTTCTCGGGAGATATTCGTTGGGGCTTGGTCACCCGACACCCTTCAAAAGATGTTCAATATATGCTGTGTAACCCTTCGTTATCTCCAACCACTCAGGTCTACGGTGCCTTTCACCGCTGTTTTCATTTGTTTCCTTGCGTCCAATAGACTCAACATTCGTATCAATCTAACGAAACTGGTGCGTAATTCCTCTGGGAGGTGGCGCACTTACGTGGCACCTTCTGCAAAGCTGCCTTAAACCCCCAACTTAAGAGTCTTGCCTCAGTATCAGATGGTCATTAGTATTATTCTTACTTCAAAGAAACTTGTTCGAGCTGATATCAATAACCCGCGATAATAGGCGGCTACAGGAAGTGCTTCCTGAGTTCAAGGTTTTCTTTAACGGTCTCACGCAATTGACCGGAACCGCAATGGCACAATACGACGATTATGGAGCATTATACACAAAACTGAAGAATAGGCCGATTCCAATCATGCAGAACAGGTATGCTAGCACAGCTATGAATGATCTTAGCGGGTTAAGGGTTCTAGATGCAGCTTGTGGGACAGGCTTCTACTCTCAAATGATGGCCCGTCAAGGAGCTGCTGAAGTTATCGGAATCGACGTCTCGCCTGGTATGATTGAAAATGCAAAGAAAGAACTTCCTATTCAGTTGGAAGATGGCCCCATCAGATACTTCGTCGGAGATTTCGAGCAGGCAGATCTTTTCCAAAACCTTGGCTTGGATAGATTGAGAGGGACTTTTGACATGGTGTTTGCTGCGTGGCTACTTAACTATGCTGCTGATTGGCAGCATTTAACGAGGATGCTGAACAACATATTCGATGCGCTGAAGCCAGGAGGAAAACTTATCGCTTTAACACCAAATCCATTTTTACTTCAAGAGCATGGACCGGAAATGACGATAGAAGAAGGCCGAATTGGCGACAGGTGGCAAGTCACCGAAACTTATGAATATGGCTTCAAGGTCCATATGATAGTAAATGCTTCACCTTGTGTCGAGTTTGATTCATACGTTTTGTATGTGTCGGAATACGAAAAAGCTGTTGCAGCTGCAGGATTCACGTGTCTGTCTTGGGATGTTGGTACGTAGCCTTATCTTATATATTCTTCAACCATTACTTGATAATTTTGACTAACGCCTGCGAATAGTGAGTATACAACTGACTAGTTGTAATTAAGAAAGAAAATATCTGACAACTGTAGATATTGCCAACAGAGGCTGAATTCGAAAGAATAAATAGGGAATGGTGGAAACCGTATATTGATCGGCCTCGCGGTTGCATGCTCTTCGCAAACAAGCCAACATAATAATCACATACTTTAATGGGGATTTTTAATTAAGTCTGTGACTGATGGTTAGTGTTAGCTGGGATAAATAACTAAACTAGGCTTTAGCTAGCTTAGTAATATAAAATAAGGAATATTTCCTTTAGTTGAATAGAAAAATAAAAATATATTATTATAATAAAAATAACTTTAGCTAAAATAGTAGCTTTATTTTTTATTAAAAAAAAGTTATAATAACTAAATTAAATAATAATATAATTTTATTTTTATATTATAATTTTTATAATAATTAAATAAGCTAAGTTATTTATAAAAGTATTTAAGTATTAATAACTTAGTTTAAAAATATATTTCTTAATTATTAATAAAATAATAATTAAAATAAAAGGATTTATTTATTTTTTTATTATTTAATTTATAAAAAAGGCTAATTATTAAACCTTAAGCTTTATTATATAAATTATAAATACTTTTTTACTTTAATTATAAATAAAAACCTAAAATTATTTTATATAAAAATTAATTATTTATAAAAATTAAAATAAAAAAATCTAAAATTAATTTATAAAAGTTATATTTATTATTAAAAAGTTTAGTAAAGCTATAATAGCTAAGTTAAAAAAAACTATGCCCTAGCCTTTAGTTTAAAATCCAGAATTAATCTATAGCTTAACTTAATTAATTATAACTAACTAAGTTAAATTTTAAAAATTTAGGTTATAAAGTATAATTACTAATTAAGGTTTAACACTAAACTTAAAATATATATATAAAAAGGCCTAAATAATAAAGTTTAAGTATAATATAAGCTTTAAGCTTATAACGTATAATTTAATAACTTAACTAAATTAAATAAGCTAATTATTTTATTCAGGTAAATATAGTCTATATAAACAAGAGGCTAGGATTGATATGTGGGACCTATTCCATCTCGGTCTGGTCATGATGGAAGTAATATAGGAATATAGAGATATATATATATATATATATATTCATCTACCGACACATGTTCCAAGCTTTGGGAAATAAGTTTTCTATGCAAACATCTTACTGATATTACACTGTTAAACAAGAGTAACCACGCACTCTGGACTCTTTACTAGCCTAAACTAAGCGCCAGGATTGCTACGCCCTTTTGCTTTCCTCTATGCTCCCGGTATTTGTAGAATCATCGTATTTATATTGAGAGCTATGTATCTCCAATAATAGCAACAGGAAGACTTCGTATTGTTGCATGGACAAACGGCATAGTCATTGCTACAGCTAGGGTCCTGGCTAGAATACTTCATGGCTAGCCTATAGTTGAATGCGAAGCCTGCTATTCTAATTCAAGGAGGACAACCAGAGGGTACACGGTCAGATGCTACCTTCTGCTGCTGATGCTCAACAGCCGGAATAGCGGCAACTGAAATGGCCGGGATAACGAAAGGAAAGGGAGAGAATCGTATTTATATGCAAAATGTAAGGCGGCGCAACAACGTAAGATGAAACGTTTGTAGTAGAGGTGGTTTGTGTTGATATATGAAAGTTTGACATTTAACAGAGAATTAGCGGCCCCATTTATATTTATCTATGTAGTCGGAAACAACAAATTCCCGATCACATTATTCGGAAATGCCCCGGGACAGGACCGGAATTTGGAGATGATACTTCACGCCCAGTGCCAACTTCGAAATGAGATGGACGAAGGTTATCTGACTGCTGGCCTTCTTCAAATAGTGCTAATCTTTGTCCATTCTGCTATGAATGCAGTCTCGTTTTATTCAAGAGAAGGCTTCTCGCTTCCCCTCGCTCTATGGTGATAATTCTACATGTCTCTATAAGAGGAACTTTCAGCCACAGTGGCGAGAAATCGAGGGTGGTTTATGAAACGCTAAACGGTTTCTGTATGATACCGCTCAAGAATGAAAATGAGCAATAAAACGAAACATCATCTTCAATCTATGGCTCAAACAAGAAATAAAAGAATAATATTAACGCGCAGGGCATTATGATGTTGCCTCACGTGGTACATTGACGCTACGGACATAGTGAACCTCGTTCACAACAGTCTTCATACACTACCTTAGTTGTGGCCCAAAATTGCCATTACGCTCATACCTAGTTCAGCTGTCAGTAAGAAAATAGAGCTACTAGTCATCCACATCTAGGTTTTTTCTCACCCATTTTCATCTAAATTTAGCTGTGTCGTAGAGCACCCACTCCCAACCGCAGCTGCACGTTTTGGTACTTGACGTAGGATTATTACTGCCTTTTATAAGAAATCTTTATATACTTAAACAAGAGGACCTTTGATAAGGTACTGGTTAAACCAAGCAATAGCCTGGGAAAACGCTTGCTCCTTAGACCACTTGAAAACCGGATTACTCAAGTCACCACGAAGACCAAAGCCATGCGAGACGCCGGAGAATAAATTGATTTGGTAAGGAAAAGTTTTCGTCTTGAGAAGGTTTTCTGTCTTGTAGCGTAGCTCTTGCGGGAAAAGGTCGTCATACTCAGCAGCCGCTATAGATAGAGGACCTTGAAACGCTTTGATCTCATCTTCATCAACGTTGGAAGGGTGAGCCATGTAGCCAACGTTGATTTTTTCCGCGCCAGAGTGACGAGCGACATACTATACAAATATGTTAGCGTGGCGCTTTTAACATCTGTCAGAAGGAAGTTTTATGCGTAGGAGATGCTTTAAATAACCCGGAGGACATCTGCCAGTCTGGGGATCAGGAATAAGATATCATAAAACAAGCTCTCAGGTTACCTTTGCCCCAAAGCAATATCCAACTGCGCCAATTGCAGTAATGTTTAGCTCATTCCTCATGAACTTTATGGCTTCTTCGACAGCGGGATCAACGTATTCATTAGTATGAGGAGTGGATTCCTTTCGGAAGCCACCCATCAACCATTTCATCCAGTCAAAATTATGACCCGGGATCTCTGTCAATCCATCTCCGTTGAGAATGTCGATAATTAAAGTCGTGTAGCCATTTGCCGCATATTGATCAGCCATCAGTTGCGAATTGGTCCAGATGCCGAATACATCACCAAGATATAAAATACCGGTGCCTTGATGGTTATTGGTGTCTTTAGGGGTTGCAAGATAAGCATCGTAGTTGCCAATCTTGACAGACTTTCCAGTAGCCTCACCTCTAAGAAAGACCAAATAGTTAGCATAGTAAGCTTTAGAGTCCTCATATAGGAAGTGATCGGCGAGCCCTCCGCTGTTGATAAGGCATTGAACTAAATCGGAATAGTATAACTCTCTACACTGAACTGAAGGAGTTGTAGAGTCCACATAAGTTGCAGGTGGGCTGAGTTGTGTATTTAACTTGGTTCTTGATCATCTTGCTTGTGAAAGAGAAAGTTGAAAAGAGTCTACTTCAATTGTATCTGTTGTTGTAGCCGCTGTGATGGACAATGCAATACACTTACTCATGCTTGACACCCTTAAAGCAACAAGATGCAAGAGGACGAGAGGCCATTTTATTTTATAAGCTAGGGATTGTGTCTCTGTGGCGTATGTATAGAACTAAAGTTCAAAGATGTTTAAGTTGATCCAAGGGGAACGAAAATAAAACGATTCCGAGTGTCTTTGACGTTGGAAATGCCTCGATGTGTTTAGAATCGAAGCCCTCCATCATACTTATACTCTTGGGTATCATGTCTATTTTTGACGATAACCTACAAGCTCTCGGTTGCTGTGACGAACCGTCGGGACCGATATCATTTCGGATGTTATAGAATGTCCGGAAATCACATGACTGCTCCTGCGATTAGCGCACGGGAATCCTCTCAGACTTGCGGACTCTTCATCTCGTCCGGTTGTGAAGTTTGCGGCCTCTTATGGGCAAATCGCAGGTCCATTTAGATGAAATCGGACATTTGAAGCTTTTGTTTTCCATTCTTCGACGGGCTACCGATGGATAAACGGGCTGAAGACATGGAGGAAGCCGAGCCGAAGCTGGATGGAGAGACACCGTTCACAGACGCGGGTCCAGGTGCGCCACTTAATGACGCTCCATTCTCCCAGCAGCTCGTGAAGTCGCAACGCATCCTCGCATGTGTACTTTGCCATCAGCGCAAGATCAAATGCAATCGAAAGTTCCCTTGCAATAACTGCACCAAAACTCAAGCGCGTTGCGAGCCAGCCATGTTGGCCCCGCGCCGAAGGCGCCGCAAAATCCCGCCGCCAGAGTTGGTGGATCAGCTTCGCGTCTACGAGAGCCTGCTTCGGGCGAATAATATCAAATTCGATCACCTGCGCAAATATAAAATTTCAACGAATGATTCCCCAGTTGTAGAGGATGCAGATTACTTAAATCAAGAGAAAGAGCGTCTGAACGATGCGAACCCTGCAGCAGGAGCAGATTCGGAAACAGTTTACGAGGCCAAGTATGCTTTGCTTATATTGGCCGTATCGCAGATATGCTAACGACTATTTGATGTATCGTCAGAAACTATTGGTATACCGTGAACCGAAGCGTACGTTGCCCCTTCAACCAATCAATCCTAAATGTTTGCTTATAGCAATAGTACCGAGATAATGACAGTGATACATCATACGATGATGTGCGTGATAACCCCATCAAAACTACATGGGATTTGATATACCACGAAAATGATCAACTTCTTTTTGGCGCCCGCCAGGAACCTGCTGATCTGTCCTCACTGCATCCAAATACCGTCCAAATTTTCAGGCTTTGCCATTTGTTTATTGAAAACGTCAATCCTCTTTTGCAAGTCGTACATGCTCCTAGTCTCCAGAGTTGCATCATAGAAGCGGCGGACAATGTGCTGAACATTGAACCAAACTTCGAAGCTCTCATGTTTGGCATCTACAGCATGGCTGTGGCGAGTTTGACGGATGAAGACTGTATTAACCTGTTTGGCACAGCAAGGAGCATTCTTCTCCAGCAATATCATCGTGGCTCTCAAGAAGCCCTTCTCAACGCTCGCTTTCTAAGAACAGATAATCGGAATTGTTTAACCGCTCTGTTTCTCCATCTAGTAGGATCTTCTCGCCCGTCAATGTACAAATGCTGACCAATTTCAGCTCTCAATAAGACCAAAAATGGATCCTCGCTCTGTCTCGTCCATGCTTGGAATTGCACTACGCACAGCACAGCGCATAGGTCTTGATAATGAATCGGACTTAGCCAAGTGCGATGTTGTTGAAGCCGAGATGCGTCGACGTCTCTGGTGGGCTTTAGTTCTATTCGACACCCGCATTTGCGAATTGATTGACACTAAGAAGACTGCGCTGACTCCCACGTGGGATTGCCGCATTCCTCTCAATGTCAACGAGTCTGAACTCCGAACCGGACTGAGAGATGGACCCAGAACTCAAACAAGGGTCAGCGACTCAATTTTTGTCGTCGTGCGTGGTGTGATTGCAGATTTCATTAGACACTCTTCTTTCTATCTTAACTTTACCAACCCGGCCATGAACGCTGCAACGAAGACCCCTAGCACCAAGTCTGGCGGGGAAGGCAGTGAGGTTGACGTCTTCGAAAAAGAGCTGGAGGAAAAATATCTCCAGCTATGCGACCCGGAGATCCCGCTACAGTTTATGACCATTTGGACTGCACGGGGTTTTCTCGCCAAATATCGCATCATAGAGCGGCTTTCAACGCTGGATGGTCCAATTGGAGACGCCCAGCGTGACGCTCTAAGCCTCATGGCAGTGGACATGATTGCTTGCGATAGTAAAATCATGACGTCGCCTATTGTTCAAAGCTTTCTCTGGCTGATTCAAATGTATCATTTCCCATTTACTGCATATATACAGCTTTTGCAAGACCTGAAACGACGGCCTGCAAGCAGCATTGCGGCACAAGCTTGGTCCAAAATCGACGAGAATTATACAGCTCGCCTTTTCTTTCAAGAAAATACAAAGAGCCCTTTCTACCAAATGGTATCTCAAATGATACTTCAGTCCTGGGATGCTCGACAAGCGAAACCAAACGACCAAGTTCAGCTTGTGACAACACCAGGCATAGTGTCGTATCTTAAAAGCAACACCAGCTTATATCAGATAGAGAATCTGAAATCTCTCCATAACATATCCATACCAATCGCCAATTTTACCAACTCGAACAACCCCACGGCGGAGAATCTTCCTATGAAGATGCAAGATATGGGTTTCGACGATGTATACACGTATTCTTTCATGGATCTCGACCCCAATCAGCTACAATGGCTTAGTAAAGACTGGGATTAGAAGACTCTACAGGCTGCATAAGGCCATTCCCAGATATTACAACTATCTTCTAGATTAGCAATAAACTTTGACAGGTTTACTTGGATCAATTGAACAATTGCATTTCTGACTCCAGCGATAACTCTACTATGATCTTACCACCACCTTTGAACGCCAATATGAAAAGAATTTGTAATGACTTTATTTCATCAAAAAATATTTTCAAGTATATCCAATTTATTACACTTATTAATGCTTTAAATTAAAAAAAAAAAGTATAATTACCGACCCGTGTATTTCTTCTCCACAAACCTACCTATGGTATATACGAGAACCGTAATAGCTGCGCTCATATATATACCCACATCACCTCCGTCGCCACCAAACTTGGCTGCAATGGGTCCCACGTACCACGTCTGGCTCATTCCTGGCACGCCTCCTGCCAGGTACCCTGCCAGTAAAGCTGTTATAGCCGCAACTCCCCAAGGGAGTAGATGCGGTTGGTCCCAGGCCTCAAGATCATAGCCATCCTTGCGGCGAAAGACGCGATCCTCAAGTAGCAGTACCATGGTGAAACTCACAGTCCAATACCCCAGCAGTGATACGAAATTGTTGACGACATTGGATAGATTCTGCTGTCCCGCAATTGCTAGCACCGCCACTACAATGGCAAAAGCCAGAGACCAGACGAAGCGAGGCACGGCGTGAAAGTAATCACCTAGAAGCTGCATACTTAGGCCAGACGAGTAGTTGATGGCAATGTTGTTGCCGAGGACCGAAAAGGTAAGCAGCACGAGGCAGAAACGGGACCAAGCTTGTGGGTGGTAGATTTCGCTAATGAGGCCTCCCAGGCCGTGGTTCGTGTAGGCATCGGCGTATGGGGGGTAGGCGACCGTAACAGCGGCGTTTCCAAGGCAGCAACCGATAGTGACGGAAAAGGTGGTGGGGATAACGATGCCCCAGAAGGTGAGGAAGAAAGTCTTCCAAGCTGGAGTACTAGCGGGAAAGTTGCAATAATAATCCGCAGCGATGGAACACCAGCCCGATGCATTGGCTAGCAATGCTGAGTTAGGCTATGCATAAGGAGGGGATGGGCTCAATAACTTACAAAAGTTGATCGCGACAATGGTGAGAAATGTTCCGGAGTATACTAAGCCTGAGTTGCCATCCTCTCCCGGAAAATCGGTTTTCACATGAGGTGTCGCCTGTCCAATGAGAACGCAGATGAGGATAAACGTGTAGATCCACGAGTATTTTTCGAAAGTATGAATCAGTCTGAAGCCAAAGATGGATACCACATAAGATATGATGGCAATAATGACGATGCCAACAGTGATACTCATGGTATAGCCTGAGACAGCGCTGAGTATCTGGCCAACAACGACATAATTGACGACCGCAAAGCCGCCACCCACGACGATGTTGAGGACGCTACACAGTTTGGCGCCCCAGAAACCAAAAGAGTATCGTGATGTGGCGATTTGCCTCATGCCAAGCTGCCTTTATTAGAACTATATTTGGAGGACATGATCCGGATCGATGTTGTCTTACCTTTGGTCCTAGTGTGCCCGTCGTCGCCGTCATCAACGCACCCAGTATAATGCCAATAATCGAGGCCGCAATTGACTGCTTCAGGGAGAGGCCAAACTCTGGTCCCAGCAACCCCAAGGGCAAAACACCAACATGAATGTTGAGCGACCACCACATGAGAAAGATGTTCCATACCGACGGTGAACGCTTCTCCTCCTCTGGAATCCGATCCACGCCCTGTGTCTCGACGCCTAGTTTACGATCGAGCCATGATTCGAAAGCGTTCAAGTACCGCAAGATGGCCCAGTGTGCCTGCAATTTATGTACGCGATCCGCCGAGAGAACGATGGTTTGACCTGTTTCGACGTCGGATTGAACGATGCCTTCGGGAGTAGGAGGCCCCGATTCGAGATCGCGCTTCTCTATCGACATGGCGATGAAATTGATGGCTTGAGCGACTTGAAGGAAGGACAAAGCAACCAATACCGATATGGTTTCACATCACACGACAGCAACGCCGACATGTGGACAAGGGGGGAAAGGGGAATAAAGTCGTGCGCAACATACCTTTAGAAGGATTATTTCCTTTTTCTTCTTCTTATCTCCTTTACATCATCTTATCATCAGTCAGTTTCCAGACGTAAAAAATCCATATGCCGTCTTTTCCGTCCATTCCAGTGTACGTAGATGAGTGATAAGAAACGGTGTTCTGTAATTGGCTCGCATTGAGGACTGGGGTGGATTAGCTTCCCGATATGGATATCCACCTTGCCCTTCTAGTGGCGACGTTCCGGGTTTATTGGAATTTTTGGCACTCTAGTCATGGCTTTCGGCCCTTGTATCTCGCAAGAGGGTGCTGTAACCAACTTAACGCTGCTCTGCTACAATATAGATAACTTCATGTATCTGGCTTGTACTCATACGAGTTACAGCCGATGATTTAGCTTCATATTGACTTATATGTATGCATCAATATGTGAAACCATTGCCACAATCTATACCGAAGGACTCCACCGCTAGTGTAGTCCACAATGCCCATCTCTACAGTATGGTCTGGGCCATCCCCTGGCAGAGTGTGGTAATACTCGCTTCGCATTAGAACTCTCCCGAAAATAGTTCTTTCGGCCATGGCCTTGGTTAGCTGCCCTTTGGAAGAATACGGGCCTCTTTTTATACAAACTAGGTGCATCTTACGCGATGACGGAAAAGATGGAAGGCTCTTTGAGAAATTATCTTGCTGCCAGTCTATATTATTCTATGCTCGAACACTAAAGTGCCAACGTCGTAATCTGACCTCATTCATTGCGTAACAAACTTCGTACAAGAGTGACCTCTCACACAACACTGCATTATTCACTCAGCTACTCAGCTTTCTTAGATGCCTTAGTTCGAAGCTTCATCATTCCAAATACTAGTGCGTACCCGGAAATAGCGAAAATCACCGAAATTCCGATATCTCTCCAGCCGTAGAAGTAGTGGTTAATATTAAGCGTCGTCAGAAAGTCGCTGCCATTTTTAAACTCGCAAACTCGGCAGCCTGAGGTGGCATCTGGGTTTGTCAGGTTGATCCGCCAACCGTCCCCGGCAATGTAGTCCCGGAGATATTCGGCACATGTTCCATTAGCCGGGTCAAAGAGGGCAAATTCTTCTTCCTTACAGGTAACTTTGGAACCCCAGATGCCAAAGGTTAGCATGCCGGAGACAACGTAGTTAAAAGGGTTCATCCAGTAAAGCCAGTACTTCCAGAAGACGTTCAACTGTCTATAAGGCACAAAGATTCCGCAAAACAGGGTCAGTATACTGATAATGAGGGGATTAACTAGAGCCGCGAAAGTTGGATTGGGTGCATAGGCGGCGACGAATTGACCAATTCCCGTGTAGATGAATTCATATATCAGCATAATGAAGAAGATTGCACCTGAACGGTTCGAGTTATCATTCAGGCGTGCGCTGTAGTACCAGCAAGCGAAATAGAGAACTGCGCACACGCAGAGATAGGGAAACTCAGACACAATTAGACCAACAACGAAAGAAACCCAGGAGTACATCTTTGACTTTTTCTCACGTGCGTCATAGATGTCGCGTCTTTGGATGAAAAGCGGTTGAAGCTGATTGATCACTCCAGGAGCAACGAAAACGAAGTTGAAAGTTGTGAACATCTTAAGCTCTAGGTCGGAAACGCCGTGGCCAACTCTCCAGAATGAGAATCCATTTAACAATGCAGAAATAACGTGCAATGAGAATTTATTATTGACGTAATTGGTGTTTCGGAATAGGGCAATATTCATTCTCTGTGTCACAATCCTGATTTGTTCCCACAACGGCATTGAGAATTCATAGCCATCATCAACAGCCCCAGGTGGGTTGGCGGCAGCTTCAAAGATCATGTTGTCAAGTTTAGCCATCATTTGTCCATATTCGGAAGATTCGAGCCAAGTTTGATGCCAGTCTGTGTCTTTGACGCTTTCAATGCCCCCAGTGACGACGTCTATCATGAACTCGGCAGGATTGGCCTCGATAGGACATACAGCACCGTACTGTCTAAAATAACTCTTAATAGTCTTTGCGTTGTCCCCGATGTCCCCAAAATAGACTGTTTTGCCTCCGCGTGCTAGAAGCAGAAGAGTATCAAACTGTGCAAATAATTGAGCCGACGGCTGATGAATTGTTACCAGCACAGCTTGACCAACATCGGCTAATTTGCGTAGGAAACGAACAGTATTGTATGCTGACTGTCCGTCCAGGCCAGACGTGGGTTCGTCAAGGAAAATTAAGATACTTGGCTTAGACACAAGTTCAACACCAATCGTAACACGCTTTCTCTGCTCCACACTGAGTCCATTTCCAATTGTGCCAATGAGCGTATCGGCTAAATCGTGTAGTTCCAGAAGATTAATGATCGTTTCGACATATTTGAGCTTTTCCTCCCTCGGAACAGTTCGGGGCTGCCGTAATAGGGCGGAAAATTCAAGAGCTTCGCGAACTGTGGCAAAAGGTTCATGGACATCCAGTTGCTCACAATATCCAGCCATTCTTTGAAAAGAAACGGGCAGAGGGCGGCCGTCGACCAAAATGCTACCTTTAATAGTGCCGTCCGTTTTCCGCTGAGCGAGGACATCGAGCAAGGTAGTCTTACCTGCGCCAGAGGAACCCATGAGTGCTCCAAGCATACCTGGTTTAACCCATCCGTGGATGTTATCCAAGAGCACACGATCGCCTGATGGTGTTTTGACGGTGTACGTGAGGTTCTTCCAGGTAAAGATGGATGTGTTGCGGACCAAATTGTCATCCGCCTGCTCCATTACATTCTCAGAGGCAGCGTCTTTAGCTCGTTCCGTCATTTGATTCTGTGACTCCTCGTCGAAAGAAGTATGTCGTTTCTGGAGCTTTTCGCGAGGAATCAGCAGCGAAGCGCCGCCACCGCCAGCTTTCCAAAAGCACGTGCAAACGATAGTAATGACGGCGAAAAATCCCCACCAACCCCATACAACACCGTAGTTCCTCCAGAGCTGAGAATGCTTGTAATGCAGTGAGGAAAGATACTGGTCACCTGTCACAAAATCCGCGCTTGGCAAAGCACCGCCGACTCCGGTACAGGCTCTGTTGGCAGAATCAACATTTTCGTACCCTGGTCCACTCGGAACAAGGTTGTTGCCCACACAGGGAATATGCTGGTCGTGGAATTCGTTTGATAGTGCCGCTTGGAATGCATAGGCAAATGGGTTGACGTAGTATAGCTCCAGGAACCAGTTTTTCATCTTGGGTTTCGGGATCATATATCCAGCGTACATGACGATTCCCTTGATAGCTGTACCCGAGATCTTAGAAGCGGCCTCAAAAGTACTGAATGCGGCACCAATGCATCTAAATAAGGTCGTGACACACTTTGATTTATCAGTTAAAGTTACGATAAGCCGCTCGCAATAGGTTTCACTCACCAGTGTAGTTATGAACAGAATGGCCCAGAAGGTAAAGAACGCTGCGGCGGTGGCCTTGAGTCCGGCCATCCAGTATATCACAACAGTGAAAATCGTGCACTGTAACAATAAAACTGGAAAATCCGCAGTGATCTGCGCCAGGCAAAAAGCCGCAGGATGATAGAATCCGAAGGACTTCTGTTTCACCAAGACAGGTCGTCCCTTGAATGACTCTGTGACTTCAGACATGGCAACAATGCAATTATATAAGAGAGAGAAGAAGACGGCGCCACCCTTAGTAAAAAGACCGGCAGAGGTAGCAGGAGAGTTATAGAAGCAGGCACCAGCGATCAAAGACATAGCGAGCGACAGAACTTGTTTGATCAAAAATGTCGACTTTTCACCCCATAGAATCTGATATTGACGGATGGTACAAGCCTTGAGTTGCGTCATAAAGCTCGTCGTGAGGACAGATTTTTTCGGTAAATGCTTATTTTTCTCAAAGGCGACGGATTCCTTGAATGATTGAGTTCGGTCGCGGGCAACATCGGTGTTGGGGTAGTTGTATTCTGACACCATGGAGCCATGGATTGAGGACTGGTTGTACTCCACCAAAATGGCATCGGCATTTCTTGGAAACTTTTTTTCGAAGCTAGGTCGGATTTTTCGCTCGGTGGGCACCGTTACGCCAGTCAGGAAATCGCCTTGATTTTGTCAGCATTACCCTTACTGTGAACATCGATAGGGATAGGAAGTTGGATACCAATGTTAGCGCCTTCAGTATACACAAACCCAAGGTCTTCCATAAACGGCTTTGCTGCGGCAGAAGGTCCATAGAATATCTGTTTTCCCTCGTCCAGAACCAAAACTTTATCAAAAAGATTATAGATGCCGTTTCCCGCCTGGTATAGGGTGACGACAGTCGAGAGACCCTGGATATTGGTCATGGCTCGAAGAGCCTTGGCCCACTCCAACGCCGTGCTTGCATCAAGGCCACGCGTGCTGTTATCCCAGCAGAATATCGATCCTCGGGTAGCCAGACATTCGATAATTGATACACGTTTCCGCTCGCCACCGGACACACCGCGCACGTACTCATTTCCGACTTTCGTCTCAAATGTATGCGCAATTCCCATGGACTCGAGAAGAAATTGTTTCGTCTCGGCCACATAACTTTGATTTGACTCGGTACCGTCTGGGAGATGAGAAGGAACTTTGAGCTGAGTAGCAAAATCCATTGTCTGTCCGACCGTCAATCGTGGATAGAAGAGCTCCTCTTCTGTATTCATCACAATCTGGGCTCGATACTGAGCAGCTTCTTGCTCAGTCATGTTTCCGAACCGCACATCGCCTGTAATGTTGTGGTATCCTTCACGACGGTTGGAAAGCATTTTGAGGAGGGTGGTACATCCGGATCCAGGGCGGCCTAGGACCAATAGCATTTCTCCTGGCTTCACACAGCCATGACTGTCCTTCAAAATACATTTCATTGGTGGCTTCTGGCGCCAGTCTTTGATGAGTTGAGGTATGTTATATTGAGAGAACTGATTCTCCTTGACGGACGCCGAAGCAGCGGGGACTTCCACTGTAAGGTTCTCCCAAGTGACACCGAGCTCGCGTTTCTTGAAGCCTGCTGCAGTTTCACGCTCTTGTTGTTGAATCAGCTGGGGTGTCATACTCCATTCGGCGCCCTTGCTTGGAGGATATGTGATCCCCACATGGCGAAAAGCGAGAGTTTCCGCACTGGAGGCTTCCCGCATTTTGCGAAGAGGAACAGGTGCGGTTCCATATCCTTTTTCTTCTGGTAAACCAGGTTCAGAGTCGTCGGTAAAATCGTTATATTCCATGGCGGCTGTATCTTCACTGACTTAGAAGATGTAAACAAACGACTTTTATGTCCAATGAATGTGACCTAATTGGATAGGGGAGACCAAGCATATTATATCTTGATCCTAGACGGGGCCGGAATATCCGGTATGTGATATCAGGTATGCGTTCATCTGGATCTTTCATTGAGTCAAGTATCACAAGTGGAGCGAGATAGTGGTGGATAGGAAGTTTTATTTTTATCTTAATCTCTCGTACACGTCATGCAATTGTATCCATCCATTGACAGTCATACATGGTCAGGGGGGATTCAATTGTTATCGGATGACGCAATAAAAGCTCTAGACCATCTTCTAAGCCCCCTATCGAAGTTGGTGATCATTAGTAAAATCGTGCTCTTTCGGTATCCCCATTCTTCTTACATTTGTGAAGTTAATGCAGCTCCAATGTACTCTTCATGAACTCAAGTAGTACACTTGCAAATTACAAGCATTTGGATCATTCACGACAATCAAACTAATGAAACAAGACAAATCATGAACATATAGTAAAATACCCAAAGGCTGAGGCGTAGCCTTCCTCTCAACCAGCTATGACTGACCAATCCACAACGTCGGATAGATTGTGTGCCGAAATCCTAACGTTTCCAGTTCTCTAGTATTGTGTTCTCACCAATCCCTATCTCTGCGTTCCTCGGTTGCCCACTTATACGCTCCTCGGTATTTGCAAGGTCGGCATTTGTGGGTACCAAGTGCACCGGGACGGCCGGGTGCAGATTTCCATGGGCTCAAGCGGAACCGGACAAGGAGACTCCTCGGGAACCCTCAACGTCGGCCACGATCTGTTTGGTGAGATGAATGCCCAAAGATAGAGAAAGAATTTCTCTCCTTAAACGAGGATGACTAACAAACAGGCGTATTTCCGTCTTCATCCAGTCCTCACTGGATTATGTGTGTAGACATATACTATCTACCGCCTCATGTATCCTCTTTCATCAACTTCTTTTATGCAACATAAAACCTATCTCTATTATATGAACAATATTTTGGAAAAGGCTGAAGCATTTAGGACTACAGGCGTTTTGCTTTCGGCACCAAAGACTCAGGGGAAAAGTTCCATAGGCTAGTGTACTCCATACCATAAGAAAGTCTAGGGGGGGTTAGTGGGAGAGCCGGAATCGGAATAAAATGTTTGGGCCGCCGGAATCGGGGTTTTCCTTTATATACGGAGTACCAACCCCTTATTTGCCAATTTACTTGCTATTTCGTTACAATGTGAACCCCTTACATAAACCAAGCTCCCTTGACACACCGACGGCATGGTCGGGCATCTGTAAAGGACCGAATTTCTCTAGATTATAGCTTAGTTTTCTCAGGGGACAAATCTTCATACCTAGGTTTATGTCAGCGTCACTGTTAGGTTGGCAGAGAGAGAGTGGGTATCACATAGCTGGCAGATTGGTTTCTGAATTCTAATGTGATCGTCAGTGTTATCAGCCAGCTATCTCAGCTGAGTAAACGAGTGATTAAAAGGAACTTAGACTTAGTTGCTTTAGAAGAAATTGGGTGAAGTTAATTTGGCTGTATTCCGGGTAATTGAAATGAAATAAGTCGACCGAACTCGAACCAAGTTCTATGGCCCGGAACATATGGGTTTTCTATGAGAGTGTCTACCCTGAACCAGCGTTGTCAAGGCGATGAGAGTTGGCACGTGTGCTTAGGTATTTGGCAAAATAGGCATCAAATCTGCTGTTTTTATATTCCCATATATCTCTTTTCGTGGGTTGTGATATCCTTCTTCCTAAGAAGATTCCTAAAGTTAAATGGGATGGTAAGAAGGAATATCCTTCAATGCAGATCTCGCCTGTCTGAGTTCCCTATTGGACGGAACAGTTGATACCCGACCAGCCTTTTGGTGTCGGCAGCGAGTCCTTGATTCCCTCTTCCTCAGCATTCATTGATTGTTCGTCTGGGTAACTTTCCATGTTTGTATCTCGGAATGGAACAAAATGTCAATTTGTAACACTAAACCCCAGTGTACACACCCCTTTCCTTAGGAGTGCAAATAGCCCAGGCGACGGTTCCGAGTGCCGTCAGCTCCAGGACACCAAAGACAATCACTGCCTACCAAGAATAACGCATCTGTATACACATGGCAGAAAAGCTGCCTACAGTGCGTGTAAGAGTGTCGTCGCTGGTGCGTGTGCAGACGTAGGACAGCATGTCGTAGTGCTCTAGCTTATTGAGGTCATCCGCATTGTACAAAATACCAGCCGTCAGCCAGAGGATAATAGCAATAGGGTGGCTGGACACGCGCTTTCCTCCAGGAGAGCGCTTCGGGCGTACCAGACCCAGCAGTGGACCGCCGTCGCACCGATACTTTCTGTACCGTCAGGAAGACTTGTGCCGACTATAAGAGCGTTCCATTCTAGTTAGCTGCAATATCGATTGAGAAAGTCCACCGGTCTTTATCGGCGCAAATCAATGCTTATGATTGCGTCATTGCTCAACTCGAAGCTGGGTCAGTGGCCTCTTGGCGGTCTCCCTTCCTGCTAGTTAGCTTGGTTGGTACACTCTACGTTAGCATGCTAACTTAGACAATAGCAACAAAGCGGGTATCAGGGCTCTCCTAAGGGATATGTCATTCCCCAACACGAGAGGGTTCAGTTTCAGTGCTTTCCTCGATGGCTTCCTCTTCGACGTAGACCTCATTAGCGGTATCCCGAAGGTGTTGCTAAAGCCCATTAGGACAGCAATTAAAGAAGGAATCGAGGTAAGCAAGGATATCTTAGCTTCCTTCGGACCATAAGTAGAGAGAGGTGAGCTGGAGGAGAAAGGTTAACCCTTGGATACAGGCAGCCATCGATTCCGCCATCCAGCCAGCAATTGATGCGAACCTCGATATTCTCACAGACGCTAGCCCCGTTGTGAATAGTTTGCGAGATGTCCAGAACTCTCTGAAGGCGGTGCTCTTTAGCTGGAACGACCGGGGCGTTGACGACTCAACATTGAACCGCGTCACCCCCGGTGGCTTTTTTCCAACAGGGTTCCTTCCTCGAGCCTCTATCGAGCAATGAAGAGATGATTTCAACCGCTGCCACTGACATCTTCAAGCAAACAGTAGATTCCAAACACACCAATGGTCAACAAAGGCTGCGTGCGCAGTCGCAAGCCTCCTTAGTTTACTGATCTGCTACCACCAGAATGCACGTCTTCTTGCCGGCTTGTGGATGGGCCAAGATGTTGGAATCATCATCAGTGAGCTAATAAGTTTAAACTAGCATGGGTTCAGATGTAATTGTGAATTATAGTCGCCACTAACGATTACGGTAGGTGTTCTGCGATCGATCGGAAGGTACTGCAGGCGGTGGCAACTGTGCTACTAATGGCTGCAGCGAGATTAGATTCATGGGCAATGTCAATGGTGTAAGTTATTTTTCTCATCCCGTTGTTTTCTTCTGAAAAAAGTGAAAATGTCGTGGTCTAATCTGCGGATGATATTAGAGGAATGTCCCTGTATGTCTCAATGTCGGCACCGGCAAGCATCTTCCGCAAGCCCTGGTCTTTGGTCAGCTACAAAAGTTTGGTCTCAACATCCAAGACATTTCACTGCATGCAGTGACTGCCACATCTACTATCATATTCCATCTTCTCCTCTTTAACCTATCCTTAATAATGTGCTAATATATTGGCTCAGGCGGCATGTTTCGATGCTGGCGGCTCAGGCATATTTCCACCTGGTGACAGTGACATCGTAGCATTCGACTTTTCTCATTGCAAATTCCCGTTCAAAAAAATGGATAATAGACAATAAGGCTTCATCTCCCAGAATTAGTTACTCCCCTTATCTCTTTTTAGCCTTTTTAGCAATCAGTCGATCAAACAGCATGCTCAAAGCATGTAACATTTCACATAATCTGTATCTGCGGTTGCATCCTAGACTTTTAGACCTCCATCTTAGATTATAGGTTTTAGAAATACGACCTCTGGATGGCTGTTGTTCGTGTCAGTGATCGGAGACTGTGTAGTTTATTAGATACGAAGGAATTGAACATTACTCAAACATCGTCTTCATTATTGTAACAAGTTTCTTGGAACCGATTCTCTTTGACACCGTCAAACTTACCATCGCACGGCAACTTGGCCGACCTAGTTTCGCACGTCAATAATAGGAGAGTAAGTAGAATGGACTGGAGCCAAGTCCATACGTACAGTTCTAGCCCTGTGTGTATAATTCTCCGTGGACTGTGTGATATCTCAAGCTCCTCTTACTCTACACTGTTGGCACACTTTGAATAATGATTACCAGTTAAGGCCTTTCTGATCGTTATAGGAAGGATACACTGAGATTCATAGACTGATCGCGCTGTCTAGAGTATGTGGTCAACAATACTAATTTCTTAGACTCACGCTATGGCGGGGTTGTTCTCTTTCTCTCTCAACGTTGAATAATAATAATTTTGCTCCATGGTCTCCAAAAAACTTCCGCTGGCATCTGTTCGAGAATTTGATGTTAAAGCAGGCGCAAACGGAATCACCGTTTGTGAAATTGCTTATATTCTTCTTGATTGTCGATTAAAATTGCGTAACTAGATTCCCATTACAGTTTTTAATGCATTCCTCGTTGATCCTACCCTCTGTCTCCTCTTTACCCTCTTTTCCCTCTAGCGATATCCGTCACTTGATTTGGCAGCTGGACAGTTAATCTCATCAATTTCAACCTCATTACAAGGTAATGCGCCTGCCTCCCACGATCTTTACCCCCCTTCCCTCATTATTGATTAGCAAAGTAGTTGATGTATAATAATTGCTGCAGATGCTAGCAGTCTATCACGTAGTGTTATAACATCTGACTTATATCTTGATAGCGTGTACTATGTATCAAAAATATTACCTCAATCTGCCATTCTTGGATGTTCGTTTTTGTTAAATAGATCACCCAGCAAATGCTGATCATAACTCGGCTGCAGCGGCTTCGTTCCCTCTTTTCCCCCACATTCAATAACGACGATGGGCCACTTTCTTTTTGCAAGCCTACTTCACCTCTGTTATCTAGACGCCGAAAATGGTGTAGGTAGGTTGTTATGAAATAACACCTTAATAGACCGGACTTGCTAGCGTGTTCCCAATAGCACAAAGTCGAATATTGAGGTCACAGCTGTCAGCGCTTAACAGCAAAGCCCACAACAGCTTGTATGTCGTCTTCAAGAAGCGGAAAAAAGCATACTATTATTAACCAGTGACTGGGAACTGAACAATGGCCACTATAAAAGGTGATCAAGCGACGAGTGACCAAACACCAAGTAGATCAATGATTAGGTCGGAGGGAGAGAAGACGCACAAAGTATGGAAGTACTATGACTACTGTCCAATTTGGTAACACCAAATGTAACGGAAGGAAAGGAGGTATTGTAACTGCCATGCAAATCTTGGTGGTGCGCTTAGGTGGTCTCAAGCTTCATATAGAACGCTTCTAGCATGAGCGGGTAGGGTTCATACACCGCCAAAGATTACAAACAGTGGATACGATAAGTACGTGGAATGATATATCAGGGAGTCTAAAAATAAGCTTCTATAAAAGTTTTTCCCGTGCTTCTTAGCCGAAATGCGAAATGTTGAAGTGGCTCTGGTAAGAGAGGGTTGAACACGTCGGCATGTAGTATATATCCCCCTGTCATACCCGGGAGCAGTACCCTCAATTACGACATCAGCCTCCTTTACTTGCTTTCCCGTGCAACTCTCATTGGTGAAGCTAATTCTATGACTGACTCAAATAAATCACCGTTGTAAAGTGGAAAGGTTCGCCGGTTGCCGGGGGCGCTGGTGGTTTTTATTCATGATACCAGGGGGTAAGGATACAGAAAGACGGCATGATGTTATAATAATAACTTAGATAGCAAATGACGAGCAATTGCAGCACCTCCTGGGGTCCTTGGTTATAGTGTACTGGGCATCTTACGGGTGCATCTGTGAAGGCGGTGACCCATGCTTAGGAGAGCACACCTGTATAATAAGCATGTACTCTGTACACAGCGGCGTAAAACAACCAAGAGGCGGCCAGATAAAGAGAGGCCACTGCACGCCACCGAGTAAATAAGCTGTAAATTTGGAGACGGGAACCAGAACCCTAAGCGGGTTAGCCAATGGATTAGCCAGCGGCGTACTCCGTAGTGATTTTCGTATCAATGGTTAGCTGACATAGTAGAGATAGGCGGGTCTCTCGGTTACAGGAATTCTCGCTGTCCGGACGGTGCCGAATTACGAAAGTGGAAATTATAGTTGCTTCCAGAAAGGGGTTTTGGTGTAACAACCTCTCGTTGTTGACCCATCACTACATTGTGAAAAAACTCCTACGTGGGTCGTAAAACTGTCGAGTAGGGATTGCTTGAAAACAGAGTTGATGTTACCGGCTAGAATAGCTAAAGAAACGGGAGCGATACCGCATGAAGCCAAGCAGGGTTATGTGAGATCACTAATCACTACCTACTAGCAGAGAACAAAGCAGATGCCACTCTTCACGATTACAAAGTAGAAACGGTACCGAATTTAAAGGCTGATCATGGCTATCTAAATACACTGTATGGTTAACTAAATTACCTCCATGAGCGGTTAAAAAACTTAAATCAGCCTACATGATGTCACTCTGCAGGTCCTCGATATGGCCAGTGATATCTCCAGGTGGTATCACGGCTACCCATTGGTTCCATGATCAGCATTACCGTTTATGACAAGGGGGGGTTCAAAGGATATAATACTGTTCCTCTCAGGAAATGTTGGTGGGTACTCTGTACTGTCAATGGTTTTAGGCGGTATGGCACTAAGATTGATACGATAGACGACAACGGGATGGTCCCATTAGGTGCTGCTGCTCACGAATATCTGGAATTGGTCCATGTTCTCTCACACGCCGTAAATTTGGACGCAACTTAAAAGGTGACCATCGAATAGCATTTGGTTAGTACATTATTCTTTCATCATTATTTCGCCGGCTTCTTATTGATTTGCTAATGTGATGTCGGCTGTGGCAAAGTGCTCTAATATAATTTGTTTACCAACCTTTGTTAAGCATAACAACGCCGCTTGTCAACAATTCTGGCGCCTGTAGGCAGCCCTAATACAAAAGTCGTCGCCGTCCACTCCATAACTGCATTGCATACCAGATGAATACGAGAATTTCGATACTCCACTGCATATCCAAAAAGGTTCCAGCTCGTTTTTTGAGTAATATTTACAACTACGGCATAGTATTGACAAGTTTATCGGGTTACTGTTTCACTTAACCAAGCGCTAATATCAATGTATCCCTAGCGTGAGGGAGCAAAGACCACGGGGATTACGTTCATAGTTACGTGTGCAAAAGAGGCGCAGACTCATTGGTGGATATTGTTGGTCCATATCTTTCATGTTGAAGTTATCACACCTTATGTGTTGGTTGTGAAGGATCAAACTGGAAAGAAAGACTATGGGAGGGTTGCAAGTCTCTTCTTACCGACATTCCTTACTGCAGTTAATTGCTCCACCAACTCGAATGGTAAGGTTGTATCTCGTATTGGCTTTGCCGCTGCCTCTAGAAAAGCAAGCCACTTTGGCTTATATATAATATCTCGTAGAAGTTGTCGAAACGTTATACTGTAAGACATTTGCACGCTAGCAGCCAGTACGTCTCAAGAAGGAAAAGAGAATTCAGGCAACATTTACATCTTAACATGCGTGCCGGATGGAGAGTAGCTATTATAGAAGGGCATGTCGCTCGAGGGGTCACCCTTTTCAAGTTTCCAGACCGAGAAAAGTGGCACTACAGATGGCGACAGCTTAAAATACCGCTGGCGGTAGTAAGCTTCTTACTTGTGTACGGAATTATCGTCTATACAGCCACGCTCTACACAGCCGACGTGACTTTGCCATCGCCGTAAGTCATCTCTTTTTAGTTCTTAACATCACTGATAGTATTATGATGCCAAATGAGAATGCAACTGATTTACTATGGTCAATTAGATTATGCTTCGGAGACGGAACGCCTGCAAATTGGACAGATATGTCATACCTAGCGAAACACCTATGGAGACCATACTTGCACAACATTGCTTCCAAATCATTTATTGCCGACAATGGCGAGTATTACAAGATTCCAAGCCATTCCTATCGATGGACAGAGACATTCGGCAAGAAACTCATTATCCTTGACGTCGATAGTCGGCCGAATACAAACACTGGCGAGATTTTGAATGAGGAGAAGCCAGACCTGTCCAAGATAACAGGTCGGACTGCGGGATTTATGAATCATTATCTCTATTGTATGGTATACCTTATCTATTTGTTTTTCATTCTTCAGTCCATATTAACAAAGAGATTCCGCCGCAGCAATGATCCATGGATACGACTACCGACTCGTGCGAGCCCCTAATTACAACGATCGTCACGGTACCTGGGTGAAAGTCCCTATGATAAAAGAAGCTCTCAAATCCCACCATGTTGTAGTTTTTCTCGACGCAGATGCTGAGTTTGTTCACCCTCATCTCCCACTTGAATGGTTGATGAGTTTTTGGAACATAACGCCACGGACGCTTGTCGCCATGGCTGAGGATCCTGACGAGAACTACAACAAAGATGACAAGGGCCGACTGCTTTGGAATACCGGGTTCATTATTGCACAACAGAGCAATCGTACACAAAAAATGTTCGATGCCTGGGAAAACTGCCCGACTGGCGATCGCTACCCCGGGTGCGATCGTTGGTTAAAAGAATGGGCACATGAGCAAGCGGCATTCGGATATCACCTTCGTTATGATTACAACGGACCGGAAGAATTACGCACCATTCCCTGCGATCAAGGGAATGGAGCGCCATACATCGGGAACGACAAATGCCGCGGTGTGTTTGTCCGTCACCACTGGTGGGAAAAGGACCGTACCATTCAGAGTTTGTATGACTCGATTCTCAACCTATTTGTTCGGAGACTCTATGGCCAATTTCATGAAGAAAAGAGCCGCTACTTTCTGGATGCCAGCAAATATCAGTATCCGATAGATGATCTAATTATATAGCATCCCTCTCATGATCTTTACGTGTGGAGTAAACATGTGGATTTATCTGCATTTATACTCTCCTATGGAGATCAACTTGCAGTTTATTTTGTTTCATGGTTATACTTGGCAAGGCAATGTTTCTTTTGTGGCAATAGCATATTATAAAAGCCTGTTTGTAACAGTAAGGTACATTGTTATTTAGTCTTTTGCTACAACTCATCTCTTCCATTCTCCCCTTTTTTATTAACCCCATTCTCCAATCCTTTCTTAACAATGGAGCTTAAGATCTCATAGACGACTTGTGCTGCTGCTAATGCGGTCTCTTCACCTCTTCCCTGGTATGCCGGACTAACTTCGACTATGTCAGCACCAACAATATTCAAGCCCTCGATGCCTCTCAAAATCCTGATAAGCTCTCGGGTAGTCCAACCACCGGGCTCTGGGGTTCCAGTACCAGGTGCGAAAGCAACATCCAATACGTCGATGTCAACCGACAGATAGACAGGGTCTTCAGTTCCTAACACCGACATGATACCATCAATGATACCTTTGGTGCCAATATCATCAATTTCGTCAGCGGCAAAGCGAACCCAGTTCTGGGCGGTATCGGACTCGTGATCTGCCCAATCCGTTCCGCTGAGACGGGTGCGTAGGCCAGCATGAACAGATTGGCCGGTTGAGGAATTAGATAGCAGACCTTCTTGGTTAGCCATCCAGAACATTGAACCATGTGTGAAGTGCGTTGAGCCCCAGGCGGATGGGTATGCAGCAGGATCCCAAGTGTCCAGATGAGCTGTCGTGTTTTTTTTTAGCGTTTGCTCATTATTTTGGAGATTATGGGGGATACACATACCGTCAAAGTGAAGCACACGAACAGGCTTGCCATAAATCTCATTCAAGGACCTTAAAGCGGGAAGCGCTAAACTGTGATCACCACCAAGAGTGATGAGCTTCGGTTTACCTTGACTCAAGGAGCTTATAGGCCGACCTCTGCCAAGATTCTTGAATGCCTGTGTCATTTGCTCTATTGCAATATTATTATCAAAGGGTGTTATGGGAATATCTCCGCAATCGACAATCTTTGCCCAATTTTGATACGGGTTGATGTTGGCACGAGGGTTGAATGCGCGTAACGAAGTCTGGCGCGAAGACGCTTGTCTAATAGCTCTAGGGCCAAATCGGGCGCCTGATAAAGAATGAGTAAGATTCATCGCACAAACAATGTGAAAACTCTCACCTGGTCTGAAAGAAACGGCGTTATCAAAGGGCGCTCCGATGATGGCAATATCATATTTCTCTTGAGGGTTTGTGAGACATTTGACATAGTCCAGGTGAGCAAATGACCCGATGCCATTGAACGACCACTATCCCGTGTGATTAAAAGTTCTTAACATCCAGTTTGACTCAGTACATACCTCGTGCCCCCATTTCGCCTCCAACTCTGCTAATTCTTCGTTACTCCATTCCTTCTCATCGTGATGATCGCCGCAGGCATAACCTGAACTGATAAAGGATAGGAGATGTAACAACGACACAAACTTCATTCTTAGATAAGACTTGCTCAAGGATGCTCGTAAAGAAAGGTGTGATAAGAAACACCATATCCTGCGAATTTGGCCTTTAACATCTCTATTATATAAGGCCGCTCTATCTGAGTTTCCGGGTTCGCCTCCCCCACAATCCCCGCACCCGGCGTTAATGGCGGGGATGTTGTCTAAGTGAGATGCGTTTCAACAAAGCCCGAGATCGGCCAAGAAGAGCCGTCTAGCCCGACCCACCTCCAGGTTGTGTCGTTATCAGTGCGTCGTACTCAGAATATCGACTCTCACCGCGATGAGTGTTTCCCAGATTAACACCTCCAATGCACCTCCGCAGCGCGATGTTATATAGGATGGCTCTCGCAGACTGTATCTTGACATACCTAAGTCAGACCAGTTGTTGGTCATAACGTCTCCAACTTTCCGTTCTCTTTCTCCCTTTCTCACCAATCCTTTTTCATCATCTTTACTCTTCTACAAAATTCATTATTCTAATAGAAGCCAAAGAGTACAAACCATTCTCCGATATGGCTCCAGATAAATCTCACATCCCGGACACCGCGTCCATTTCCCAGTCACACGTGGAAGACAAGTCGCCATACATGCATCCCGACGAACACCTCAAGAAGCGGTTCTCCCTCCTTTCGGTCATCGCATTCGGCTTCACTACCATGAACTCATGGGTAGCATTCGCCTCTGGTGTCGCCGTCCCGCTTTCATGCGGTGGTGGCCCAGGCCTCATCTACGGCCTCATTGCTGCCGCAGTGGTTATGGTCGTCATCAACATTGGCTTCGCAGAGCTTGCTTCTGCATTCCCATCTGCTGGTGGCCAATATCATATTGTCTACATGACTTTTCCGCCGTCTACACGTCGAGTCGCCGCGTTCTTTACGGGATGGACTTCTGTGATTTATATCATGGCGGCGACGGTGTCGTGCAATCTCTTTGTCGCCGGCTCTATCCTCGACGTCGTTAGTCTTTGGAACGAGGCCTACGAAATACAGGCTTGGCATACATATCTATTGCATATTTTTCTCTGTATCATTGCCTTTGTTGTGACGTCTCGATTCCCCGACGCTATAGGCAAGCTGGGCGTGACCATTCTAGTACTTTCTCTTGCTGGGTTCGTCGCCTCCCTGGTAACATTGCTCGCTGTCAAGGATGTCAAACAAAGCGCGGATTTCGTTTTTAGAGACTATCAGAATGTCAGCGGATGGCCAGATGGATGGGCCATCTTCATTGGCATTACAGGCTGCTTATGGGCATATTCTGGAGTTGACGCCGCTACCCACGTCTCTGAAGAAGTACCTAACCCGAGCCGAAATGTCCCTATTGCCATCATTACCACCATGGTTTTGGGTGTCGTCACAGTCCTTGCATGGAACGTTGCGCTCATGTTTGTTATTACGGATCTTCAGGCCCTGATCGAATCCGGGGTTCCGATTTTGGAGGTATACAACCAAGCGCTGAACTCAAAAGTGGCTACAACCATCTGGGCCGTGTATTATATGGTCATGTTCTACGATATCGTCCTCAACCTCTTCATTTTCGCGGGGCGAACAATTTGGTCTCTTTCCCGCGACGGCGGGGTGCCCTACTCCAGCTTCATCTCTCGCCTCAGCTGGGCAAGTCCTGTTCGCGCCACCGCGGTCATGCTGGTCTTGCAGATCATTATCGGGGTCCTCTATGTTGCATCATCTACGGCCTACAGCAGTTTCATCAACCTCACCCTATTTGCGCTCAACATCACTGTTGCATTACCTCAGGCTGCTCTCTTGTTCCGAGGCCGCGGCATTCTTCCCGAGCGAGCCTTTTCTCTGGGCAAGTTTGGCTATATTACCAACGCAGTTGCCACCCTGTTTGTCATTTTCTTCTCAGTCTGTTTCTGCTTTCCCGTGGGTTATCCTGTCACAGCTAGCTCCATGAACTATCTGATTGTAGTTATGGCTGTTGGACTGGCAGTGACAACCCTTGCATGGGTTGCCAACCTGCGGAAAACCTTTACTGGGCCTAGGTTGGACAACTACGAAGGCGAGTCCGTCCATTGACGTTTGGACTAGAACAAACATTTCCTTCTATACGTTTTCGGTTAGATAATGCATTCTAAATTTCCCTTGTGGTTACCCATCTCTCCTCTGCGAGTGCTTAGTAGTGTGCCTCTCACAAAGTATGGATATTTCCAACAACCTCTAAACGTCCCCAAGTTTGTGATTCCCCGCGCTCTTGGCCCACATTTGCCCATGACTCGCTCCAACCTCTTTCCAGCCAATAGACGCCCAATCGCTATCTTCAAATCGTCCGCTAGTAAGATAGCAATCTCGTGCCGCCATTAACGCCGTGCATGAACTCTTTTCGAGACTCAGGATCTCCGCTCTCTTACTACTTCACTTCCTTTTGAGCTTCTCATCCCATCTACTCGCAGTGTACGAGTATATTGTATTGCACAACGTCCCACATTGGAATCTCTTGCCGCCTGTAGCGCCCATCACGCCGACATACGACTCGTCACCATGTCAACTTTGGCCGTTCCGCTAGAGCCCACTCCACAACCGCAGGTCACGCAACGCAAATCGACGAAAAAGGGCGGCTACACGCGACAGCGCCGCGGCTGCTTGACCTGTCGCCAGCGCAAGAAGAAGTGCGACCAGGGTTTGCCCATATGCGGGCACTGCTCACGACTTAACCTTGTTTGCAAGCATGAGAAGCCCCGGCAGCTGTCAAGTGCCTGGAGTGAGGATGCTGCGGGGGAGGATTCTGGGGATTCCCAGGCACAACCGGACTGGGCCTCTCAACGCTCTATTATTTTACAGAGCGATCACATCTCCGAAGTGTTGAGGCTGACCAAGATTTCTGAGCCTCTGGATCTTGTGCGTCTTGACAGCCCGGTTGGTTATGATTGGAGCTCCAGTCGAAGAGCCATGATGCGGTATTACACTTCCACTCTCGCTATCATGCTATCCGCAACCGCAGAAAACAACTGTTTCTTATCCGGTTAGTTCATTTCAGTCGTTGTTTTCATTTTCTAGACATTACTTTCTAATAGTGGACCTAGTCTTATTGCCAATGGCATTCGATTGTCCTGCCCTCCTTGATGCAATGGCTGCATGGTCATCGGCCCACCTTGCCCTTCGAGACCCCAATTTTCACGATGCATCTCTGCAGTATCGTGGGCGGGTGCTATCCAACCTTAGCGCTGCCCTTCATGAAGGTAGTCTTAATGGGGAAATGTGTCTAGCTGTAGCTATGGCCATGTGCTCAATGGAGACTATTTCAGACGCAACCAGCAGTAGTTGGGCACACCATCTGGCAGGTGCCGCAGCGGCTTTGCAGTCCAAGGGTTCCGATATGCAAGTAGGCCCGCTACAATCGTCGCGGTCTGTTTTGAGCGACTACTGGCTAAAGTCGGTTGAAAGAAGGTGGCTCGTGAGGAACTTTGCCTATCATGACATCCTGATGAGCGTTTCACTGGACAGGAGGCCACTGATTACGGGCGATTATTGGATGTCTGCAGACGATGCCATGGCGGATCCCTACTTTGCTTTTGCGTCCAAGATTATGCTATTGATATCTGAAATTAGTGTTTTGAACGCTGATTGCGCGGAATACAAGGCGTCCGTTGGCGGTGACTTGACTTTAAAAGAAGTCGAGTTTGCCCTCATCTTCGAAAAACTACGCTTGGATTGCAACTACCATGCACCACTTCAACGAGCTCACAATATCGCTATTGGACTTCGAGAATGGAAATGTCCAGCCTTTTCCGCCAACACGCCGCTTGCTTTCCTTAGCGAAACATATCGAAGTGCAAGCCTTATATACCTCGATCGTGTCGTACGCCAATACTTCCCACAGCGTGCAGCTGAGATACTACCAGAAGGCATCTCGGTATATGTTGAGTCGGTATGCGACATTGCGCAAAAAGTACCAGAGGGATCTCTGGCCGAGTGTTCGTTGCTTTTCCCTCTTTTTATTGCTGGTGGGGAGGCAGAGGATGTAAGGCATATCGAGTGCATTAGGAGCAGACTTTGCACCATGAACAAATGGAGGCAATTTAGGAATGTTAATGCTTGTAGGGAGGTCTTGGAAGATGTTTGGAAGAAGAGGGATGAATCCAGTGAGACAGAAAGGGTCGATTGGAGGGATATCGTTCGACAACGGGGCTGGCAGCTCGCACTGTCGTAATGGATGATGTCTTGATGTACTTCAATGAGGATCTACGAGCGTAATGGTATTTAACGAATCACGAATGAAGGCGTTATTTCTCATATTCTGCCCCCTGGCGGTTGAATTCAAGGCAAATGCAGAGGAAGCAAAATTCGAGAGACGTTCATCTGTGGCAGAGAGTAACCACCGTTTGACCTTGGCTACGTAGTTTGCGCTTTGGAACGTTTAGCAATTAGAGGATGCCCCACGGAGACAACTGAAAGGTTCGCATAGTGTGTACAGAAGAACAAACCATAATCAACAAGGAAATGGCTGAAGAGAACTGAGAAAGCGGAAGCAATATAAGAGTATCTCATATCGAAGGGATAAGTGTAGACCTGTAGCTGATGTATATTTCTATGCATTTACAATGCAACTTGGATTTCACATGTGGTAATCTTTTTTATATGCCGAGCTTCTGACGCACGCTTCTCCGTCCCTTTACCGTATGCAGATAGTCTATTGTAAAATGCTTACAATACTGTTGTACGCTGCTTTAGGATTGAAGTTGCTGTCGAACAGAAGGGGACTGGAGCCTGAACGCCACGAATCCTATGAATACGTCAAGGAGGTTTTCTATTTAAAATGGTAAAAGTGCGATGTACTCACCTTGTCGCTAATACCCCACACAGTGATCCCCAAGCACTTAGCAACGTTCAAACATCCTCGAACAACTGCGCTGTAATCGTTTGATGGTGCTCCCACGATGTCAAGTTCAGTAATGGCCAGTTCGGTGACGGGCGCTGTAGCTAGCTGCTGAAGTGCAGCTTGTACAGAGGCACCTCCTCCAGCACCGATGTGGGTTTGAGTTCCTGTACAAAGTCCCGTATGTTAGTTCCAAATATTCTGAGCTCTTAACCGCGGGAATGAGGTCAAAGGGGGTTGGGCATTGCTGGCTAACCGATGCCGTCAATTGGTACTCCCTGAGAGATCCATTTATCCACGTAGTATCTCATTAAGTTGACTTTACTAGACCCGGCAACGTCGAGATTGTAATCGTTGATGTAGAGACGACAAGACGGATCAGCTTCTCGAGCAGCACGAAAGGCAATCGAAACGAACTCTTCGCCAAGCAGTCTAGAAAACACAGAAGAGCGTAGTGTTCCATCCTCGTTGAAAATCTCGTTTACTACATCCTATTGATAGGATAAAGTTACACAAATTTAGCAGCCACCCACTAAAAGGAACGAATTGAGATTTCATAACTTACCCAAGCGCGAATCTTTCCTTTATATCTCCCAACAACAGTGAGAACATGAGTACGGATAGCTTGGCGCAAGGTATCTGCATTATTGATATTATTGACCCAGTTAGGTAGTTGTGAGTGCCATATGAGAGTATGTCCACGGATCGTCTTCCCGTTTTGTTGGGCGAAGTTAACGAGGTAATCCGCATCTCCCCAGTTATACTGGCCTTGGTTAGACTCAAGAGACTGCCATTTCATGCTATTCTCTGGCGTCACTTGACCAAGATTAGCCTGGATAATGGCTGCGTTTCGTTCTCGTTGGAGTAGGCCACGGTCAGTCGCAGTGCCGAAATAAACTTTGCCCTTCCTTTTGAAGAGTTGATCAATGCTCACGGAGGCTTGTCGATCCTCTAAATCAGCAATTCTCTCAGTGATATTAACGCGGCGTGCGGCAAGTTCAGGTTCCAATTGGATGAATTCGGTCGGGAGAGCGGCTACCAGAGGCGCCAGAAGGCAAAACATTACATTTGCTTTCATATTTCCTGATATCTGCTGGTTCTATCCCATAGAGTCAGTAGAAAAATAAAGAGCTTCAACATTGTAATTACCACGCAATATACCTGGTTTCGTAGAACAATGGTACCTCACTGGCCGTCTTTCGCTATATGTTACTCTCTGGATTTGTTGGAATGGAATACTATAGTATGACCTATCTCAACAGCGGGGGTCGCAACAATTTATAGCCGCAAGTACATCGGCAATTTTGATACAAATCTTTACCATTGTATGTAATATGAGGAGCTTGCGGATATTTCATCATCTTCGGATATGTGAACCTCTTCTATAGCCGCCCCGGGTAAAGATAAAATGTTACTGTAACTCTCCTATTGAGAAATGGAGCAGAGACTGAAGTGTTCGCTTTATAATAGCAGCAGTTTAACCTTACCTTGGCAGAAGTAAAAGGGTCCAAGATTAGCCCCAGCAACGACTCTAAATGCTTGTTCAACCTTTCCGCCTATGAACCCCCAGGGAAATATTCTGCCGTAATCAACCGCGTAAAGAAGTCAATACAGGACAACTGAATTAACCGTAGTGCCAAGAATATCTTTTAAACATACGATTCGCTAGGGTTACACCGTCGTACTTTTTGTTTTTATTAATCATCCCTGCGGGGTTACATAGCTTGGCATATCAATAAACCACACAGCATGCGTAACTCGGAGATTTATTAACCATAAATACTAGGTATTTTGAATACCCGGATTGAAATGGCAAAATTGATCACATTCTATAATAGCCTCATTGAAGCCTCAACAAATTAATTGACCTTGGACATCCTACCCTGTGTAAAGCCTGAAGAAGTGTAGATCCCTTCCCGCAACTACATAGACACTACCGTGAGATTATCAAATCTTTCTATATGTTGAGGGTCATGGGCCAAATGAGCGGAATACGTGGGGCACCAGCACAATAAGTTGTTTCTACAAGGTCAAGATACAATTATCACTCAGACTACCGGGTACCCTTACCGGCTGTACAATAAGATTAGACCGAGCATTGAATATTGATGGTCATCTGACGTGAATCAAGCACTCCATTGGAGTAAACAGGGGGAAACACCTTTAATATCATCCTCCCGTATAGTAACATCGGCGCAGTTTAATAACTGTGTAGTAACCAGGCTAAGACATACTTTGGAGCAACGACGAATAAAATTGTCAGCACACCTAGGGAATTTTGATATCAGGGAATTTTGATATCAAAGCATTAGAATCTAGACTTGTGAGTGCTATGTATTGAACATTAACTACCTATGTGTAAAATCATACCTCTTCCGCCCATACCTCCTCCACTTCTCTTATTTCTCGATGTATAAATAGCACACTAAGTAGTGACTATGTGATGCAGCGGCCTGTTCCATCCTACTCTCCACCTAGTCTCATATGGCCACTTAGGTATTATACTCATACTAAATGAAACACTACTTGTATAGCCGGCTGGCCAGTATTATTAGACACGTTTGAGTCGAGTTAATCCGCGCCTTTCTGAGTACATGAACCAGTACCTGGTGTTTTGAAACTTTAACCTCCCTTTATTGCGCCGACAAGAATCAAGATTAATGAGGCTGGCAGATTCTTTTTCATCAAAGAGAATATTACTTGATGACAGATCTTCATTCGTGTGGCCGTTATGATGCTACCTACACATGCTTCTGCTCACTAGCAACTATGAGGTTACTTCGCCTGATATGCTGGACCTTGATAACGCGATCCGACGGGATCTTAATGTATTTGGAGACTACAGAGTCAATAATCCACCCATCTTACACATAATAGCCAAGACATATTACTGGACTGGTGTGAGAGTCTGTGAGGAACATTCGGTTAGCCTGGGTTTCTACCAGCATGTTGAGATTTGATGCATTATCGCTTTCATTGCGTGTAATCATGTTTGGTAGCCCAGAAAAATACTGACAACCTTTCTACCTTGGAGTCTGACCATGTGAGATCATCAAAGGGAGAGTAGATACAGGGGTCAAAAATGAGCCTCATTGAGGTTGCAAGGCTTTCGACCATGCCATCTTCCAGATCATCGTGCTCGCAACCTCTGTAATATTGGCCTTCACGTTGCAGTAGCAAGCCAAAAGACACCTCGTATCTCTGGTAGGTTGTGGTACTGGCGGCCTAATTCTCCCCCTACACGTTATTGTTCTGGAGGCCGATGCATTCAAGAAGTTGGCATTGTTGAGAGAGACCATATAGATACCGGTATACGAGAGGTTTTTTGTACGTATTATCCCCACCGGATCATCAGTATTTTCAAGCTCATCTGCTTCTATCGCCAAAATTGTCCTCAATACAGTGAAATTGACTCCAGGCATTGTTGCGAAGATCACGTCTAAATAATAAGTGACACCTACCCAATTCCAAGGGGTGGGGCTTAAGGGGAAATGCTAGCCAATACCCAAACTACCTATGGTATTCCGCATCCTATATCTTAGACAAAACAACTACCGACTTAGGCAGTGAGTGACAGTGCCAGACAATAAATGGATACGGCTATAGTAGTAGATGTTATAAACATGTAGTGATAGTAGCAGAAAGTAGTGACAGTAACAAATGCTTGAGGCAGGTACTATGTACTGGGCAAACAATTGAATAGATGACTTCTTTTCGCATCTTGTTTTGGCACTGGAACCTGGCGCTGTGCATGCTAGTATTTCCAAAGAAAAGTAGTAGAATGGCAATGCAGAGTCAAATATCGCTGTTTCGTTGATCTAAACTTAAAGCGACCGCGATTATGTCTGAAGTCAGCAGATATTTGCGTATTTCCAGAGTTTAAAGACATGGGGACCTATAAATATACATGTCTTTGAGTCTTCTTTTGATAATAAATCTTTACACATTTTCTTTCATACCTCGGCGTTACTATATGTATTTTCAACACTATAATACATATAATACAAAGTTGCTGGAATAATATCGTCCTTACAGGCATAAGCACTGCGAAGAGTTTAGCTCACAAGTGACACATAAAGCCAACGAGAGTAACATAGATAGTGAGTGTATTACTACAATGTCTCACACAGCCCTATGCGCAGGGTTATTATACTTTAATTGAATTTCTACATGAGTCTTCCTATTTTCACCGCAGCATTTTGCTATTTTCGCCATAGTGCTGCATATCACAAGCTGCATTTACCTCCTTAATCACAATTACCATACTTGATTACCAAAATACAGGGTAGCACAGTGGGGAAAAATATTATATAAGAATTATCAATCCATGCTAATTCCTCCAAAAGATATAATCCTAGCACTTGCAATTCAATATTAACACTTCTCACAAGCCAGTTGATTCATCATGCAGCTTATTAGTGCTAGGTTGGGAGAGCGGAATAACTTCAATAGCCTCAAATTTCTCCGCCTTAAACCCGGCCATGGGGTCAGTCTTAGGGTTAGTCTCGGGGTCGGCCTCCAACGCGGCAGCAACTATCGTAGTTAGCCTTATCGTAGAAGAGGCTTCTGTAGATCTTTGCGATCATCCTCTGATAGTTCTCATTGATGATATAAAGAAATTGCGATACTATCGTTTTGTTTAATGTTGTAAACTACACAATGCGCCTCGGCGTTGCACTGTAATTAGGTGTGGTTGATTGGGAACAGTGGCGTGTGTGTATTACATTTAATATGGACACAGGCTATTACGGTGACAATGGCAAAATGCTACGGTGAAAATAGGAAGACTCTCTTGTAGGTATTAGATTACCAGTTTCACAAAGTTACCTTTAATGAACCCTTTTCTTAACTATCTTTACTCTAGCATTTTAAATAAAACCATATCACAGTCGAGGTCTCAGCCGAATAAAGATCTCCTTCGGCTTGTGAACAAACACAGGTAGTGCCGACATGCTACTTAATGATTCAGGCACTTCCAAAAAGTCAAAACTCCATACTAGCAAAGTCAGAGCGATTTTCATCCTAATATACGCCTCTCGTCTACCCCAACATGCCCTGACTCCATGACCAAACGCTGACTGTGGCCCTGCAGTTGCGTCAAACCCGATGTCACCCTGCGGATTACAAACCAGCCAGCGTTCAGGGTTGAACGATCTCATGTCTGTTTGATTCCATTTCGGTGAGGGCTTTAGTACGCGGGTGGTAGCGCTTCTCTGACTCGCGTCTATAGCAAAGGGTGGGGACAGGAAACTAGGTCCATTGGGGAGAAGGAGAACCGTGCTTCCCTTGGGGACGCGGTGGCCAAGGATCTCCGTATCACGGGTTGCATCGCGGGCGCTAAGAACGGGGTGGAGGCGGAGCGTTTCTTCCAATAAAGCATCGAGATACGGCACACTAGCAGTGCGGGAAAACTCCGCGACGGTCGGAAGTCGATTCTCCTGGACAGCCGAGGGATAAGCAGAGTGAAGCGCGTGGCGAAGATTTTCCTGGACGTTGGAATCTTTTGTTATAAACTTCAGAGCCCAGGAGATGTTGGCTTCTGTGGTATCCATCCCGGCATAGGCAATGCCAAAGAACTAGAATCTCGTTAGGAGAACGATTCCTTCAGTACCGGTCAATTGCTTTATCTCACCTCGTTGATAATCATTTCATTGTCAAAATCAGGTTTCCGACCTTCCTGCTCTGCGGCAGCTTGTTCTCGCGATAGTATATAATCAATCCCAGCTGATTTCTCGCCCGAACGCACTCGCTCTATGGCCTTGGGGACCTGCTCGCAGACTAAACGTTTCTTTGCTGACTGTATTCTTCTATATCCAGCAGTCCAGGGAATCCAACGAAGGGTCAATTTTGGCCACAACGATGTCATTATCTGGGTCACAGTGCGTCCTGCATCATGAAGCGCATAGAAAATCTGATGGATGGCAGCCTCGGAAAAAACTGCTTCTCCATGCAATCCAGTATCCGGAGAGTTTTCAATGGATAGAAGGCCGATCTGAGAGTCTAATGACGAGGACCCGAAATGCTCACCAAAGAACAGACGCATCATAATGTCAAAGTTGGCACGATCAAGATCGGCACTAGCGCTAAATGGCCTGTCCCCGGCGAGGCGGGTCTTGTTTCGCCACAATTCCACCAATTGTAAAACCAAGGCATATGTAGATGGCGCTAGGAAACCATTCAGGAAGCTCGGAGTCATCAAGTCCTGTAGCCAGCGTCGGTTTGCTTTGAACTGCCGGCCGGTATCGAAACGGGCGTGGAATTCTCCGAACGCCCCGAAGCTGTCAGAGACAAAAGCCCCACGGTCGAAATCTTCTGTGCGACGTAACGCGAGGTCTCGTGCCTCGTCAAAATCCGCCAGCAGAAGGAGGGGCTTGGAAAAGGGGCTCAAGAAGACTTGACATAGCGGCGATTTTAATTTCTCAGTCTGCTTGACACACCATGTTTGAAAATCAGAATCTGGGGTCGACGCTATCTCTCGTGCTAGGTCAGGTATATCGCCAAGGCATGAGCGAGCTGCTGCAGTATTATGAGGAATTCCCGGGATTGGCTTTGGATAGAGACATCGGTAGGCAAGGTAAGTTACACCTAAGACCACAACAGTAAGAAGAATCATTGCTTTCAACAAACGCCCTTGGCTATACCGAGAGACCAAGAGTATTGAGCAAGAAGAAGATAGCTAAGGTGCGGAGGTTGGGGGCCCCAATGCACTTGCGCTCTCACTACGGAGCAAAGACAAAGAAGGCAGATATATATGCGACTTTGACCGGCTGAATGAACGGGGTTTGAATCCTAATGGGTCGTAAGGAATCCTACGTAAGAGGAGGAAAATGAAACATATATATAATAAATCTGATTTGTTCCGCCGCCACACTGCTGTATAAGAGATATTTTATAATATTTTCTTTATATATAAATACATAAAAATAACCAATATGAATGACTCTGCATGCTTATGGCTACTAAACCACAAAGCACAATTTTTTTTAACACTACAGATTAGCATTAATGGAATACCCAATAGACTTTCCCTAAATTTATATAATTGGGTAGGTTAGTCTTAATCTGGAATCCCCATCGAGTATTACAGCAAAGACCCTATGTATAAAGGAAGCAGTGATATATCAGTATAACAGTTATAGGAGCAACATAGGACATTAATAAATTGGGAAGGTGAAGCATTTCATTTGTCTCTCTTATCGCCAACTCTGCGATCATTCTATAGTATTATTCACATATCTCTAAAGATAGTATTTGCCAAATATGTTAATTCTTATCCTTATCTGCCGTGCTATGTTATTATGAATATGGGAGCAATATAGGATAATTAATAATTGAGGAAGGTAAAGTATTTCATATGTGTCTCTTACCGCCCACTCTGCGATTATTCTGTAGTATTACAAATGTATCACTAAAGATATGGTATGTTACAAATGTATCACTAAGGATATAGTATGTTACAATAATTAGTGCTTATGCTTATCTGCAGCGATACTGCAGCAAAGCGAGAATTTATGACGTCCTGCTATCACCACAGACAAACTTTGTGACGATGAGAGAACTGGGGAATAGGCAATAGAATTATGTTAAACGGGTCATTGATTTGATCATTGGATATAAGAGGGATGGCTGAGTGCAATAATTCAGTGATGTAACCCATCTTCTCTTTCTCCAAGCTTTTCTCTGTTCTCTAGACGAGAAGAGAGTCTGAAGACTAATATCCAGCACTCAGGTGTTCATTGTGCAGAGCACAAGCTAGTCTCTATTATTCTTTCCTATCTTCATTGAGTTTCATTTCTCTTTATTTAAACCTAGCTGCAATGGCCGTCGCAGTGATTGGCATGGGTGCCAGGCTCCCAGGGGATGCCTCAACTCCAGAGGGCTTCTGGGACATGCTCGTGGCAGCACGCTCAGCGCAGTCCGATGTGCCCAAATCCAGATTCGATTCCAATGCCTTCTACCACCCTCACCCGGGTAGAACCAGTGCCGTATGCTGTTCTTCCAGCTAGCTCGGAGCTCTTGTTGACTGTACATTTATTAGATATCCGCTCGCAAGGCACACTTTTTAACTGAGGATCCATTGACTTTTGATGCTCCATTCTTCTCCATTAAGCCAAAGGAGGCCAAAGAAATGGACCCTCAACAACGGAATCTTCTTGAAGTTTCGTACCAGGCTCTAGAGAATGGTGAGTTTTTTTGCTTAGCATACACGCGGTAGCCATGTTTAACGAGGACAATATAGCCGGTCTGCCCGTTGACAGCATCAAGGGATCAAAGACATGTTGTTATGTTGGGGCCTTTGGAGGAGATTACCGAGATCTCTTGATCCGTGATAATGATGACTTGGGCCAATACGCCGTATCAGGACTTTGGTGTGCCCTTGCCGCCAACCGCGTCTCGTGGTTCTTCGACCTTAAGGGCCCTAGCATGACTCTGGATAGTGCATGCTCCTCTAGTCTGATAGCTTTGCACCTTGCTTGCCAGAGCATTCTCCGAGGCGAATCGAAGATGGTAGCTATAGCTTTCCCTCATTATTATCTCATAAGGAAGGACATCATCTAACATATGATACAACAGGGCATTGCAGCCGGGTCAAATCTCCTCCTAGGACCCGATACGGCGATGTTTCTAAGCGCCGGAGGCATGCTTTCACCAGACTCCAAGTCCCAAGCTTTTGATCACAAGGCGAACGGTTACGCTCGTGGTGAGGGATTCGGGGCCTTGATTCTGAAGAACCTCGACGATGCCATTCGCGATGGAGACCCTATTCGAGCTATCATTCGAGGAACCGCATGCAATCATGACGGCAGGACCCCTGCTGTCGGACACCCAAGTTCAACGGGACAGGCTGCCCTCATTCGGGCCGCATATGAGACGGCTGGTCTGTCACCTCTGGAGACGGGATACTTCGAGGCTCACGGTACCGGAACCTCAGTGGGAGATGCGTTGGAAACAAATGCAATTAACCAAGTTTTCGGCCCCGGACGTGCCTCGGATTTGTTTATCGGATCTGTCAAGACAAATATCGGCCATACTGAGGGTACAGCAGGTATTGCTGGAGTGATGAAAGCAATCCTGATTGTAGAGCGCGGATTGATTCCGCCCAATATCTGGTACGCTATCATATAGACATGGCTGATCAGAGCAAGTGACTGACTATTGGGAAATACAGGTTTGAGAAATTGAGTCCGCGAATTGATCTTCCTCCGACTATCAAGGTATGTCTCGAACTTTTTATTCGGTTTGATATCTTTGGCATTGCGCTGTGTTCGCCAGTGTACCATGCCATTAAGACTCTACTATCTTCAGGATGAGATAATAGACGGTGTACTCGCCACCTGATTCTCCCTTTTATACCACCAGGGCTCAAACCAAGACACTGACCTCTCCCGTTCATGGCAGGTTGCTTCCGAACTCACTCCATGGGCGAATCCCGGCCCACGAATTGCGAGTATCAACTCTTTTGGGATCGGCGGTGCAAATGCCCATTGCATCGTGCAAGATACCAGTTCATATCTTCAGGGACGCCATGACTCAGAGGCGACAACTGACGACAGCCCCATTAATGGTGTTAAATGCAGCGCGAAAGCTGACTCGAGCAGGCCCATTTTGATCGCTGTATCGGCCCAAGACAAGCAAGGCACGGGTAGAATAGCCCAGCAACTTGAAACATACCTTGATAACAAGCAGCAGAAAGACAAGGGCACAGAAATTCTACAAAATCTTGCCTTCACCCTTGCTAAAAGGCGCAGTGTCCTCCCGTGGAAGGCCTATGGATTAGGCTCGGATGTTGAGGCTATTCGTAAATCGTTGGCCGGGATCAAGGCCCCAGTGAGATCATCCCGCGCACCTCGTCTTGGATTTGTTTTCACTGGCCAAGGTGCTCAATGGTACGCAATGGGACGGGAACTGTTTGCTTACCCAGAGTTCCGAGTCTCGATTACCTCATGCGACAGCACTCTGAAGTCTCTCGGGTGCTCGTGGAGTTTGCTGGAAGAACTCCAACGCAATGAGACAGACTCCCGGCTGGATACCACGGAATTGAGTCAGGCAGTGTGTACGGCCCTCCAAATAGGACTTGTGGACTTGTTCCGCGCCTGGGGGATTCAGCCTGCTGCGGTCGTTGGGCACTCTAGCGGAGAGATTGCTGCTGCCTACGCTGCCGGAGGTCTGTCTCATCGGGCCGCTATGGCAATGGCCTACTACCGTGGTATATCTGCTTCAAGCATTGAGCTGAACCCAAACTTGATTGGCGGCATGGCCGCTGTCAGGGCTGGTGGCGACAAGATTACACCCATCTTACGTGACCTGAAGAACGGGGTCGCTATCGTTGCTTGTTACAACAGCCCCTCGAATTGTACCGTATCTGGAGACAGGGCCGCTTTAGAAGAGCTTCAACCTATTTTGGAGAATGCCGATATTGGATTCACCTGGCTGAATGTTAGGGTGGCCTATCACTCGCCGCATATGGCCTCGGCTGCGGCAGCTTATCTCGCAGACATGACGACCTTTTCAGCTGAGAAGGACTCTTCTCATCATTTAGACGCTGTCCCTTTCTTTTCTTCTGTGCGCGGCGAACTCCTTGACTTGAGCGTTCTCGGCCCTCAATACTGGGCTGAAAACCTCAAAAGTCCAGTTAACTTCACTGGTGCACTATATGCTCTTCTTCACCACTCCGGAGGCGATTCCGGTGCAGAGCATGGTTTGTACGTCGACGGTATTGTCGAGATTGGCCCTCACTCAGCTCTCCGTTCCTATTGTCTCGAGATATGTCGTGGTGGAGATAATCCAGCAACCATCCCCTATGTTGGCTCTCTCCGCCGTGGCCACAGCGCCTATGATACGATGCTCTCCGCAGCTGGTGATCTCTGGTGTCTAGGAAGTCCCGTTAATCTGTCAGTAATCAATGGGATGACTTCTGACGCTACGATTTTGGTGGATCTCCCGCCATACCCTTTCAACCATTCTATATCATACTCGGCCGAGACCACGGCATCGCGCGAGTTCCGTTCGAAAGGATATCCTCACACGGGACTCTTGGGTGCCCCGGTCTTGGGATCTATGATTCCTCAGTGGCGAAAATTCCTACGGATACGCGATGACCCTTGGATGATTGACCATAAAGTGAGTTGGACGTGTTGATGGGAAGTGAAACGTATATGGGCTAAAGCTGAAGTCGTTGTGCTAGGTACAATCTGGAACACTTTATCCTGGAGCTGGTTATGTAGCTATGGGTAAGTCCCCCCTCCCTCATTTCTATTTTGGTGCAAGTACTAACCCTCACGGAAGTTATCGAGGCTATGAGCCAACTAGCTGACCCTGGAGCGGAGGTGGTGGGATTCGAGCTTCAAGATATCGTCTTTGACGCTCCCCTACAAATACCAGACGATGACGATCAGGGCATTGAAACAGTGACCCAGATCGGTTCTGCTAAGGAATCTATAGGAAGTTCGTGGTCAAGCTTTACCGTTGCTTCTCGCGGTGGTGGAAGAGATGAATTTTCCTTCCAGACGCACTGCAAGGGCAAGATTCGTCTTCACTACAAGCCGACGGCGGGCTCTGAGATGGCGCAAGAAATCGAGCTTGAGCGACAGCGGTATCTCGACGCATACAAGGATGCAGAAAAGCAGTGTCTGCGTCCAGTTCCAGACTTCTACGAAAAAGCAGCCCAGGTTGGTATGGGTTTCGGACCCATTTTCCAGAACTTGAAAAATATACACCGAGGCTCCGACAGGAGTCGTGCCACGATTATTATTCCAGACACGAAGTCTGTCATGCCAGGACAGTTTGAACACCCTCACATCATTCATCCCGCCACTCTCGACGCCCTCGCGCAAACAGCACTCAATACCCTCTCGGACAACGGAGAGGGCCTGGCAACTTCGGTGGTCGCAGCCGGACTCGAAAGCCTGTACATTGACGCACAGATTGCAAAGTCTCCCGGCCATGTTTTCAAGGCTTCGGCGACTAGGGATGTGCAGAGCAACCACGGTGCTAAATTCACAATTGCTGTGCTAGACTCCGAGACCAATGCACCATCTCTAATTGCTAAAGGTGTTGAGATCGCATATCTTGGCAAATCTGAGTCTACGTCAGAGTCACCGAATGATGGACTTTGCTGGCAGACCGTATGGGAAGCAGACGTCGATCTCCTCGCTCCAGTCGGGGCGCGAGAAATCATCGCATCGCGAGTACCTCCCGAACCGTTGAAGGGTGAGTGGAGTGACTCGCTGGAGCTCATCACCTTCGCCCACGTTAGAAAGACGCTGGCGTGGCTATCTGGAGAAGGCAAGGACTTTGTGCCCAAGACTGGCACGCTTAAGTACTACCATGAGTGGATGCTCGATGTCGTTGAGCGGCGAAAAGACCTCCTTACGCATCCATTCGTGAACGAGGCGGAACCATTTGCGGAAGCGAATAAGAGCAATGGGCCTGGGGCAGTAGTACTGGAGATGGTGAGTCGGATCGGGGTTCACCAGCATGGCATTTTCCAGAATACCACCCAACCCCTAGAAGTGATGCTGGAGGGGAAGCTTCTTCATGAGTTCTAGTAAGTTTCCTAATGCTAGATGAACTGAAAGGCGTCACTGACCAAGTTATTTAGCAACGCAATTGGTACGACGTACAACACTGCCGTGTCGGAATACATGGGACTGCTTGCCCACAAGATGGCCGGCAAAGCTACAGTCCTCGAAGTTGGCGCAGGAACTGGTGGTACAACCGCAAGGATCCTAGATCGGCTCCGTAATACAGATGGTAGCTCTATGATCCGTCGTTACGTCTTTACAGACGTATCTGCTGGCTTTCTGGGCAATGCTGCCACCAGGTTCTCGCAAGATGCTTCAGTCATGGAATTCAAAACGCTCGATATTGAACAAAATCCCCTAGACCAAGGTTTCGAACCTGATAGCTTCGATATTATCGTGGCATCGGGTGTCCTTCACGCAACGAAGAGTATTGCGACTACCCTTAACCACTGCCGAAGTCTTCTCAAGCCGGGAGGAAAACTTGTACTAGCCGAGCCTACGGAGAACACACTCTACGTGAGTTTCATCATGGGCACATTGCCTGGATGGTGGCTTGGTGAAGACGATGGCCGCAAGGGCGGACCTTTGCTTAGCACGCCGAGATGGGACGATGCTCTACGCAGAACAGGCTTCAGCGGCGTGGACGTGGAGTTCCAGTCACCGCCAGCTCCAATGTCTCTCCTTGTGTCGACGAAGCTTGGAGGCCAGCCAAACACCGTGAAGCTCAGGGCCTCGCTGGATCTTTTGCTTAAGAATGATGCTCCCTTGCGTATCATTGTCGATAGCCCGCCCGCTTCCGATTCACCGGCCCTTGCCTTGCAGGACCTTCTGTCGCGTTCGGTTCAAAATGTGTCAGTGGTTACCTGGGAATCACTGTCGACCACTGACATAGCGAACGCATATTTCCTAAGTCTCCTCGAGCTGGATAAGCCATTCATTCGGGATATTGAAGAGAAAGACTTCAAGAAGCTGAAAGAGCTTCTATATGGATCCGCTGCAGTTTGTTGGATGACGAGCGGAGCTAGCATTGACTCGCCAAACCCTGAATTAAGCCTCATGACAGGTCTCGCCAGGACACTCATTAGTGAGAGCGACGTTAACATCATGTTAGTCGACTTGGATAAGAACAACGGAGTAATTGAACAAGAGTCTTTAAGCATTGCTAGTACAATTGTTCTTTCTCATATGGCTGGAAATATGAAAGAGCGCGAAATCACTATACGCAACCGAATCCCGCAGATACCTCGTTTGCTGAGACACGGAGAGTTTGAAGATTTGTTGCGTAGACAGAAAGGAGATACCGCGGTGCAGCTTGTGCCCTACGGCCAAATCAAGGAGCCTGTCAAGCTTGTTGTCCAGCAGACAGGACTGCTTGACAGAATGTGCTTTGAAGTTGACAAGGAAGCCCTTCTCCCCGTCCCAGATGAGTGGGTTGAGATTGATGTAAAAGCTGTAGGATTGAATCCTGAGGATTTGCTCACTGCGTTGGGCAAGCTAAAAGACTCGAGCATCTTCGGTTTCGAATGCAGTGGCCAAGTCACCCGAGTCGGCAGCAAGGCCGTGGGACTACAGCCTGGCGATCGTGTTTGGGCTTGGGCTGAGAACTGTCTCGGCACGTCCGCTCGCTTTCCGTGGTGGACGGCGCTCAAAATGCCAGCTTCAATGGGCTTTGAGAATGCCGCTAGTTTGATGGCAGTCTACGTAACTACGTACTACAGCTTCTTCCAGGCTGGCAGGTTGCAGGCAGGCGAGTCAGTGCTCATACACTCGGCCGCAGACGCCATTGGACAGGTTGCTATTATCCTGGCACAGCATATTGGAGCGGTCATATATTGCACAGTGGACTTTAATGAGAAGAAGGCAATGCTCACCAAATCATACGGCATCCCGGCGGACCATATCTTCAGCACTCAACAAGATGCCTTCGCTAAGGGAGTGATGCGGATGACGAAAGACAAGGGTGTTGGTATGTTGGCGCGCATGTATATGAATCGTATAATTTACTGACAATGCCGATTAGATGTGGTTCTTAACTCTCTTGCCGGAGAGTCACTCAGGCTTTCTTGGCAATGCCTTGGAGAGTTTGGCCGTTTCCTAGAGATTGGTAAGTTGCTTCTTTTCTCCCTCAGATAGAGAGTGTGCAGAGTCTTACATGATGGTGGCAGGTATAACGGACATCCAAGCCAATAATGCACTGGAAATGAGGCCTTTTGCGCGGAACCGGTCTTTCATTGGAGTCAATCTCCGTGACTTCATGCGCTGGCCAGTTGCTTCGGCTCGTGCGACTATGGATGGGCTTCGGGATTTGCTTGACAAAGGTATTGTCAAGCCTGTGAAGCCTATTAACATCGTCGATATTGGGTAAGTAAAATATTCCATGGCATCAATAAAATTGAAGGCATCGCAAATAATAACACCATTTGTGAAACAGGGACGCGGAACAGGCGTTTCGTCATATGCAGAGAGGTAAGAGCATGGGTAAAACCGTGCTTCGTATGTCACCGGATAGCCATGTACAGGTGAGTTAGCTTGGGGTGATGGGTATCTTCTGAGGTCCACAAACTAACAAAACAATAGTACAAGTTGTCATTGCCACGCATGCCCATCGACCCCACGGCTACTTATCTGCTAGTTGGTGGTATGGGAGGTGTCGGCAGAGTGTTGGCCAACTGGCTCATATCGGTTGGAGTAAAGAACATGGCATTCATCTCCAGGTCCGCTGCAACAAATTTGGACAACCAAAAGTACCTGGAAAACCTCAGGAATGAGGAAGGAATCAACGCCAAGGCGTGGGATTGTGATGCCAGTAACAAGGACGGACTGAAGAAGGCGCTTTCCGATGTTCAATCGACCATGCCTCCGATTAAGGGAACGATTGTGGCTTCCATGGTCTTGCGGGTAAGCCTTTTCTGTCCTTTCGATCTACAGGTAGTTTATCAATGAGGCCGGAACTAACAGAAAGCTGCAGGATTCTCATTTTGAACGAATGAGCCTGGGAGACTGGACTGTCGCTGTCCAATCAAAGGTAAGCAGATCTGGGTGCGTCTCAGCTGAGGAATCTATTTCTAACTCTCGCAGGTGCATGCTTCGCAAAACCTGCACGAGCTCTTACCGAAGAATCTTGACTTTTTCGTCATGCTTTCTTCAGGAGGAGGTATCATTGGATACCGTGGTCAGGCCAATTATCACGTTGGTAATGTGTATCAAGACGCCCTAGCCCACCACCGACGTGCTCAGGGACAGGCTGCTTTGACTATTGATATGGGTCCAGTCCTGGGTGTTGGCTGGATGGCCGGCGAGTTTGTTGACGTCTCAATGCAAAATTTGCAGCTTGCTGGTAGCGTACCGTCTAACCCAGCTCACCTCGGTGCTCTGATTGCCGCCAGCTTCGGACCTAATGCACCGCCTCATCCAGCGAACATCACGCTGGCACTTCCCGCCAGCTACCCCGGTGGTGAACCTTACTACTGGATGAACACGCCTCGATTCTCGGCCCTCTGTGTACCTAGCAGGAGCACTGGCCCTGCAGCCGTCCAGAACGGCCAAATCGATAGCCATCCGCCGTTGAAGGACGAGATCGTCGAGGCTGATGACGTGCGAGCTGCTGGACGCATCACGACTACGCGCCTGCTCGAGTGGATAGCACGGCTAATGGCAATGCCCCTAGAGGATATTGATACACAGAAGCCTCTGACAGCGTACGGCGTTGATAGTTTAGTTGCGGTGGAGCTACGGAACTGGCTGCGAAGGGAGACGGGGCTGGAACTGGGAGTATTGGATATGATACGCGACGTCCCCATGGCGCAGTTTTGCTTGGAGACAGCTGCAAGGGTGAGGGGAGAGAGCGGCAAAGAATGATGGAGAGGGGATTTGAAAGGAGGTTGAAGGGAAGTGTATTTATCTGCAATCGTTGAGATTGCTTGGAAATTTGAATACCTGTGTACCTATAAATATGTTTTTCTTTAGAACTTCCTTTCACAGTAGCTCTTTGCATACTTCTACACCACGCCATTAATTGAACTGACCCTTCAATCTCTCAGCTCGTTATTATAAGCTGTGGGCAGTTCTCCCCTTTGTAATACTGCTCTGAATTTTTCCGACCGCGTCTCTGCTTTCCATTGCTTTCATCCATGCCATGTATTTGGGAAACTTCTCCAAGCCCACATGTTTGTTTAGCTCTTTAAGCAGCCCTCTGCCGACTGAGGCCCATGTTACAAAAGACAGATCTGCATATGTGATATTATCTCCTACGAGCCATCCCGTGCCGTTTATTTCCAAGGCCCTGTTCAAAACGTCCGTTACTCGAAATATCTCATCGACGTAGCGATCGATAGCTGATGTAGGCTTCTCGCTATGGAATCGAGCGAACCAAGTGGCCTAGTCAAAATAGGGACCCTGGCATTTGAGGGTAAAAAGAGAAATTAGTTAATGAGAAAGGTTGGAGAACATATATATGGAACTAACCCACCAGAAATCTGAAATCCTAGCCATTGTTGCGTTAAGTGCTTTTTGGATAGGCTTTTGAATGAGATTTTACAGTCATTGTCATACTGTTCTATCAGGTACAAAAGAATAGCACCCGACTTTGGACAATTTCTTAGCCCGAAAGCCACAAAGCAATGTCGCAATGACAAGAACCAGAGCTCACCTCCCATAGTGTAATGCCAGTATTGGGGTCCTTGATTGTAGGCAAGCGCCCATTTGGATTGAGTTTAACATAAGATTCTGCTTTCACCTCCGAAAATTCCAGCTGATGGATTATATATGGCAATGCGAGTTCTTCCAGAATCATGCAAACCTTCCTGCTTCATGTCATAAGTTTTGCTCTTTATAACTATTCCAGCAAGCATTAACACATACCATGGATTCGGTACGCCCCAGTGGCCCCAAATCTCTATGGATTGGAAAACCATGATGGATACAATCAGGGGAGTATGAAGGTGATTGAGAATAGTGTGCCTCAAAGGATGTGTAGTGATGGCCTGGCAAGAAGTGCTGTGACTGGAGACTGGGCTGTAACTGGGTTTTTATAGTCGTCACGCCAGCGTTTGCAGTTCCAAACTCTTAATATCGTGAGCGAGCGGTGACGAACCACGAAGCCTGTCTGAGATGGTGCCCCATGTAATTAATGGTCTTAATCAAATAAAGGAGCCGAGCATCTTGGTAAAAGTGTTCCGTACAATGGCTTGCGAGAACTCTAGCTTTGAAATCACATAAACTGCGTTTAGGCTGCCAACAATGGGCCATATGTGGTATCTCGTTATATGGGTCGCAGGTAAGCGAATGCAGGCTCTGAAACAGCTACGGAATACAATGAGCTAATATTCCTTCGAAGCTGCGAATCAACTAAGACATCAGTAGCTTTGCGAAAACACTAGTGCGATCTCTCGACTGCAGCGCCACGCGTAATTAAAGAATTTACGGTGATATCAAATATGACACCAGAGGCTGTCAGCAAGATTTGCTCTATCGCTGCTTATTATATCGGATTATATCCTCAGGTAATGCCAGATTGCTTTGAAATGTCGGTGATAAACACAGCAAAGGCTTTGACTTTGATCTGGCCACTATCTTGCGCTTTGACAGCTCCAGATCTAGCAGATCAGCAACAAAATTGGACTAAGAAAGTACTGTGGAAAATTGGGGAACAATGCTCAATTCCTAAAGCATTGTCATTGGTAAGCTAGCTTTCAAATCAACGACTCTGCCTATATCCTTTACTCAAGGGATGCTGGCTTCGCCTTTTAGGCACGCGCAGGGAAGGGAAATGTACCACACTCAGATATCTTAGCAGGCATCCTCCTGGTTGGTCTTTTAAACATCCTGCCGCATCCTACTCTCATATAACAGACAAACCTACGAGGACAAATTAAATTGAACTTGAGTACAGGCTTGTTCACAACCTAGGGGAATTACGAATGTGCATGGGTGTTAGAGTCGGATTTTATATATGCTTATAGGGTTAATATTTAACCTCTGACCATATGTAGGTAGTCTATAATAGAGTTCTTTTGGTTGAATTACCATTCCCTTTACTAAATAGACATTAATACGTGGCGGCCGGTAGGCCATAGGAAGCCATCAAACCCGGGTTATGGGGATACTCAATAATTAGAGTGACACCCAATAAACCGCTCCTAAATATTTACATCTTTTCACTCCATACGTCACGCCGATATATATTTACAACAGCAAGTCGCAAGTCGCACATAAAACGAACGAGAGTAGCATAGAGGGGGTAATACCACAATCCCTCTCACACAAGGTCTGGTGCAGTGGATATCAGCCGAGATTAGACACTGCAGCGACCTAAAGAATACCTCGTTCAAAATCTTCAAGGTGCTCACGGAACCAGATTGCGTCGATCTCTCTCGCCAACGTCCAGTCTAGATTTAATCACCAAAGATCGGCTATACATACACCGCTTGTCTTGGCCCCCTCATACCGTTCCTTTGCTTAATTGCGCGCAAGTGACCTGGTTGCTCGAGAGATTTCGGACAAGGCTGATACTGGTTACCTAATAATGCCGAAGCGCGGCGCTTACTGCATTGCATCGGCGCTTCCTTTGTTGGATAATATCGTCTCGTCTCTACTGAAGTAGGCCATGGCATCATCGGCGGATGGATCAAATCTGTAGAATACTATGTCTTTGAAAGAGCTTCTTCCAAAAATCGGAATGGATACTGGAAGATCTGATTGGATCGGGATCGTCTGGTATTGCCAATTCCCACCAGCAAGGTCTCTTGGCACAGGGCAGCCGCTGTCGCCCCATGTAATGAGAAAGGGTGATTTGAATAGTTGGACTTGCTGGAGTTGGCATAACTCATAGGAAATGCTACGGCAAAAATCACTAGCTCGAATACCTAATCATCCATTCTATCGCCACCTAATATGTAAGATACGCAAAGGATTTCCCGTGTTTCACATGAAACAAGCTTGAATCCTCCTGAGGCATCCTTCTACAGGCGCAAGCGCCCTGATTGGCCCCCGCTTCTTGTAGCACCGCTGAAGGCGCTTCAAAATTAAAGGCTACTTTAACTATACTATGGGGAAGAACGGCTTTCCGTTATCTAGTCGATTATGCAATTGTTTTCTTAGAATAAGGTACCCTTCGATTTGTAAATTTACACTACCTCAGCAGGGTTATACTGCACTGTGCCGCTCTCTGTGCGATTTATATGAACTGTTCGGACGAATTCGCCGCAAGCTTCTCCAAAGATGGCGCTATTTAAGGCACACTGGGCCGTGCCGAGCTTAATGGTCAGCTGTCTTTTGTGCGGTATAGCTTTTGCGCTCGGCCACCATTTCTTCTACGCATCTCTGAATTCAAAAATTGTGCAAAGCAACATCGAACAAGAATGGAACATTCGCATCGGAACTGGCATGGCTTTTCTAGTCAAAACTTGCCTGACAGCAGCTGCTGGATTTGCCTATACACAACTACTGTGGACGACGTTACGATCCCGTCATGCAACCTTGAAAGGAGTAGACGCCATGTTCAGCATCACTACTAATGCGTGGGAATTTTTAACCCTAGAGCTCTGGCGAAAGGGATTTGGGTTAGTGCTAATTGCTGGCATATTATGGTGAGTCATTTACCCCCGGTGATCAATATTCCGATATTCCCAATGTCTTTGTGTTGGCTAATATGTCCGTATCTTTGTACCGAGTAGGGCGCTACCTATTGTTGCCGTTTTCACCCCCGCGGCGCTGACAGTTCAACCATCCAAGCAACTCAATGAGTCGAAACATATTAAACCCTTGCCCACAATAAACTCGACTAGCCCGTATCCATTTGCGCAATGGGGCAACGAAGGTGGCGGCGGATATGTTGCCCCTTCCGTTGCCGTCGCCCGACTGGTATCGTCTGTAGCATCTCAAGGGTCCATTCTTCCCATACAGGCAATGTATCTCAACAGTTCATACTCTCTAGATTTCTACGGCCCTTCTTTATCATGCGGACCATTGGGGGGCAATTCTGAATTCCATGCCGCTTATGATAAAACTTTTCAAGAAGCATATGGATCAGTATGGGGAATGGCTAATCAAGTCGTTACATATTTCAGCTTTGTTCCTCAGACGGCACGGGATAACAAAACAGGAGATACCATCATCAACTGGGAGAATAGAACATTGAGTGGTTTGCGGGCAATTTTCGACCCCGAAACCATTCTCGACTTAAGTGGGAATTTGGCCACTATTGACGACACGGCGAGTTCCGCAGACCACCAAGCACGTTGCCGATTTTTCGTTGGATTTCCAACATACGGCTCATTCGCAAATAGGACTATAGAATGCGGGCTCTATAATTCGTCTTACAATGTCGATTTAAGATTCGAGAACGGCAAACAGACCATCGACATCCGCAACTTGACAAGGCTCAATCCTGTTAGTGTTGCAACCGTAACTGGTCAAGGTGACCATACAATGCCTGAGGTTGCGTATGTATCTATTATGGATTCATTGGGCGGCATCCTAATGGGGAAGATTATCGCAACGCGTTATGGCTCCCTTCAACCAGTACGAACTCAAGTGCTCTCCACCGTGCTCACCCAGGCTCACGATATGCAACATTTGCAAAATGGTTTCGGCCAGACAGGCATCCTGGGTGAGAAATCCGGAAACGGCACCAATCTCACCATGGCAGAGACTCTGGAACAACTTGTATCCAACATCACCTTGAGTCTCTTCAGCAACCCAGATCTACTGTAAATCCCATCATACAAGAGCCGAACAATGTCGTGCAAAAAGTCACTCACAATAAATAGGCGTAGCCTTGATAACAGTACAACCGGAAATGTCACGGAATGGACTTCCTTGAATGAATATTCCTACAACCCACGCAATCTTTACGCAGCATACGGGACAGGTATATTCGCTACTTTGGTAGTTGTGATAGTTGGACTGGCATGCATAGGGGCATCATCTACGTCGTATAGGTCATCATTTTCAACCATACTCCGAACAACCCGAAATGAAGAGCTAGACATGTTGGTGCCCCGTGGAGAGACAAGTGGCGCGGAGCCGTTATCAAACCATTTAGCCAAGTCAAACCTCAGCTTTCAGTATCATGCCGCTGTTCAGGATGCCAACACATCTTTTAAGGATACAACATCGGCAGCATTTATGGTTGTAAAGGAGGAACAGCCTAGTTATGAGCAGTTGGACCAGATACAGAATGATTCTACTTTACGAGTTACCAGCTAAGTCTTAGACAGAGATGTAAGGCATCTTAATGACTTATAATTAGGAGTGGTGAAATATTATAAGAAGCAAACATTTTGAGAGGAATGAACGGTTGTACATCGATGCGCCCGACAGCTGTGTCAGCATAGTAAAGCTGCGATGGAGAGAGAACCAATTTATCGCTGGCATCGCTGAGGATGAATCAACAGAATGGGCAGAAATCATCTTTAACCTGGCTATCCAACGCCGAATAAATGTCCTAATGACTGTATTCTCACCATGAGAAGGAGAAGATGGGTATTGGCCTTGGCTAGCCACGTTATGTCTTGATAATGTATAATTAGACAGCAAATGTACTATTCTCCTGGGACATACAACTCAGTGAGTTAATGTCATAATAACTATCCTATTTTCTCTAAACAACCCTGAACCTAAATTCCAACAGCGCCTACTTTATCACAAGTTAAGATCCAACGGAATATCCGTTGAATCGGCAGCGAATAACAGATCTAGTGCGCGAAGTATAGCTTGGCCTATCATCTGGGCATCTTCATCCGTGAGAACCGATGTCCAATATGACAATTCCATGAAAATGTCATCACCGACATCCGAAACGTAAACGGAGATTGCATACTACAATTGGTTAGCTTTGATGGGAGTTCTCGGATTTAGACAATGGCCTACCTCGTCTGTCATAAACGCATCAACTTCATTGAATTGGACACTACTCTGAGAGCAAGGCGATTGTTTGGTCACACGTTGCATATTCAGAAATGTGTTATATAATGGCCCGTCAATCCCAACGGCTGCGCGGATTTCTTCTAGAGAGCAATTTTGGCTCTTTGCATAAGTTAGTATGCCATAAGTCTTTTTTAAGAAAAAAAAAATCGGTCCTTCTATTTGCACCGAGGAGATTGGTTAGCCACTTACCATCAAGGTTTCAGCATAGTTAGACTGCAAAGCCCGTAACATAGATTGCAGTGTCTGGTGGCCGCTAGCTTTGACCGTACACGGTAGAAGATTGATTAGGGGGCCCAGGATTGTATCGACTTCAGGCAGCGGTGCATCGCGTCCGGAGAGCATGAATCCAAAATTCACGTCGTCAGACTTGGTAAAATGGCGGAGTACAATAGACCAAGCAGCTTGGAATAGATTGGCAGTTGTAGCGGCCTGCTCTTTGCAAAATGCGCGAATCTTACTGGTCCGGTTGATTGGGACAGCGATGCTGTTAAATGACCCATGAAGAGGAGGATTCGAGGCAGATGATGCGCTTGTCATATCGATGCCATTATTTGATCGTGCATTGGGCAGGGATGGGAAAAAGCAGGGTGAAGTACCGTCCAAGTGATTCTTCCAGAATCCGAGAGCGCTTGGCTTGGGCAGACCTTCAATGTAGGAAATGAAGGCGCGATAAGGAGAAGCAGGCATGCTGTCCAAAGCAACGCCGTCTCCTCGAAGACTTGAGTATGCCATCTGGAAATCGTGCCATAGTACTGATATACCCACAGCGTCATACAATGCGTGGCTGATCTGGAGCTGAATGAAGACACGTTTCTCCGCCATGGTCTCCGCAAGAACCATGCGATGTGGTGGCAGTCCGTAGTCAGGGATATCGGGTGAAACATTGAAAATAGATGCAGGATCAATTGACAAAGCATCCGTAACATAGGAAACGGGGGCTGTGAACTCTTTCAGCACGATTTGATATTGCCGACCGGTCTGCTTTCCAGCTCTGAAAGCGGTGCGAAGTACGGCGTGACGATCAACCACCATTTGCCACCCCATCGCGAGGTCTTCCATTTGAGTCGATTTATATTCAGATGGCAGTATGGCCTCTACTATGAAGCTTGCAAACCATGCATTCTTTTGTGTTTCTTGGATTGTGAGAATGCTGCTCTGCATAGGTGAGGAAGGGTAGACAGCTTCGATGTTTGACATGTCATCAAAGTCGAGGTCTCCATGCTCAGCTTCGATGAGAGTTGTTTGTGGCATATAATCATCTAATATGGGGTTTATTCCGCCCACATCACGAGTACAACGAGGTGCCAGGGATGCAATTGTTGTGTACTGGAAGATATCTCGCACTTTCACTGTCACACCTTCAGCACGACAGCGAGCCATGAGCTGCATAGCCAGCACAGAGTCGCCAGCGAGCGAGAAGAAACTCTGGTCGGTACTGATGCTCGCCGCATCGAGATGAAGGATATCTCCCCAAATTCGTTGAAGCATTGCTTCCATGTCAGACTTTGGCGGAACAACTCTGGTCTGGAACGACATAGTCAAGTCTGCGTACAGCTGTTCGTCCATCTCATCCAGCCATTGGTTGATGAAGCGACGATTGGTCTTGCCAGAAGGTAGTTTGGGCACATCATGTACTGGTACCCAAATATTGGGAACCATGTGCCGTGGCAAACTCTTCTTCACCGATTCAATAATATCAGCAATTTCTGCCAATGATCTCGCTTTAAGGTCAACATCGTCAACAACAGAAACTCCACCTCCTTGATGCAACTTCTGATCGCCAAGAGACATAAGGGCTACCAGTCGCTGCTTCAGTCTGCCGCCACTGGGGACGGCCGCCACAACAGCTTTGAAAGTGGCTCCTGCTTTCTCTGCGATGCGATATTCCACTTCGCCCAACTCAATCCTCTGTCCATGAATCTTGACCTGGACATCCTTGCGTCCCAAATAGTGTATGTTACCGTCAGAAGTCCAACGAGCCAGGTCTCCCGTCTTATAGAATCTGCCAGCGTTCGAGGGGGCGGTAGCCCATCGTGGCATTTCCATGAAAGCGGCTTTCGTCCTATCGGGATTGTTTAGATAACCACGTCCCACAATTGGTCCATTGACCACCAGTTCACCAACGGCTCCGGGGGGAACCAGCTGTTGGTCGTTTTCGGGATCGACAATCCAGAGTCTCGACTGTAGAGGCTTTCCGATTACAGCGCCCCGAGCACCAGCCTTGAGCAAATCGCTCCCGGTCGAATTGATCGCGCACTCACAGGGGCCATATGAGTTGAATAGTCGAACTTTGTTGGTCCATTTGTTGATAATGTCGTCTGTCAGAAGCTCACCAGCTGTCACAACCGTTTGTATATACGGCAGTTCGCTCGGCTCCAAGGTGCGCACCACAGTTGGGGTCAGCTGTGTAAATGTCGCTTGGAGTCTGTTCAATGCTGCTGTGAGATCTCCAAGACGATCCTCCTCTGATATAATGCACACACATGCGCCGTGTGTAAGAGCGAGCATCGTCTCTCCGATGCTAACATCGAAAGCATAGGAAGAGAAATGGGCGACTCGGGATTCGCTGTTCATTCCAAACGTACCAAATCCTCTAGAGGATGCGTATAGGTTACGATGTTCAAGTATAGCACCCTTGGGAGTTCCGGTACTTCCGGAAGTGTAGACAATAAATGCTTTGTTATCAGGTTTGACACCAGTGCTGGGAGCGGAGGTACAAGGAGGGAGCTTGTTGAGTGTCTCCTCTGTGACGACAACCGCTTGTAGACCAGTTTGTGCCACGAGAGCAGTTTGAGATGAAGATGAGAGGACAAATGGCGCCTCAGTATCCTTCAAAATTGTTTGTAGTCGCTCTAGGGGATGAGCTGGATCGAGAGCGGCGCATGCAGCACCCGCCTTCAACACACCCAACATGGCAACAATTGCCCAGATAGACTTCTCAAAGCAGCAAGGGATAATAATTTCGGGGCCTGCTCCTAGCTGTTTAAGGTGATGCGCAAGCTTGTTAGCCATGCCATCCAGTTCCTGAAACGTAAGCGAGCCTGAATCAGAGACCACAGCAACGGCCTCGGGTTTAGAAGCAACTTGCTCTTCGATAACTTCATGAAGACAACGCTCCTCTCCAACCAGTGGAGCATTGTTCCAGCTATGCAAAAGAGATGCATCACTACTGGTGCATAGCTCAAGTTGTCCGACAGTCTGCATTGGGTTGGCTAGAAGACTTTCAACAACGTCAAGAACAAGATCGACCAGCCGATTGGCTTGGTCTGTCGACAGCAAGGACGTCCAGTAGTTCATGAGGATAGCAATTGAACTCTCAAAGTTTTGAACGTCAATGCTTAATTCATACTACATTCACAAAATTTATGTTAGCACTATACACCTTGCAGTAAAACCGGTAAATGGCAGCAGATGACAATTCGGGAAGACGTACCTCGGTAGGGTCATGGAAAATTCGACTCCGAAGATCGATAGTCCGATGAGCTGTTGAGTCTTGCTCATCGGCAAAGAATGCAGTTACTCCCTTCTGCACGTTGACAACCGTATTGAAAAGAGCAGCAGATTGTCCAGGTCCCCGAACAGTATGTAAAATCTCCTTGAGCGAGCAATGCTGATGTGGTAGTGCCTGGAGATACGAGTCATTTGCTTCTTTACAAAGTTCAATGAGAGATTTCGATTTATCAACATGGGCATAGAATACCAGCATATTAATAAGAGGTCCCATAATGTTGTGAACGTCTTTAATGGGGGCATCGCGGCCTGAAGCAAGGTATCCGAAGCAAACAGAATCGGCGCCGACAAAAGAGCGCAAAACGACGGCCCAAACGGTCTTGAAAACATCTGCAATCGTAATGTCGTGCTCTTCGCATAATCGAAGGAGAGAGCTTGCCTTGTCTCCTTCGATCCATCGCTCGACGATGCCATCCTCAGTTGGATCAGCTGAGGCACGCGTCGTCAATGCCGGAAAGTGAGAGGTTGCAACCCCACTAAGATACGATTGCCAAAACTTGAGGCCGGCATCTTTAGACTGCCGCTGAATATATGAAATAAAATTGCTGTAAAGTGGTGGATCACTCGATGGGAGCAAGTCGTCGTAAGCGAGACAAACATCCCTCAGCAGAGCTCTCATTGAAGAACCATCATCCAAAGCGTGAGTCATGGATAAGTGGCAATATACCACTCCGGATGGTAGTCTGCAGATGGAAAAGCGGTAGGGAGGTCCATCCTTGGCATATTGGTTCACCTCGGTGGATTCGGTGAAATCTTCGAGCTTTTCGCATTCCAGCTTCAGTACTGGGACGGTAACTCGGTCCAACACAACTTGAAGCATGTTCTCTCCACCAAGAGCCTCCTCTAAAAATACAGATCGCAATGCCTGATGCCTCTGAGCCACCTTAATCCAGGCTTGTTCAAGTCTGTCCACGTCGACTGATTCCGTAGACTGGACAAGGACCTCGAACAAAGCTCTAACATGGTAGCGATCTGGTGACCTAGCCTGGCTAATCAAGATACCTTCTTGCATAGGAGAACAGGGAAAGATATCTTCGATACTAGCGCCCGTTTTATCGAGATGTAAAGTTGATACGCATTCATTCACAAGTCGGGTAAGTTGTTGTTGTCCCTTGGCTGGCAAGAGTCCAAAACGGCCAGGCGTAGCGATGGGTTCGTCAACTATTCCTGCCATACTAGCTCGTTCGGCCAGTTTTCGGATTGTCTTTAGTCTGAAGATATCCTGAACAAAAATGTTCATGCCAGCGGCGCGAGCCTTGGAAACCGCCTGCATTGCGGAAATAGAATCGCCTCCCAAGCTGAGGAAACTGACAGTCATACCAATAGTTGAAGGTTCGCACTTCAATACCTCGGACCAGACCTTTTGCAAAAGAAATTCGACGTCATTTTCGGGTGGTGATAATTGTGACACTGCATCCGAAGTTGACATTGCTTTTATTTGGCTGAAACCCTCTTCGTCCATCGAATCCAACCAGGACTTGACGGTGCGCTTGTCCAGCTTGCCAGAGGAGAGCAAAGGCATCTTCTGAACAATAACCCACACGGTCGGCAACATATGCTTAGGCAGCTGCTTTTCTAACTCGGATCTGATCTGTCCAAGCTTGGTGGCTACATGCGGCATGTGGCCAGAGTCGCTGATAATCTTGAGGATTTGCTGAGGGGAGCTGGCCAGAGGTCTGTCTTCTTTCAATGATGCCACTGCAACCAGACGACCTTCCAGTGGCCCTGAACGCGGCAGTTGAGCCACTGCATGTTCAATTAGCGGGATACGAGCCATATTATGATTGATATCGTCAAGTTCAATTCGGTGTCCGTGAACTTTGACCTGGGTATCCTTGCGGCCTTGGATAGACAGAGATCCATCCAGATTATAATATACAAGATCACCCGACTTGTAAAGTCGTTGCTCTGTGCCGCTGTCATCGGTGTACCAGGCTGGCGGTTGAATAAAAGCTGCGTCTGTCTTGACTGGGTCGTGAAGATAGCCTCTTGCCAGAGTTGGCCCACCAATGACCAGTTCGCCTCGGGCGTACATTGGGAAAAGGCGATGATGATTGCGGGGGTCAACTACCCATAATGAGCAGCCCATTCGGCGTCCCAGGTTGGAAACATCTGACGTCGGCTTGACACCAATATTGGCGTTTGTCCAGATTGAACACTCTGCTGGGCCGTAACTGTTGATGAGACATATGCCCGGCCTACCACCCCAGGTTGAGAAGTTGTTGTGGGTCGCATGCTCTCCTCCAAGAACAAGAGTCCTCACCGTAGGAACATGTTCGGGTTGGAGCAAAGCTGCCACAGTCGGGGTAAGGAACATCCACTCAACTTCCATGGAGTTGATAGATGCGGCCAGGCGATTCAATCTATCATACTCAGAAGGTACGCAGATGCACCCGCCCACCATCAGTGTTGTGAAAGTCTCAGCGATGCTCAGATCGTACGTGTAAGATGCGAATTGCAGGACTCTAGTACCACTGTGTAGGCCCAAAATTGGGGCGTGAGATCGAGCACTTGAACAAAACGCACCATGTTCAACTACAATTCCTTTGGGAGTTCCTGTGCTCCCAGAAGTGAAGATAACAAAAGCTGGGTTGGTGTGATTTGCTGTGGAAGCTGCTGCCAGAGGTTGAAGGGTCTGAGCAGAAATCTCAAGGTTGTTCAGAGATTGTTCCCCAACGAGCACGAGATGTGGAACGATACCGGCAAGCAGATCTTTGTGCTGCGGCGCTACCAATATCACCTTGGCTCCTGAAGCTTCAATGATGCCCCGAAGCCTTTGAATTGGCTGATTCGGGTCAAGGGCAACGCAAGCGCCGCCAGCCTTAAGAATCCCGATCATGGCCACTGGTGTGAATGGGGATTTATCCATGCAGAAAGGTACAAGCGATTCTGGCCCCACTCCAATCTCTCGCAGGGAGGACGCCAGTCTATCGGTCATAGAATCCAGCTGCTTATACGAGATCGATATCTTCGGATCACTAGAGCAGATGGCAGGAGCTTCTGGTTGCAATCTGACCTGCCTCTCGAAGGCAAGGTGGATACAGTCAAAGACTGGCTCAGGGATATCAGCATTCCAAGACTGCATCATTTGAGTGTGGAAATCGTCCACCAAATCCACAGAAGAAACACATTGTTCTGGCTTTTCGAGGACAGATGCAATCGCTGCCTGGATAGTGTGCGAAAGGACGGTGGCCTGTGCCTGAGAAAGGCAGCGATCCCAGTAACTAAGTGTCAGCCAGAAGCCTTCGTCAGAGTCCAAGATGTTGAAAGCGATATCGTACTACAAAAGTTCAGTTAGCAAACAAGTTTCTATCTCTTGCAAGACAGCGCGAGAAGTTGAGTGATATCTTTATCACGAGCATTAAAACCAGTAAACTAACCTCGCTGCGGCTCTGAACATTTTCAGGCACAAACAGAATATCACCTGGCACATCCTGGGGCTTTTTAAAGCCACCAGCATGGCCGAGGTTGACAATGGTGTTGAATAAGGGTGTTCCACTAAGTCCCAAAGCATGGTGGATCTCACCGAGGGAGCAGTGTTGATACGGCCAACTTTTAATGAAATCCTGCTGCATTTCTTCAATGAGGCCTAAGACTGTGGTTTCGGGGCTAACATTGACGCTGCGAATTAGCATGGTTATCATCGGACCCAGGATGTCTTCAACTCCAGGAAGTGCGATATCGCGGCCCGATGCCAGGTAACCAAAAGTAGCCGTATCAGAAGACGCATCAGAAAAACAGGGCAGAACCATTGCCCAGATTGCGGACATAAAGTTTGCCAACGTCGTGCTATGCAACTTGCAGAATTCTCGCACTTGGTCCTTTTGCTGAATAGAAAGAGGCACATCAGTGCTCCGGTGAATAGGTGAATCGCCAACCCCGGATTCGTTCAGCAGAGGGAAATGGCATGGTGTTGCGTCTTTGAGATTGTCTTGCCAAAACTGAAGTGTCAGTTCTCCAGACTGAGACTCAAGGTGAGATATGTAGTTTCTGTAGGATGGTCCTGCTGGCAAGAGTTTACCATCGTAGGCCAACAGAAGATCTCGCATCAGAATTCCGGTTGAAACGCCATCAGAAAGCGCGTGACTAATGTCGAGACGCAAATAAATGTCACCAGTCGCCAACTCGCATAGCGTAAAGAGATATGGAAGGATGCCTGTTTCATGCAGTTGTGGCAGTGGTTGATGCGTCAAGTCATCAAAATCGTCAAACGTTGCCAATTGAACCGGAGGATTCACCGCTCGAAGAACAACTTGAATGAAAGCTGAACGTCCGTGGTGAGCCTCAACGAAATGGGTCCTAAGTATATCGTGGCGGGCAATGACGCTTTCGCAGGCTGCTTTGAGCTTGAGTAGGTCCAAGTCTGCGCTGGGAGATTTCGGGAGAACCTTCCAATATTCTTGCCCATCGTAAATATTAGATGATCGTAAAGTGCTCAGCAAAATTCCTTCTTGCATTGGTGAGCAGGGATGGATAGATTCTATCAAGGACATATCAGAGATCTGTGCCTGAGATTTGCAGTGCTCTACTAAGTTGTTGAGGGACACATAGTCTTTGACGTCTAAAAGAGGGAAATCTGATAGTGTAGGCACAGGGTAAGCTTGAGCCAGAATCGAGACATAAGATCGAAGCAGATCTTCGAATGTTTGGATCCAGGAAAGAATCGCGCTTTGGCGTGCCATGTTCTCATGATAATGGAATCCGATATTTATTCGTCCGTCAATGACTTCTGCAGATACCTCGATCAAAGCTTTTCTTGTCTGCTGCTCGGAACTATTGTTGCTTTCGGCACAAGGTATCTCCTGGAACAAGGCGGTTTCAAGACACGCCCTTTCAGTATAGGTCAAGAATACCTCCATTTCTTCGAGACCTGTGACATTGTGATGGGCGAAGCGACGTTGATCTTTGACGCATCTCAAGGTTTGGACCATTTGTGATTCGAGATCGCTGCTGGCTGGCGCTGCCTTATGATTCTCCTCTGCGCATACAGCCGACATGGTCGTGAAACACCCAACAGCGCTAGAAATGTTACTGTCGTCGGCTTCTCCATCTCGATCATTACTAGCACAGAACACCTTCGGTGTAGGGCGGTCAGTGAACGAGTTTGTGAAGGAGTGGCAGAGTACAGCCAGTAATATTTCAACAGCCTCTGTTCTCAGCGTTCCGTTGGCGTTTCCGAGGAGAAGTGATGTTGTGTCTGCATCAGTCAATGCGTTCGACGTTTTAACACCACTGTAAGTATTGGGATGATGTTGCATGCCCCAGTAATCAACAAAATTAGTCTGAGTTGTTCCTAATGTTCCAGCAAAAGTATTGTTTGAAAGCTTTCGCTGAGAGTTATTGAACTGTGCAATAGCCCAGTCTCGGAATGAGGCTTGGTCACCGCCAGCAGGTGCATGTAATAGCATAATTTCCAGATCTTTTAATATGACTCGTGAAGATGCATGATCAGCAATGAGAGGGTGGATGGCCAAGATCAGTAATTGATTGCTTTCGGTGTTGACTGATTCGACGTCGACCAGACTTGCCGCCACAAGGGGGCCTTTCTCAATATCCAACTCAGGTTGCATGGACAAGAATAGTGACTGTGCCTCTTCAAGCGATGTCGCATGCAGATGGCCAAGCTCCATGAGATTTCCTGGTGCATCCACTAATCTTTGCGACCAAGTACCGCTCAGATCACGCTCAAAGTGCGCAGTTAGCATGGGATGCCGCTCACTAAGCGTCTTGAATGCAGCGTTCAATTCATCGAAATGTACTCTCCTCTTGAGTTTTGCGATTAATTTCTGAGCAACAGTGTTGGTCGTTCCGGCGTGGCTTCTGAGCTGCATGAGCTGTGACGGCGTTAGAGGGAAGGGCTGGATCTTGCCAATGACTCCTGCTAACTCAGGATTTTCGCTGCTAATAATGTTCGCAAGTGCCGACACAGTACGATGACGGAAAATGTCGTGAACAGCTATATGTATGCCCTGTGATCTGAGCTGCGATGCCACTCGTATGGCAGAGACGCTGTCTCCTCCAAGGCTGAAGAAGGGCTGGTCAACATCAATCATGCTTTTGGGGAGGCCTAATGCTTCTGACCAGACGGAGACTAAGAGTTTCTCGACGTCTGTAAGTTCAGAAACCGGTTTGAGAGAGTTACCAAGCGCAAGAATGCGCTCACAGGCTTCTTCGTCCAATATCTCTAGCCACTGCCCTACCGCGCGACGATCAAGTTTTCCATTTGGATTGAGGGGGAGAGCCTCAACAGGAACCCATACGCGAGGCAGCATGTATCCGGGTAGGGCGATTTGTAGGCCTTTTCGCAGTTCTGCCACGTGAGTTGCAACGTCGTCATCTGTCATGACCTCAAGAATGAGTCCAGGAGCCGAGGTGGCATTGCTCAATGAGAATACCACGACCAACTTTTTGGTAAATTGCCCATTCTTGGGAACCATTGCAGCTGACTGGCTCACTCCATAACTCGATAGGGCTGTCTCAACCTCGCCCAAGTCAACTCGTTGTCCGTGGATTTTGACTTGGGAATCCATTCGTCCAAGGTAGATGATGGATCCGTCAGGCTCATATCGGGCCAAGTCACCTGTTTTGTATAATCGACGCCGATCACTAGCACCAGTGACAGGGCACATTTGCGTCCAGGAAGGATCAAATATGAAAGACTTCTCTGTCTGATCCTTGTTGATGTATCCACGCGCCAGCAGAGGTCCTTCTATAAGAATCTCTCCAGCGCAACCAATGGGAACCAGCCTGTTATGGTCATTGGCATCAACTATCCACATCAGTGTACCGGCAGGCTTTCCAAGAGTACCATTCTGGACGTGATGCGGGTCAACAAGCATTCCGGAGCTGATGATGGAACACTCTGCAGGTCCGTACGTAACAACCAGGTTTGTATGGGTCGCCCATTTGCTAGCCAACGTTTGAGGAACCACCTCACCGGCAATGTCAACTGTCTCTAGTGGGAGCTCCTCTGGATTCAGTAATGACGCTACAGTGGGCGTCAAAGCAGCGAAATTGACACGGTGAGTCTTGATGAAAGCAGGTAACTCATTCATCCTCTCGTACTCGGTTGGAACGCAAATTGTACCTCCAAAGGCAAGGGTGGTAAATATCTCTTCCAAGCTGGCGTCAAAAGTGTACGAAGAGAATTGGAGAACACGGCTAGATTCAGACATCTGAACTAGGGGTCCATGTGCAAACATGCTGGTGCTCATGGAAGCATGAGTTAAGATGATACCTTTGGGTGTTCCAGTGGAGCCTGAGGTGAATGCGATAATAGCTGGGTGGTATGGCTTTGCCTGAGACGGAATTTTGCTAGAAAGAGCTTCGAAGCGACTCATCATAGCACTGGGTGTAGAAACTGATGTGTCGATGGGTACCGTAGTTGGTATTAACTTTTGCAGCCTATCCACGTATTTTGAGTCGCAAATAGCAAGCGTTGCCTCGGTAGCCTCGATCATGTTGGTTAATCTTGAATCAGGAAACTCTGGACTTAGGGCCACGCAAGAACCGCCTGCTTTCAAAATGGCGTACATCACCACAATAGTCCAGGGTGATTTGTCGAAGAAGAAGGGCACCATCACCTCAGGTTTGACGCCTAAGAAAGCAAGATGGGCCGCAAGAAGAGAAGAGAGTCTCTCCAATTCGTCATATGTGATGCTCAAATCTGATGTGACGATAGCGTCTACTTCAGGTTGCATCTTAACCCTTTTCTCCACGTGCTCATGGACACAAGAGTCGTTTGTTGGAGGCATCTCACTAGCCCACTGCATAATATGAGACCTATGAGCTTCGCTTAGCATATCGAGGTCGCCCACTCTGCGAGAGGCTCCCTGGACAAGGCTTTCGAGAACATGTAACAAGGTTTGCTGCATGAGCTTGGCTTGTTCGTTCGACAGACAGCTTGCCCAATAGCTGAAACTCAAAGAGATGTTTGTGTCTGTATGTACAACATCTAAGGAAGCATCGTACTATGATTTAAAGAACCGAGGTGAGCAAATAAGAATCGACTGTGCAAACACGGGGAAGACTTACTTCAGTTGGACCGCTAGCGTCCATAACTTCCAGCCTGATGCTAGATGACGATTCTTCAGCAGCTGCAACGTCACCTTTAAGCACGTTCACAACAGTATTGAACATTTTTCCGCGTTGCCTGCCCTCATCAAAAGCTTGTTGTACTGCGGCGAGAGAAGTATGCTGGTGCTCTAGCCCATTTAGAAAGCCATTGTGTATGCTGCGTATCATTTCAAGGATTGGCATCTCTGCATTCAGATCGACACGCGAGACCATCATAGTAATCAAAGGTCCAATGATAGATTCTGCTTGTGGCACCGGGATTGCTCTTCCAGATGTCAGCAAGCCGAAGCAAACTGTGTCCATTCCAACATATGCCCGCAACACGAGTGCCCAAACAGCACTGATCACAGTGGCAATCGTAGTGTCATAGTTCCTACAAAATTGAAAGATCAATTCTGTAAGATGCGGATCCAAGATTTCATCAATTTCATTGCACATATTTTCATCTTGCAAATTGTTGAGAGAGGGTAAGATGCAAGGTTCAAGGCCTCGAATAACGGAAGTCCAGTATTCCAGCGACTTCTCCGTCGAGAGTTGTTCAAGGTACTTGATGAAATCTCCGTAAAGTGGCGGACTATGAGAGAGAGGTAGCTGTTCATCGTATGCTAAGAGAAGGTCTGTGATGAGGACTTTCATGGATTGTCCATCGATCAAGGCATGGTTAATCTCAAGTCTGCCGTAAACGTCTCCCGTGGGTAAGACTTGACAGAGGATGAACCGGTAGCCAAGCCGATGCAGTGGAATGGAATCCACGACCACGTCCTTAAAAGGCTCCTGTGAGTTAGAGGAACTGATGTAAACAACGGGAGCCTCTACCGTTTTCTTAACCACTTGCACATACGGGGTGACATCGTCTCCTTCAACAAAAAAGGAACGAAGCGACTGATGCTGCGACGTGACAAGGTCAATAGCACGGCGAAATCTCTCCAGGCTTACAGGTTCAGTGCTTGTGCAGGAGATGATTTTGAAATCATTGATCAAATCGTAGAGGCCGTCCTGTCTAGCACGGCTAAACAAGATACCTTCTTGCATAGGTGAGCAGGGATAAATATCCTCGACACTGTCCAAATTTGTACCAACATCTTGGAGATTGGATGCAACCTTGGCCATTAGTTTCTCAAACTGTGGAGGAGATAACCGCCGCGATAGCAGTGAGAATGGTGAATCGGTTGCACCAGCTTGTGCTTGAACGCCGCTGGGAGCTGAGCCGGCCCGTGTTGCTCTCTTGGCGATTTCGGTCAGGGTACGATAATGTAAAATGTCATGCATCGATATTTGGATATCTTCGTTGAGCAATCTGGAGGATACCTTGATCGCGGAAATGGAATCTCCTCCAAGGCTGAAGAAACTTTGGTTGACACTAATCTGCCGCTCTGGAACATTGAGAACATGGCTCCACGCTTTGGCCAGGCTCTCTTCCATAGGGCTAAGGGAGCCTAATAGAGCTTGTATATTTGTTTCGTCATCATTGTTCAGCATGAGTATGTTCTCGTATGTCTCGTTATCGATAGATTCAAGCCATTGGAAGAGAACACGGCGATTCAATTTACCATTCAGCGTAACAGGAACTTTTTCCAGCAAAACCCACGACCGCGGCATCATGTAGCTCGGGACGCGATCCTCGAGCCAACGGCGAAGATCTGAGATTCTCTGCCGCGCCTCTGGACCATCCTGGAGGTTCAAGGGCTGGTCACTGGACCCCAACACGGCGTCTGCTAGATCCATAGAAGAGATGATTGCCGTCAATCTGTTGGCAAACAGGCCTTTCTTCGCGACGAAACATGCTGCATGTTTGACCATATCACTAGCAGTTATATGGTGGCTAACTTCACCTAAATCCACTCGTTGTCCGTGGATCTTAGCCTGGGCATCTTCAGATTTCCTGCCCAACATTGTCATTGACCCATCTTTGTTGAAACGGACAATGTCTCCGGTCTTGTACATGCGTCGTCCAGCTTGTGTGATGCCAGACACTGGGAAACCCTTTGTCCAAGCTGGGTCCACAATGAAAGTAGACTTCGCTAGGGTTGCGTCCAAGTAATCTCTACCTACCAACGGCCCTTCTATGAGCAGCTCTCCGGGAGCTCCGAGAGGTACCAGCTTATTATGATCCTCTGGATGGACAACCCATAGAAGGCCACCCGAGGCAGGGCCGAGCTGTCCGTTTCCGAAGCCACGTACTACGGATCGAGAGATGGCGATTGAACATTCAGAAGGACCATATGTCGCGACCAATGTGGCATTGTTTATCCACTTCGTCACGAGGGTATCAAGTACCGGTTCTCCGCCAAGGCAAATAGTCTTCAAAGTTGGAACTTCCAATGGGTTAAGAAGACTCGCAACGGTGGGGGTAAGATAAGCCCAATTGACTTCGAGCTTGTTGATCGTAGCTGCTAAGCTGTTGAGGCGTTCATATTCGGTAGGGATACAGAGGCAGCCCCCGGAACAAAGAACTAACAGAATCTCGGCGAAACTCATGTCGAAAGTATAGGACGCAAAATGCAGACCCCGTGCTTGTCTACCCAGCGGATCTATGGCACGATGATGCCAAAGAGCAGAGGCAATAGACTTATGCTCCAGAATATTTCCTTTTGGCACTCCGGTACTTCCAGAAGTGAAGTTGACAAAGGCGGGATCACTCGGCGTAACTGATGAGCTGCACCCGTCGACATGTGGGATGCGATCCCAAAGGTCTGGGCTGACTGAAACTATCATTAGGTCCGGCAGACCTTCAAATAGCTCAGTATATTTATCCTCACAAACGATTATTCTGGCGCCCGTTATTCTGATGATGTCTTTCAGTCGTTGAACTGGATAGGACGGATCAAGAGCAACACAAGCCCCTCCAGATTTGAGAATGGCAAGCATGCTAGCAACAGTCCATGGTGACCTATCGAAGCAAAACGGCAAAGCCATGCCGGTTTCAATTCCACACGTCTGGAGATAGACAGCTAGTCTTGTCGAAATATCGTTTAGCTGCGCATATGTCCAGTTTGCTTCTGCGCTTGTCGTGCTAATTGCTGCAGCATCTGGGTAGATAGCAACTTGCTCTTCGAATAGTTGATGTAAGCACGACTCCACGACGTGGGGATTATGTGCGTTCCATGAATGGAGCTGACGACCGTGGCTTTCCGCAAATACCTGAATCTCGCTGACCGTTGATTTGCCAGAGCTCTCTAAAAGGGAGCTTAGAGTCTGTAACAAAGTAGCTCGGAGATCTACGGCTTGCTGAGAGGAGATACATGACGACCAGAAAAGGAGATCAGCCACGATACTCTCATCAGAGTCCACAACACCAAAAATAACATCGTACTACAGTTTATGTTAGGCAACGCTTCTAGCAATATCGTGGGAGGATTCATCTTACCTCAGCCGGACCTCCCTCTCCAACAAGTTCCCAGTTAATAGCAGGCAATGTGTCGGTCTCGTATACCGAAGAGACCTTTTGTACATTTACCAATGTGTTGAAGAGACTTTGTCCTCCAAGGCCCAGGTTACTCTGAATTTTTGCTAACGAGCAATTCTGGTGCGGTAGGTTACCCACAATGCCATCGTAAACACTGCGAACAAGAGAGGCGATTGTCGTAGACGGCTGAATGTCGACTCTTTGGACTAGCATGTTGAGAAGAGGTCCCATGAGTTCATGGACATGAGGTACTGGAACATCTCGACCAGACGCCATGTAACCGAAGCAGACTGTCTCTGTATCGTTTCCAATGTAGGTCTGAAGTACCAGGGCCCAGACGGTGTTCATAACAGCGGCAATAGTAACGCCATGCTCTCTGCAGAACCTCCGCAGCGAAGCAACCTGGTCGTGAGGAATTGGAATGTCAAGCCTACCAGGCGTAGAGCTGGATCCATCGCAGTCATTCAGGCTTGGGAAATGGGATGAGCTTATTCCATCCAATCGAGACTTCCAATAAGCGTATGAATCGTCGGCCGGGTTTGTTAATAGATAATTAATGAAGCTGCTGAATAGAGGTGGCGTTGGTAGGGATATCTGGTCGTATACAAGGGACAACTCGCGTATCAAGACTCTCAAGCAAGAGCCATCAAGCAAGGCATGGTTGATGACGAATTTGCAAGAAACTCCATCAGGAGACTCGCAAACAGCCAAATGATAGGGAAACCTAGTAGAATCAACGACTTTGGGTGCAGGGATCGCGGTGTCGTAGGCCGGGAGATCTGACCTGGAGACCTGGATCTTGAGCGAAGCAGCATCTTTGAAGACAACCTGGACAAAGGGTACATGTTGTCCCCCGGCTTCGCAAAAGACTGTTCGCAATATTTGGTGTCGCTGAATGACAATACGACAGGCTGCCTCCAGTCTGGTTGGGTCCACAGAATTTCCATCGGATGAGGCAACTTTCCACGTAGTCTCGTGGTTGTAAAGGTTTCTGTCGGGATGTCGAATCTGACTTATAATCATACCCTCTTGGCATGGTGAACAAGGGTAAATGTCTTCGATCTCATCCACGCCCAGAAGTTTCCATTGAGGTGCAACTTTCTGTATTATGTTGTCCAAAATCTCATAGTCGTACGGCAGAAGTGGATAATCGCTGAGGCATGTCAGCGGTGTTATCGTACCAATCCGAGTGCACTCTCGAGTCATAGACTCGAATGCTGCGATCCAGGTACGGATTTTCTCTTGATGAGACATGTCAGGCGACCATTCAAGCGTGCATACAAGCCTGTCGCTCTCAACGATAACAGAGATATGAACAAGCGATTGCCTGAAAGTAGCAGATCTCTTGTTCTCCTCTGGCTTGTCCTCACTAAGCATTCCACGGTACTTAAAAAGTATCTCCATCTCTTCCTTATCGCCATCGTGATGAGCAAGGCCTGCGCCATAATCGAGACTCTTGAGGAGTATTCGTCGAGTATCTTTTATTTTTCTGATAGTCTGCGAAATATCAGCATAATCGTCAAGGCTAACACTTACAGGGATTATTTTAGAAGAGCGATCGTCGTTGAGTCTCGCTGTCCTATCCTCTTGAACAAATATAGTTGGCAAATCACGGTCGGTGAAGGTAGCTTTAAAAGCATGCAGTAAAATGCCCATCAGAAGTTCTGCAGGCTCGGTATGAAGAACGTCGTTGGATGTTCCAAGAAGAGCCGATGTCGTCTCCGCATCCAACTCGAAGGCTGCCGAAAGGGCATCACTCTGTAAATTTGATCGACCGGTCATGTTCCAGTAGTCAAAGTCGGCATGATGTCGGTGATAAGCTGACATAAAAGTGATATCTTGATGCGACTGTTCAATTTGTTTTTGAGCAGCCGGAGATTCAACAGACAACTGTTTTGTTTGAAGATGATCAATTAAAGCGGAAATGGTGCGGTGCTGGAGAATTTCCTGAACGGTAACAAAAACGTCTTGAGCTCTAGCCTTTGCAACGACTTTCATTGCCGAAATAGAGTCTCCTCCAACAGAGAGAAAGGCGTTCGAGGCACCGATACTGGTTTCCGAAATATTGAGGGTTTCGCTCCAGATCTTCCGAAGTTGCCGGGCTATTTCGTTTTCTCGAAAGAACGCCTCATCGTCTGTGTGTCTCTCCATACCGCTAGTCTGAAACTCGATTGTGTCCTTCAGCACGTCTTCATCGACAGCAGTTAACCAAGTGCGTATCTGCCGTCTGTCCAATTTACCGGAAGGCAGGAGGGGCATCTTCTCAACAGGCATCCAAACCGTTGGAACCATGTATGCTGGCAACGCTGAGTGTAGCTTGTCCGTCAGGCGAATACAAATATCGGCCGCCGCATTCCAGCACCCTCTGTTGACGAGTTGCAACTCAACAGCGTTTTTGATGTCATTTGGTCCTGTGAGGCCGTTGAGAGACAATACAGTAACCAAACGACCCTGGAAAGGGCCAGATTTGGGTACTTCGGCGAGCGCATGGATGGTGAAATCATCACTCAACAGGTGAGTTTCGACTTCCCCGAGTTCAAGTCTTTGTCCGTTCACTTTAGCCTGACTGTCTCCACGGCCGCAAAATTTGAGTGAGCCATCGCTGAGTTGTCGTACCAGATCTCCCGTCTTATAGAATGTAAAGGTCTCTTTTGCAGCTCCTGCGAAGCGGGACGCCCATGACGGCTGGGAGATGAAGGACTTTGATGTCTTGTCGGCATCCCCCAAATACCCATTTGTAATATTGGGCCCTTCTATAACGAGTTCTCCAACAGCCCCAATTGGTGAGAGAATATCGTGGTTGACAGGATCTACAACCCAAGCTCTGCACCCAACTGGTTTACCAATGACGGTTGGGTCGGGCTCATAAGTCTGAGGAAACTGGCAGGCGACGCAAATGACAGTCGTCTCTGTAGGTCCGTAACCGTTGAATAGTCTAACTTTTCCAAGCCACGTATCCACGCAGTCTTTGTCAACCGCCTCGCCAATGAGCACCAAAGTGTGAACTCCAGGGATTGAATTGGGGTCCAGCGTTCGGACGAATGTCGGCGTTAACATAACCCAATTGACACCAACGCGTTCAATGAAGCTTGCCAAGTTGTTCATACGGTCTTCATCGGAAGGAACGCAAACACATCCACCGTGTACAAGTACAGTGAAGATTTCGGCAATGACGGAGTCAAATGTATAGGCACCAAATTGAAGTGCTCTGGTATTTTCGTCGATGCCTGTCGCCGGTCCGTGGGCATACATACTGCAACAGAGGGATTGGTGAGGAACTACGACACCTTTCGGCTTGCCTGTAGATCCTGAAGTAAAGAGAACATATGCTGTATCTTGAGATTGCGCGGATGGATGAGTTCTGAGACTTGTGCTGGCGACATCCCCGTTCTTTTCAAGAGCTGCGACAAATGCCTCGTTGACGACGACGACATGTTGGTTTCCCTGTATCTGGCTCATCTTTTGTGAAGTAGAAGTGGAGGTTATGACAATCTTGGCTTTTGTATCCTCAAGAATGCCTTCGATGCGACTGGCGGGTGAAGCAGGATCCAGGGGAACGAAGGCGGCGCCAGCTTTCAAGACACTCAACATGGAGACAATTGCCCAAACCGACTTTTCCATGCACAGCGGGATTATAACACCTGGGCCTGCGCCTAAAGATCTCAAGTGCGTGGCTAATCGTGTGCTCAGTGTACTTAACTGCGCGTAGGTAAAGTTGATGTCGAGCGAGCAGACGGCAATTTTCTCGGGGTGAAGAGCAGCCTCGGCCTCAAAGAGGTCATGGGCACATGCATCGCTTACTGGAAGTTGATCCTGGTTCCACTGTAAGAGTTGGTTGCGGTGGTCCTCTGTGAATAAATCCAATTCCGTTATCCTGCGATGGGGGTTCTGCAAAATTTGATCAATTATCGATGTGAAGCAACTGATGAGGTTTTCGGCATCGGCTTCTCCAAGGAGATTGGATTTGTAGTCAAGCCCGAAAAGCAAGTCGTCGCCAGTATCCTCGATGTTGACAACAATGTCGTATTCGGCAACGGTGTGCACATGGGTAAGATTCAAGCTAATCTCATCGGATGTGCGCCGAAGCTTTGGTCGCCTTTGGACGTCAACCAACGTGTTGAAGAATCCGCCGTTGATTTGCATTCTGCGCTGAATTGATGCCAGTGAGCATTGCTCATGAGGCAAAGAATTGGCAATGTTCTTTCGGAGCTGGCTTGCAAGGTCTACCAGAGTAGTAGATTCGTCCATTCGAGCTCGGGCTACCATCATGCTGATATACGTGCCAAGTGCCTCCTGGATTTCTGGCAACGGCACATTATGACGGCCTGAGGAGATGTAGCCAAAAGCTACATCGTCTCTTCCCAGATAGGCCCGTAGTAGTACTGACCAGGCAGCATGGAAGAGCATGGAATAGCTAACTTTTGAACTTTTCACCATATCCAGAATACCATCGCGGTTAAGCTTCACTTGTCGGCGACATCGCTGTGGCAGTCCTCCATCCGTACTATTGACGCGAAGTTTGGGAAACATGGATGGCTGGGAGCCCTCCAGAAACGTTTGCCAATATTTCAGCTTTTCTTCCTCAGAGTTGCTCTGGAGGTGTTGCACAAAGCTACGGAAAGGAACCCCCATAAGTTGGCGAGTTGGATCATCGTAGAGACGCATAAGCTCATGAAGGATTTTCATGCTAGAAATGGCGTCAGAAACGCCATGGTGTAGTTCAATCCTAAGACCGTCTGGCCCGTTTGACGGCCTGCAGAATATTAAGCAGTGAGGGGCAATACGACCATCTTCCCATGATGGCTCCCTCATGGCGATATCGTTGAGAGTCTCGGCTTGGGTTTGTTGAATTCCCGTAGGCACATTTCTCAAAATAATCTGATGAAATGACCCATCTCCCGATGTTGATTGAACAAAGACTGTTCGTAGAGCCGTAGACTGTCGGACGATACTGTCCCAAGATTTTTGGAGACGCTCCAAATCAAAAGTGGCGCCATTTACTGAATGCAATGTCATTGTGGCACGAATAATGTAGTCCTCGGTGCCTTGCATCTGACTCGTCAAAATGCCCTCTTGAAGAGGTGTGCAGGGATAGACATCTTCAATATCGTCGAGGCAGTATTGAGGAAACTTGACAATGAATGCATTTTTGACATCAGTGCTTCCGAGCTCAAGGTCTTCTGAAGTTGAGTCTGCTGATGTGATACCTTCTGACATGGTATCCGTCTCTGTGGTGTCGTGAGATGAAACAGAGACTAGGCCGCTTTTTGCCTCCATTCCTTGAAGGCTACCGGAGATGATAGGCGTTGCCTCTTCAATTCGGCCTATGGCCACAGTGTCAAAGTTTTCACTCATGGTTGTTGGAGTGTTAAGAGATGGTTGGTGAATTTGGTTGCAACGTTCACTGTGAAAAGCAAACGTTGGTATATATCGAGGCTGTGCGTGATAATACACTGCTAACGATGGAGAAATATCGTAATTTGGCTAAGAAGTAGCAAACTACACTAGTTTTAAATAATAAATACCCAACTGCTGGGTTTGCAATACGTGCGATCAATATCTGGATATATATCTGCTGCCCATCGCATCCAGCTTTCGGAAGATATCTGGTGGCTAAGCAGTTTAATGAGACTGGCAAGTGAATTCTCAGATTCCTAACGCTCACTAGTCTAACCAGGAGGCCGTACTCCGTACGAGCACGCATGCCATAGATTAGGAAATAGGATTCTGCATCCCCTGCAATTGCTAGGAAGAAACGGCAAGCTGGGGTTGATCAACCGGAATCCGGATCTGGCATCCTCAATAGCGGTTAGCGTCAGCGAAAACTACAAGTACGACCGAGATCTAGGGAGATCAAGCAGCACTGGAGTCCGAAAGTGTGGGCCTAACAGCATCATGCTTCAGGCCCATAAACGGCTCTAACTCAGCCGAGGCGGAATAAGCAGCGACTAGGACATCATATCCCTTGATCAGCATCAACATAGGTAGGCTCCGGACATTTCGATGGACCTTCAAGGTTCCCGCGAGTTAAACGTTAGTGATAGGCCGCGCGGCGGGATGGCCGAGATAAGAGCTAGGCCATGTGAGATGTTGGCTTGCGGCAGTGGTGGAGAATTGCCAATCCTCCGAGCAAAAGACCACAGTCGTTGGCCAACCACGTCAGAGGCTACCCAAGCCACCAGACCGGGTGTTGAGCCGTCGCCTAGCAACCCCCGCTGCTATCGTCGGACACCGAATCCAACGGGAAATACGAGTACAGTATGTGCTCGCTGCCTCTACAAATGTCGGCTGGCCGACGAGAGCTCAAACATTCAAGATGTTACGAATCGGCTGTTTTGACTGTTTTATCCTTTCTTACAATCCAAGGTCCAAAGCGGCGATTGTTTAATCTGCGGCCGAGGCTGACTCCCTGGTAAACACCTCGTGCTCCATCTCCACATAGCACGCACACGGCAAGTCACCTGCCATATCAAGCAAGGCTGGCTTTTTTAGGTTGGCTTTTTAGTGATGCCTCCCGATTTTGAAAACTCCACGCTACTAGGAATTGTGAATTATGTCCCTGAACTCGTGAATATCGATATTATTCCGAATTACCGACTTAGGCTGTCATAGGAGCCCGTCCGAACTTATCGACCTTATTCTGCATACTATAATATTATTATTTCTTATCTCCTGCTTTTCCAATATTGTGTAATTTTAGCCGCATCGTGTCATCACGATTCCACATATGTTGGTGGAAATAGGGGCTATAAGTATTAGTACACCGTATGGAAGAATGAAGCGGTCACCTCACTTTTGCCATAGCGGTCTATTTTAACAGTTATAAGCCCGGAGACGCGCTATTTACGCAGGAGGTCTCCAGTTTAAAAGCACTCACTACTTATAATCTTAGGCCTAACCCCTTTATAAATAAGTAAATAAAGGCAGGTAAATTAGATAATTACATAGTAAAAGTGGTAATATTTAAAGGATTAATACCTATAATAAAGAGACTATAGTAGATAAAAATATAGGCTAGCTTTATAAGGGTTATAAAGCTGAAGGGGTGTGTTGGTGGAACTAGGGGCTATAAGTATTAGTACACCCTATGGTAGAATGAAGCAGTTACTTCACTTTTGCCATAGCGGTCTATTTCAACAACATAGTATATGGGATTTTCTATACTTTCTTTCATTCCGTCGGAGCGCGGCTTTTCGTGATGTGCTTTACCCAGTAAGCACTCTTCCAGTAACGCTCTCGAGGAGAAGTTGCTGCATATTCGCAATTTTTTCAACAATTGTATGTGAGACGTAGTGTTGTAGTTAGTGGAGCTCAATACGAGACGAACAACATATGCGGCCCTGATTCGATAGATTAGCTAGCTTCGTAGGAAACGTCTACGGAGTAATTGTAGGTCCTTGATCCAAGGCCAAAGTACAGTATTCAAGTAAGCGGTCGGCAAATCAAAGGCTATCCGTGAGCCATAGAAATCCTACTCAAAAAAGTTCGATACATTCTAATGGGGATTGCTCGAACTCCACACTGAGTGTAATAATCACGATAGTAAGAAACCTTCAAATGAATAGCATCTATGATAGTACTTGAGATTCTACCACAGTTTGCGCGTTTGAAGTGTCGTATGGACATGAAGTATATACGGAATGGAGGATGAGATGTCGCCACAGAGCGCGCATGCAATCTTGCTAGCGTACCTAGGGTAGGCTGCAGGAGCAGCGCCACAAACACCAACTACTCGCACATCACGAGATTCTGTGCGTTTCTACCTTATCAGGAAGCGAGAAAAAATCAAATAGAATAAAAATTCCAACATCTTGGTCGTGAAGGAAACCTTGAATTGCGACATTCAGACATATCCTAGAGGCACCGTTGCCAGAGAAATCCCCTACAGCCATTTGGGCGTAAAAGTTTTCTGTTGTAGGTGGTCAACAGCCTTCACAAGAACCCTGATTCGGTGCTTCTCCATTCGGAGTGCGTTTGCTAAGCGCATGTAGGTCATCAACCGAGGTGCTGGGGGTGCTTATGATCCGTGGTACTTTAGTATCTGTCGTGCACATGTTCAAATGTGTAGGTTGCAATTTGACGGTGGCGACTATTACTCTACAAGAGTTCCTCCGAACTCATTGCACAACTCGGATCGCGCTGTACATACACAAGTCAAGGCTCAATTCAACTTTGTGCAGTTGAATTCACATGCCGTACTAATGTTTATGTTTAGCTTCCATCTGATGCCATCATCGCAACCAACCGACTCCGCTTCTCGTTTGCCAGATGTGCTGCTAGCTGCGCATCAGATGCCGGTTGGCGAGCCCCGTGAATAACGCTACAGACACGGTTGCTTATTTTGTCTCACAAGCGCCCTGGGTTGATGAAGGATGCAATTCCTCGTAGAGCTAAATGAGGGAGGGGTATTCAAATTATTGGAGCTGCGCTATACTGGTAGAGTACTAGGCCTAGCAGGCAATGAGACATGCCACGCAGCAAGTGATATTGCACAAGACATAATACGAGTGGCGATAACTGGAAAATCAGCACTTCGATTTTCCTGCCAAGACGATAACACCGCAAGTACTCCGCAGAGTACCTACGAGTACCTACACGTGGTGGCATCCCTACCCTGCTCTACTTTACCGCATTTTTGGGAGTAACTTCCCAAATAGTCAACATGATTACTGAGGGTTCATTCCCTCTGTTACCTATGGCGGATTACCTATATTAATTGAATAATTTAGAGGCCGTAATCAACACTAGAAATGAAGGAGAACTAATTAGTAACTATCCCAAGTCATTGATCGCTGCTACGAATTTTGTTTTGGATTACTACCTAGGTATCGCGCACCTACTAAACTACCTTAGGCGCCGTACGGGAATAAATATAATGATTAGGTCCTGCTAGGGGGGTTTTGTCAAGGTACTTAGCTGCCCTTTGTATTTTAGTTGGGATGGTACCCCCCATACCTCGGAGCAATGGATGAGATGCCTTCATTGGACTGGAGAAATTGGAATCGTACTCCGTGCATATACTGAATTAGTGCAGTGGCCCTGGAGCCGTATCTCCAAAAATTCAAGGGTCCTGTCTCCTTCAGGCTGTGTGCAAGGACTCATGCATGCCGTAGGATTTGGATAGCGCATCCAACAGCCAGCGCGCATGCAAGCCGAGATTGCTTATTAAATAGCTACCCGACGTTCCTTTCTGCCTTTGCCCTTATTTTCGGCCTTGTTGAGTCTCGGTATTCGAAGCTGTTTGAACAAAGACGGTAATCAACAATGTCTGAACAACCAAAGACGCGCCAAAAGTTTCGCAGCAGCTGCACCAACTGTGCCAATGCAAAAGTAAAATGCAGCACGAAAAGGCCTGAATGTGCCAGATGTGTCGAGCGAGGACTCGAGTGTTCATATGCTCCGTCGAACAGATACGGCAGGCCCCCAGCATCGACATGCAATCAGAAAGCAACATCATTACGGAGTCCGCAGGTAGATGGATGCGACATGACCATGAACGATTATGCATCCGACAGTGCGACGTGGGACTTCAACTCCTGGGTACCGGCGTCGTCACACTGCGAGATGGACGCCTTCTCGGCAGCAGCATACTATGAGGAGTGGAACCTGGAAGACATACCTCAGCTTGTGGCTGTGAGTAGCCACGGCGCCAGCTCCATGAACACCAACAGCCCGAAAAACAGCTCTAGCGGTGCCTCCGACGCGTCAGAGGGCGTCCACAGCTGCCTGGCGCAAGCGGCTGCCATCCTCGTCGATATCCGGAATGACAGCTCGTCGTCCGACATGAATTGGGCTGCCGCCAACGTCGATGCGAAGACCATAGTGGGCGATGTTATCTTCGCAAACCGAAGGGCTACGGGCCAGTTGTCGAGAATCATGGAGTGTGCATGCCTAGCGGCAGATTATCAAATCTCCGTCGTGGTGTCCTTGATCTGCTTCCACATGATTGACAGGTACGGCAAGGCAGTGGCTGCCGCAAGGGCGACTTTGGGGGGGAGTCAGCTGGGAAACAATCATGTCATTGGCTCTGTGCAGATTCTTCTGGACGAGCTACGTCGGATAATACCTTTGATTGGAAAATCAACGACGCGGGTTGGGGAGCCTCCCGGATCAGCAGGGGCCATGGGAATTCCGGTGTCCGGTTTCGACCAGCTACAAAGAGATCTGGAGCACCACTTGTTCGCCGCATTGGGAGACGCGGAGAGTTTCTTGCATCAAGCATCAGAGTGATCTAACCAATAACGGATCTCCGGAGTGCGTGGGTTGGTCCGGAGTACGGGAGTCAATACAAGAGGGTGGTGTTGGTGGTCTACGGACTTCATTAAAGCGGAACCATGGCTATTTGCAGGACGGACTAGGCGGATATATTAGCTCAACGATAGCTTGGCGAATTTTTTGTATGACTGTTTCTAATGAATTGGAATTAGGTTTATGGAGTACACACTTTGGATGGCATTTAAACAGATGGGATAAGCTGTTGACTATATGTATGGTTCTTAGAAACGTAGCCCCTGAGTGAGCACGGGTTGTATTAGTCCGATATATCACACCGGGGCCGTGGGGCAAGTTGACCACGGCAAAAATCACGCCTCAGCGAAAAAGAGAGTCACATTATAGTAGAATACGACCGAAGTTGAATCAATTCGTCGCAAAGCTTCATGACGTAAGCGTTGTTGTGGTGATCTCGGTCCTCTTTGGGTACCCACAACTGCGATCCGTGAGGAAATCGCTAGCGAAAAATGGAGATTCTGAGGGTCGATCTGGGGATTTTGGAGTGGGAATCGCAGACTATTGGGAAATCGCCCATGGCTGGACCCCTGTCGAGCTCTGTCAAGGGAGTGGTCTTAGCTGTGATTTCGCTCTCCGATGTGGATCTGCCGTGGGTCAGGTAACTTCCGGTGCCTACGCCGGGGGGGTGCGCTTAAAGAATTTGAACTCCGAAGGAAGCAGCCTAGCTAGCTAGGTAGTCTTGATGTCTGAGTTGAGCAGCGTCCGGTAACCTCCCCGGGAGAGTGTGTGGGTGCCTATTGGTCGGTAGTAGTCAGGAGAGCCCTTGTGTGATCGACACTAATATAAAAAAAATCAATCAAACGGTTAGATGTGTTTCTTGTGGGTGGGTGACTACTAGGCATTGTCCTGCTACTTGTATTTGCAAACCATTTGTTTGAAACAGTTGTATAGAGAACCCATTACTGCGAAACATTTCGAAAATAGAGAGCCCTTGATTATCGACCTGGACAGCTTACTGCTAATTCGAGTAGGTACAAGACTTTTGCCGCCTTTGAATTATCACTCCAAGGCTACTACAATATTATTCGGTGACCGATTTGAAGGCTTTGTGCGGTCAGCCTCGGAAATAACTAAGGGTCCTAGAATGTTTCTCGTCTGAAGCCTGCCTTGGACTGGATCTCGGACGCGTCTTTCTGTGACACAGCAACGCACATCCTTGCCAGAGGGCTACAATTTTCCAAGATCATTCTATGAATGGGGTCATATTGCTCCGGGGAGGATTATCAGTCATCAAAACAATATCAGGAAATCTCCGGCTTCGGTTTCCGAATTACTGAAGAGAACAGCAATCGAATTCCACGGTTACTCCACTGTCTTCTGCTTGCTAGGTTTCTGATGACCATCTTTCAGCAGGAGAAGGAGGGAGGTGAATCATCGTGCACAATGAGACTTTCTGGGTACCGTGCTGATGTTATCGTAGTGTTAGCACAGAGATGTTGGAGTGTTGTGCCTTACTTTGAGATTGAGGGACGATACTAATGTTTTCAACAACACTTATGACAAAGACATGTACCTGTGGCTCGTGTTCAGCATAGGGGCACTAACACTCCTATTGTACAGTAAATGTAGTAAGGAGTAACGATACAATAATCTTCGGCATTGCGTTAACACCTGGAGCGTCAAGGGTCTACTAGCCAAGTGGCTACTGGACTTTGCTTGTGATGCTAACGGGGCCTCTATGGTGATCAGAGAATCAGCATATAAGATGCAGGGAAGCGCTCACACGGCCATGGCGCATTTCAACCCTAGACAACAATTACGGAGCCGGAAGCGATTCGCAACAACTTCAATCCTCGTTAGAAAAAACGTCCCAAGTTACATAATCATCTATTTATCAGTTAATTAAGATGGAACAAACTAAGGCCAACTCAAAGCCAGACACCTGTACAAACATGGACGATGGATCCATTGCGATCGTGGGCATGGCATGCCGCTTTGCCAACGTAGCATCTCCAACCCAGTTTTGGGATATGATTGAGAAGGGTCGGAGCGGCCATGGTAGAATACCTGAGCGGTGTTTTGATGCTGACGCCTGGTATCACCCATCAAGAGGTCGACGTGGAGCGGTAAGTGTCTTTTACCTGCAAAAGAACAAATAGTTGCCATTTATATGCTACATTGATCAATGTTGCGAGTTCCTTTTCAATGATGTTATAGTAATTGACACTTTGATCCTTATTAGGTCATCACCAAATCTGGATTCTTTCTTGACGATGTCTCACATTTTGATGCTCCCTTCTTTTCCATCACTTCTTCCGAGGCGGCAGCAATGGATCCGATGCAGAGGCTGGGGCTCGAGGTGGCATATGAGACGTTTGAAAACGGTAACGATTAATCCTCTTCCATGGGGTGATTTTACATCGCTGACTCAACTCAATATAGCGGGTATTACAATGCAAAACCTGTCAGGGAGCAGGACTGCGGTTTACAGCGGTGTCATGACTGCTGACTATCAGGAAATCGCCGAAGGTGACTTATTTTCCCTTGGAGATCATCCTGGAAGTGGAACGGCGAAATCGATCTTGGCCAACCGTATATCATGGTTCTTTGATCTTCGCGGCCCCAGCCTGTCATTGGACACGGCTTGCTCTTCTGCTCTCTACAGTCTTCATCTTGCTTGCCAGGCAGTGCTAGCTGGAGAATGTGACCAGGCACTAGTAACTGGCACGAATCTCATCCTCCATCCTAATCTCATGGCTCAGTTCACTGCGATGCACATGATCACCCCTGATGGAATTAGCCACACATTTGATGAGTCGGCTAATGGATACGGTAGGGGTGAAGGAGTGGCAGCGGTGATGGTTAAACCCCTCAAGGATGCCATTAGAGATGGAGATGTGGTTCGGGCTGTTATTCGTGCCACTGGCGCAAACTTCGATGGCAAAACGACGGGTATGACCGTTCCGAGCGGAGATGCCCAAGCTGAATTGATTCGTGAGACGTACAAGAAAGCTGGAATTTCCATGAACGACACTTGTTATTTCGAGGCACACGGCACTGGAACGCCACTAGGTGTACGTGAAACGCACTGTCATCTTCATCTCCTGCTTATAAATAACTAACCATGTTCATCCTTGTGTAGGATCCAATTGAGATGCAAGCTATCGCCAAAACTATTGGTGCCGAGCGAAAAGCCGCGGATAATGGTCCTCTCTACGTCGGCAGTGTGAAACCCAATGTCGGCCATACAGAGGGTGCAGCTGGTCTGGCCGGCCTCATCAAAGCAGTATTGTGTCTGGAAGCTGGCATTATACCTGCTGTGACTCGCTTGAAAAAGCTGAATCCCAAACTCCACATGGAAGACTGGAATCTGATTGCGCCGATGGAAAACGTATCGTGGCCCCAGGAAGGTGTTCGACGAGCCAGCGTGAATTCATTTGGCTTTGGTGGCGCAAATGCTCATGTGGTTCTTGATGATGCATTGCATTATCTCTCCTCACGTGGGATTCATGGGCGCCATATCACACATCCAATTCCTCTCCTGGGCCACTCGCCCATCAACCACGACCTGGAGCATGGATCATCGTCATCGTCCGCAACGTCTTCCTCAGATTCTTTGTCTTGTTCCGACAGCGAGGGTAATTCTACTGGCATTGCAGATGACACCGCCAGCGAAGATACCCCGGATGTAGAACAGCAAGACCATCTATTTGTTTTCTCCGCCCAAGACCAAGGTAGCTTGGACAAGATTGCTTCAGGTTACGCAGGATTTCTCAAAGATGAGCCTCAGAAAGACAACATTGCCACCATGCAGTCATTGAGTCACATTCTTTCAGAAAAGCGTACTAAACTGGATTTCCGAAGTTTTGTTGTGGCGCATAGCTTGGCCGATCTCAGTGCCTCTCTTGAAGCAAACCAACTGCCCCGCGAGCGCTCATCTCCCAAAGACAAAGCCATCTTCGTTTTCACCGGCCAAGGTGCTCAGCGAGCCGGTATGGCTCGTGAGTTGTTCTCTGACCCAGTGTTTAGCGAGAGCATTCGGCGCAGTCAGAAGGTAGTGACGGCCTGCGGTGGTGATTGGGATATAAAACAGATGCTCATGACGGGGTCGGCACAAGAGCTAGGAAACCCGCTTTACTCACAGCCTCTTTGTACAGCTATCCAGATTGGCTTGGTGGATATGCTATCTACCTGGAACGTACAGCCAGCTGCTGTTGTTGGCCATTCATCTGGCGAAATAGGTATGCATCTCCCCTTCTGTCCTCCTCCCCCCCCAAACATTGTTAATATGGCTAACTCACCTTTCACACCCAACCAGCTGCCGCCTATTCTTCAGGTGTTCTATCTCATGAAGATGCTATGTACGTGGCATACTACCGTGGCACACTTTCCAGCGTCGTCTCGTCACGAGCAGGAATTCAGGGCAGCATGCTGGCCGCGGGAATATCGGAATCTGAGGCCGCCAAATACATCGATGGCAACGATTCGGTCTCAATAGCCTGCATCAATAGCCCATCTAGTGTAACACTCTCTGGTGAGAGCAGTGCGGTTGCAGAGGTACACGATGCTTTGGTAAAGGATGGCAAGTTCTCGCGCCAGCTGCGGACGGGGGTGGCTTACCACTCTCATTACATGGCGGTCGTTTCCGATGATAGCAAGCGCCTGCTAGCCGGCTTAGAGGATAGGCTGGGACAAATGCGAGTGCCGATGTTCTCTTCTGTGACAGAGGAGCGCATTGAGGGCAGCAGACTCGGCGGGGATTACTGGATGGAGAATATGTTGAGTCCCGTCCGATTTGCTGGAGCATTGCGCAACCTTGTAACTGGTGCGAATATCCACGACGACGAACTGCTAGACACTGAATACAGCGCGATCATCGAGATAGGGCCTTCTAAAACGCTTCAGGGTCCCATCAAGCAGATTCTCTCTGCTATCAGCCCTCGAGTCGCAAAGAAGCTGCCATATCGCTCCATGCTGGTGGCTGGGAGCCACGCGCGCAAGACATCACTCGAGGCTGCGGGATTCCTTTGGTCAACGGGACATTCAATTGACCTGAGAAAAGTCAACGGAATCTCAGCAGCATCCGAGTTGGACTTGTGCATGCTCCCCCGCCTCCCCAGTTACCCCTGGAACCATGAAAATAGCTTCTGGCACGAGCACCTAGCCAGCCACGCTGTCCGTACTCGGAAGGAGCCCAGAACGGATCTTTTAGGGATGCCGGTTGATGGTCAGAATCCTTTCGAGCCTAGATGGCGCAACATTCTCAGCGTGGCCGAGAATCCATGGCTTGCGCATCATCGTGTGGCCTCGGCTTGTTTGTTTCCTGCTGCTGGATATCTTGTCATGGCTATTGAAGCCGTGTTGAAGTTGGCAGCAAAGGATGTACAGAAAGATCGAGTACTCCGAGGTATTGAACTTACAGACGTGACATTTGAAACTGGACTTGCGCTTCCAGACGATGGCTCGGCTACCGATATTTCTATAACCCTCAAACCGCATGCGGCTATGGATGCAGTGTATAGTTTCAGCATTTACTCTGACTCTTTTGACCAGCCTGTACGCCGCCTTGTGGTTGGCTCTGTTGCTGCTATTTATGAAGGCCAACATCAAGAAGGAGACCACGGGTTTGAATTGGAAGTACAAAAACAGGAGTGGGAGGCGACCAGAGTCAAGTTACTGAAGACACAAAACCTGGCCATACAACCTGTTGATGTTAAGGAGTTCTATGCCAAACTAGCATCCGTTGGTCTGGAATATGGCCCGACCTTCCAGGCTCTAGAAAGCATTGATACTGTTTCCTCGGAGAATGGAGCCTCGTCTGGTGGTGCTGCCTGCGGCACTCTCAAGGTGCCTGACACCAAGGCCATTATGCCCATGGAATACGAGTTTCCACATCTCTTGCATCCTGCGACGCTGGATTCTGCGTTCCATTTGGCCTTTGCTGCACTCGAGACCCAGGAGGAAATGCTGCGCCCAGCAGTACCAGTTTCGATTGAGCGTGTTTTCATCTCAGCTGATTTGCCTTCCAGCCCTGGTTCAACGTTTCTCGGCATGGCCTCAACCAAACGCATCGGAAAAGCGTCGCTTGTCGCCGACATCCTCTTTGCCGATACGGAGGTTCGTGGTCCGCAGATTGTCATTGAATCGATGGGACTGAGCGACGTGGGAGAGGCATCAACTCAAGACGCTGGATACAATGCGACAAATTCAGTCGCCAGCAATCTGCGGACAGCTGACATAGTATGGAAAGAGGACATTGCCATGATGGAATTGCCTTTCCATACTAATATCCAAGATGGCCTATCGCTGCTTACCTCATGGCTCGAATGCTACTTACACAAATATGCCAACGCAAATGTCTTATTTGCAGGAGCTGAGCAGGACATGGATCTTCTAGAAACTCTCCGCTGCACAGTTGCATCACATCAGAGGGCTGGCGGCCGGGGGAAGATGTTTTCCTGCTCATTGCCGCAGTCGGACGCAAGTGAGGACCACAGTACACTCCCTACATACATGCAGAAGTCTCTTGCAAATGGCCCTTATGATGCAATCATACTAGTTGCTCACGGAGGCCGAGGAAACAGTCTCTTTTTGCATTCCATTTCACGCCTCCTTAACCCCGGCGGCCAAATAGTGAGGCTCGATGACAACGGCCGCATATGTATGCAGAAGGGGGATGAGGTGAGTATTACTGTAGATGGCAGCGAAATTAGCCACTCTGGCATGGCGAACTCGAAACAGCCATCGTCAACGTTGTTGAGCACGTTAATGCCAGAGCGTGTGATCATACTCGAGCGCAGTGTCAACGACCAGAATCCGGAAGCTCTGCGGCTACGCGATAGTTTGACCGACATTCTAGGGCAATATGGGGCCCAAGTGACTATTCAGTGCATGGTAAGTGACTTCTGTTCTGTGTGGGCGATAGAAGTTCGTCAAGCTGAACTTTTCCCTATTGCTGCCTTGTTTCGTGACATGAATATTATCGCCGATCAACCCGATCCTCTGATCCTTATCCTCTTATTCCCAACAAATGTGTTATTTTGGATATTCACTAATAGTGATATTCGATTTCTAGGGTCAAACTCCTATTGAAACCACCAATTCGTACATCATCTCGCTGGTGGAATATGGCCAAAGCCTTGTGTACGATTGGAGCGGGGAGGATTTGATCCAGTTCCAAAGCATGGTGGCCAGCGCACGCTACGTGCTTTGGTTGACCACCGGCGGTTTGATGACTCCTAATGAAGACGGCCTGAAGTATAGCCTTACTCAAGGGTTGTTGCGTACGGTTCGTGCGGAATACCCCCAGCTGGTGCTGCCGCATCTGGACATTTCGCCAAACAGCTCGAGTCTTTGCGAAGACATGGCGTCTATTGTGACCAAGATTCTGAGTATGACCTTGCCTGGCATTGACTCTGAGGTCCTTGTAGAGACCGAGTATGCTGAGCTGGACAACAAAATCTTCATTCCCCGCCTCGTTCGTAATGCAGCTATGGATGCTGAAATCGAATTGTTGGCATCCAACACTACGTCGATTAACATCCGGTTGAACGAGTGCCCCCAACCTTTGAGGTTATCCATGGAAGGGTCTGTACAATGGACGCCGTGCGAGCCACACAGCTCCGTAGGCGCTGGCAAGGTTTTGGTAGAGACCAGATATGTTGCTGGCTCGACTTTGGAAACGGCCGCCATGCCGTGGGCCGTTGTCGGCATCGTCCGAAAGGTAGGGGCCCGCGTGTCCGATTATCGCGTGGGCGACTTCGTTCTACCCCTCGACGTCTCCATGGACCTTGATGTGAAAACTAGCTTCATTACCAGCACTTCCGATCTCTTCAAAGTTCCCGAAAATATCTCGGCTACACAATTGGCATACTGGATTACGCCATTTATTGTGGCGCACCAAGTCCTTATTAACCAGCAGCAATCAACTTCATCAGCTTCTTACGGATTGCTGTCCAATCCTAAGATGATGAGTCAACTGACTTCTCATCTGAGCAAGAAACTACAGCCAAATCTTACACCTCCAGACAGTGCAGGCCACTCGCCTCTCCGGAGTTCAACACCAGAACTCCCAGAGCGACAACATGCAGATACCGGCGGTGTCCTGATAGATGTGGAAGATTCGGCTTTGAGAGCTGCTCTGGGACAAACCGCACATTGGCTTGGCCTAAATGTGTTTGTCGTAGTACCCGAGGGTGAACAGGTCGATGAGGAGGAGCTCAATGGTTGTACCATCCTGCATCAGATGACCCGCTCATGTAGCAGGATGATGCGAAACAAAACTGGTGTTTCGGGTATACGACTTGTGTTGTCATCGCTTCAGAATCCGGCAACTGTGAAACATCTGATGGCTAGTCTTGGGCCAGGCGGCCGCTTCGTGGCAGTCAACCCTTCAACTAACCGTGAGAACAACCTGAGAGCAGCTACTCCTCGTTTCGATGTCACGCTAGAGCGTCTTGATACTGCATCAATGGATATGTCCAATATGCGGATTTCCATGAGAGCTGTATTCGCTTTATTCTCCAGCAAGACGTTGACTCTCCCGCCACTACCACCCTCCAGCCAGAAGCCCATATCAGAGATTGGCCAACTTTTAGATCAAGCACAAGATCATAGACCCATGATCTTTTCGCTAGGGCCTCAATCATTCGTTCCAATGCTTGTATCTGGGCACTCTGCTCTTCTGCAGAGCAGGCTGGATCCCGCTGGTACATACATCATTTCTGGTGGCATGGGTGCATTGGGTCTTGAGATGGCAGAGTGGCTAAGCGAACAAGGGGCCCGCCACATACTTCTTCTATCACGCTCTGGGAAACCGACCGACTCAGCTCTCTCCGCAATCCGTCGTCTTTCTCAGCAGGGATGTCGGTGTGATGTGATACGCTGCGACATCATCTCGGCTACTGATGTAGAGTACGTGGCATCTCAAGCCAAAAAGGAGAATTGGCGTATTCGTGGTATCATACAAGCTGCCATGGTGCTTGCTGATTCTCCATTCGAGTCTATGACAGGAGAACAATGGACTACAGCCACAGCACCGAAAGTCCAGGGTTCCTGGAACTTGCACCATGCTTTAGGCTGCCATAATGATCTCGACTTCTTCATCCTGCTTTCATCTATTTCTGGAATCATCGGCAACAGCGCCCAGGCTAACTACAGTGCCGGCAACACGTTTGAAGATGCACTGGCTGCTCACAGACGCCATCAGGGTTTCCCTGCCACCAGTCTGAATCTGGGACTTGTCAATATGGATACGGGCAACATCGGTTCAGTGGATGACTTCGTAAAGAAGTTTCCGCATCTTGCATCCGTTCTAGTTAGCAAGAAAGAAGTTAAGGCTGCGTTGCAGCTTGCTATGCGCGGCATTGGCTTGAACGGTTTGCAAATACCCAGCCAAGTGGTAGTGGGTATCTCGGGCTCTATCCAACTTGACGACAATGGAGGCAGCAGCTGGTCTACTGACCTTAAATTCGTCCATCGACTGGATCGACAGCTACAATCCGATACTGCGGGCGAAAAACAACAAAAGGTAAACTACGAAAAAGCCATCAAGAGTGCTAAAACAACCGAAGAAGCAAGATTAATTATTGAAGATGCACTTCGTGTGCATGTCGCTGCCGCTATGTCGTCGGATGCATCCAACATTGACGTGGATAAATCGGTGACAGCTTATGGAAGTAAGTGAAGATAGTTTCGTTACCCATGCTGCCAATGAAATGTACTAAATGGTATTTTACAGTTGATTCTCTGAAGGCTACAGAGGTGCGGAATTGGTTCTTGAAGGAGTTTGATAGCCGCTTGTCCATATTCGAGATTCTCAGCCCAATGCCCATCTCGCGTTTGGCGCTGAGTATCTTAAAGAACTCTTCATATAGCGATCTGGCGGCTAAATGATACGAGGGTTGGGACAAAAGATAATAGTATATAATTCATTCTAGCTTAATATTGTTCATTTTATAAAATTTCCACAATACTCTTAGCAGCTGACTCAAAATTACGAACCTGTATCCTTCTCCCCGAGATTGTATATAAATCGTACTGAAGTGTCGACACGGGCTCTACCCTTTTAACGACAAACCACTTTTTCAATGCCGCCAGTTAGTCTAGACTGGTGATAAATGTTCGTCTCCTCAATCCTGAATGCGTAATCCACCCAAGAAGAATCTCTAAACTTAGTAGAAGACTCCCAATGGTCCATGTCCTTTCTCGGGTTCCACTTTATGATCCTTACGCTATAGGTTCACTTCATTCCTCTATTAGAATTACAAATCAAGTTACAATCGCTATATTTGTAACACTTTGGAATGTCATGGATATGTTGGTACACCAAACTGCTGCGGTATTTCAACCTCGTCGTTAAAATCCCACCGTATCTTGCGCTTCTTGGCCCACTCACGGATACGGTCGAAATCGCGACACGTATGTAGAACAGTGAGCCAAGGCTTGTTTCTCATTGGGTTGGGAATAGAATAGTCCCAGTGCCAAACAGCTGGGGTAATATCGGCGTGACACATGATTGATTGGCGCAAACTTTCGAGGCAGTGACCGATATGCCATGGGTTGATACTGTTTTTGACTCGATTTTCTTCAAAAGCCTCATAAGGATATGATTCGGGAACTGTCCAATTCAATGAGGCCTCTGCATCTTTAACATATTCCCAATCTGAGAGGTAAATAGGGGTGAAAGCTTTGCGGAAGATATTCTAAAAGTCAGGTGTCAGCAATTCATCCACAAACTATAATATGAGCACGTACAAGGCAGTGGAGTTGGTGAAATACGTCAAGCTCCACGATGTATTCGTCTTCGTGGCCCGGTACAGGTGATGTATAGTTTGGTAATAGTCTTGCTTGAGCTTCAGGAATTGTAGAGATACCAACTAATCAAGTATTAAAGTTAGGCCATCAAACATGTGATATTGGCATATGATATCATGTATGGTTGACTGACAATTAAACAAATTATCCCATGCCCTGTTCAAAGTTTCAGAAGGGCCTCCTTGAAATTCTTTGGGGGCATCGACAATATTAGTATGGTATTTTGTCAATTTGTAGCTAATCTCGGTTTGAGCCGGAGAATAGGCTTGCTGTGAAGCGTAAAGTTTATGTTGGCGAAATCGATCCCAGCCATCAGTTCTGTCGTAGATAATGATGGCCGCCAATATGAATGACAGAATCCAGGGGAATATCTTGGTAGCAGTTATCAAACATGTCGATAGGAAGTTGCGCCGTGTACTCCCATGAGAATGACGAGAAGTATCTTCAATAATGGTGTCCTCTGCGTCATCGCCGGTCAACAGAGGATCGTATGAATGCTTATTCATGGTGAAGATTCCGGCGATGAGACGCAATGAAGCAACATGTAAAAGATGAGTCCGACAAAAGGGAACCGTCAGTAGATACTGAGTATCCAAACCAATTGAGCTTACCGAATTCGATATGGAAATATAAAAGGCTCCCTCTTCGCAAAGTCTTTCCTCCTGTGGTCGAGCAGGTGGTTCATATGCGTCTAAGTGTCACTCTAGTTTAAGGGTATAGTGAGAAATGCTATTCGTATACGAACGATATTTCTAGTGTAAGATAGGCAAAGCACAAAAGTGGTTCCAAAGCAGCATACTAGAACTCATACGCTATAAGCAGTAACTGAGAATGGACGACTGAGATAAAACGAATTAAAAGAGCCACCTCCATGGACCCTTTTACGGAATTTCTATGTCAGCAGTAACTCCAAACGGCAGGTGTGTGAAAATTACCCCGCGAGATTGCAGTGCTATCGCGACAACTTGCCCGGTCTGGCCCATTTTTACAACCGAAAAAGGTGTGAGGGGTTGCTACTACTTTGTACTAATAAGAAACCAACATCCGTATTTATTTGGTCGAAGATGACTAGAGACGACCATCTATTTTACGAACTAAGAAAAAACGTCTTTGGCGTGATGGTTGCTCCGCATGGCGTATCACAGCCTAGGTTATCATAAGTTCGTGACAACGATCCCAATAAGTACGATCGAGCGGTTTTTTCATTTGGAACTTTTGCACAAGGTTCATGTTCTAATTCCGATGTGATCATGGTAAATGCTTCATAAGATGGTCTACTATAATGCCTAAAGACTATAACAGAAACGGAATGGACATTAAACTTGTTTCATAAAATTATATCTTATCTGGGCGGATAATAAAGGTTCTGTTTAAAACATCATTAGATGTATTTCTAATCGTAATGTGGTTTAAGTAAATAGATAGATGGGGATTTCATGGGACAATCAACGAGGCAAGCTTTCACATAGACTAGTATACCGTATTCCAAAATATATAAAGTTCTCCCAGGCTTCCAGTTTCAACTCCCTGTGACACCACGCCTTCTTTTATTCATATACGCACCACTTCATAAACCACTCAGAACACAATTATTGCACTACTTATACTTATACTCTCAACATGAGATTTGGAAACGCCTTGTACCTAGCCGTTGCTGCTCTGGCTGCTGCCGCGCCAGTAGAGCAGACAAACAACGTTGTGGATCCCCACAACAGGCTCTGGAAGGACAGTGAAGAATCAACCAATGTCGTCGATCCTCACAACAGACTGTGGAAGGACAGCGAAGACTCAGTCAACGTTGTTGATCCTCACAACAGACTGTGGAAGGACAGCGAAGACTCGGTCAACGTTGTGGATCCTCACAACAGACTGTGGAAAGACAGTGAAGACTCGGTCAACGTTGTGGATCCCCACAACAGACTGTGGAAGGACAGTGAAGACTCGGTCAACGTTGTGGATCCTCACAACAGACTGTGGAAAGACAGTGAAGAATCGACCAATGTCGTCGATCCTCACAACAGGCTCTGGAAGGACAGTGAAGAATCGACCAATGTCGTCGATCCTCACAACAGACTGTGGTAAAGGTAAGAGAGTGGTTCGACTAAGTTAGCAAGCTCAAAATATCTAACTGTTTGGATTACATAGCTTCGCTCAATGAATGTAGTGCCAGTAGGGCATCCTGTGGGTATAAAGAAAATTCAGGACAAAAACGATGCTCTGTTTTTCGCTACTTATAGACTGAATAAGTGTCCATAGTTTGAGGGAAATGGCCTCTATTAAATGAATATGCATTATGCTCATATTTGCACCCGGGCCCTTATACTTACTGATTCCTACTATAGCGATCTAGTTGGATAACGTAGAACACGTCTATAAGTAATTTCTGCTCTTGATCAGAATACTTTGTGGAAAGATTATGCGCTCTCTTTGGGAAATATTAATTCTTCACCTCGAATTAAACTGAGGATAAAAAATATGACTTGATGTCTATATAGTTCATAAAATATGAATTTGACTTAATCACCGAAGAATACCATCAAACGTTATCTTCAAGCCTCAGATCTACTAGCTTTCACATTCTATCTACCGTATTGTGCACAATCTTCTCGCTAATATCAAACAGCAGTCATAAACTCCTCAATAAATTGTCCAACCTTGCGCAAAGCCTGCTCTTCTTCCATGACGGCGAAATGGTCAGCTGCTGATACGGTCCGTACCTGTAAACGCGCCCGCGGTACGAATTCTCCGTAACCATTGGTTTCGTCACCATCCCAGACCTCGCCATGGTTTGGTAAGCGCGAAATAATGAGTGCGTCGCCGTCGAACGGGCGTGGCACATATTCGTTGTGCAGAGATATGTTGTGGCGGATTTGGTTAAGGAGACAACTACGATACTCGATGACTTCAGGCCCAGCCGTTGTCGCTTCGAGAGTGGTGGGAACCTTGAAAAATTGTTCGCATTCGGCATCGGTCACACCACCAGGCCTCGTTGGGGCACGCTCTCTTGCGGCCGAGTCGATCAAGACCACGCGAACATCGTCCTCCCCTAACTGGCGCAGCTCATTGGCCACTTCATACGCTAACTGGCCTGCAAATGAGAAGCCGGCCAGCAAATACGGCCCGGTGGGCTGTTGCCGCCGTATGAGCGCAGAGTGCTCCGCTGCCATGGCCTGCAATGAATTGTAATGATCGGGTTGGTGAAAGAAGATGTTCTCAACTCCAATGAGGTCGAATGCAGGCAAATAGGGCGCCAGGATGCTGTGCTGCTTGGACGTGCCAGTAATAGCGAAGAACACAAAGAGTTGACGCCGCGGCTTCGTGCCTACCGGTGCCTTCGGGTTGAAGTACGGAAGCAAGTAGTCGCTCCAATCATCCTCACGCAGTGACCAATCAATATCTAGTGACCGCTGTTGTTGAGGCGGCACCTGTTGGTCATATGTTGATTTTTTTGGTGCTTGGGCGGCGGGTAGTAATGTCGTAGCTGTTGGATCATGAGACAGAATGTTGCGTTGTGTTTTCCATTGTGTGTAGATTTCATGCAGCTTGAGCTGATCTACCTTGCTGTTCCCCGTCAATGGGATTGCCGAAACAGGGATGAAACACTTTGGAATCATGAAATTTGGTAGCATCTGGTGGGCTTGGGCTTCCAGGTTTGCGAGTGTCTGAGCCATGTTGTCATTGAGCCCGCGTCCAGCTGTACCATCTGAGACTGTGAGCCCATTATTTGATGATTCCAGTTTACAGCAGAAAGCAACAAGTTTTGAATCAAGTAGAAGCACCACCACGCTTTGGTTCCGAGTTGTAAGAGTTTTCTCAATCTCTGAAAGCTCCAGACGACGACCATTAACCTTAATCTGGCGATCTTTTCGCGCATGGTACACTATCTCCCCATTAGAGTCGTATGCTCCTAAATCTCCTATGCTCTCATTATGAATTAGCCAATGTTAATGATATAAAATTGAGGAACAAATTGGTGGTATTAACCTGTGTTATATATGAGACCAGACCCATATGGGTTCTCTTGGAAGGCCTTTGTTGTTTCTTCCGGTCGACCGTAGTACCCATCTGATAGTTGTCGTCCAGAGCACCAAATTGTCCCAATACTGCCCATGGGAACACGGCGCATGTGGTCATCTAAGATGTGTATTTGTGTTCCAATACTCGGGCGCCCTATGCATCGTGGGTCACTCGAAGCGGTGGCGTGTTTCCACGAGATTACAACGGCCTCAGTAGGACCGTACGCGTTGATAACTCGGACAAATGGTGTCCATCTCTCATACACAGCCTTTGTAGCCATCTCGCCCGCTAGGCAGAGAGATCGAATGTGAGGAAGGCTATCTGGGTATAAGAGAGAAGCAATAGAAGGTGTTGTGTTTAGGCTTGTGGTACCCGATTCTCGTAGCAGCGCTGGAAGCCTAGATACTGTCTCTGCTTGGGGAGCGAGAACCAGCGTGGCACCAGAATAGATGGCTCCGAATATGTCACTTTGCGAGACATCAAAGACGAGACGCGCAAAATTGAACACTCGATCGTCCCTGCCATATCCAATGGCTTCTGCCATCATTATACCATAACCAACAACTTGACGGTGTGGCATTATCACAGCCTTGGGGGTCCCGGTAGTTCCACTTGTGAAAAGGATGGCTGCGACATCATCTGAAGTGGCCGTGGATGGAGGCAAGTAGTACCCGTCGTTTGAAGATTGCGTGGTTGGGTTGAAGAGTTGTTCGGCTATTATGAAGGGGCATTTGTCGTTCTCCAAGAATATTTGGGGGAGCAACTTTAGAGTTTCCTTCGAGCAGATAATGGCAGATGGACTAATCTGCTCAACTAGCAGTTTAGTACGAGCTGGTGGGTTGTCTATGTCCAGTGCCACGTAGGCACAGTCGGCCCGGTGTATGGCATGGATAGCGCAAATGAGTTCAGTAGATTTATCCAGAAAGATTGCCACTCGCGACTTTGGCACCAGATTAACTCTAGCTTGGAGTCTCTTAGCACCTAGCTCAACGATGGTTGACAAGGTTTTGTAAGTCATGACGATGGGTTTCTGTCCCTTCTTTCGATATAACTCCATGGCCGATTGATCCGGAGATCTGCTCGCACGGCTCTGAAGTAGCTGCGAGCATGTAAGACCGTCGTATTGGATGGGAAAGCGTGGACCAGAGATTAGGTCATCAATCGTACGGTGATGATTGGTTTCCAGCAGGTTCATGGCTTGAAGTGGCCGGATAGTATCGTGCCTGGCATCTGCAACATGCTGGAGCACAATGCCTAGCGTTTCCATAATACGACAGAGCTGGTCTTCATCAATGTCTTCTCCGTGCATACGCGCATCGACTATTATAGTACTCTCCTCACAAGACATATTCAGGAGCAAGGGAACATCAGTCACCTCATCCATGTCTTTGAGGGTGAGATGAAATCCAGACTGAACCATGTTTTCCGACTGGAGTGGGGTGTTAGTAATCAATGTTGAGTTGAAGAGCGTTTTCTTTCCAGAGAGGCCATGAATCTGCTTTAGCGAAAGTAAATCTTCATGCTCGGCCATGTCCAAGAAGGCATCCGTAACGAGTTCGATAAATTGACGCATGTTTTGATCCCAGTCAACGCAAACACGTAGCGGAACGGTGTTGAGACATGGCCCTACGACGTTTTGTATTCGCTCAATGTCCTCTCCACGACGGCCAGAGACGACACTACCAAACACAACGTCTCGAGTGGATAAATAAGTGGATAGAGTGAGAGCCCAGGCAGCGTGAAATAAAATCGGAATCGTCGTATGATTGTAGTGGGCAGCATCCTTGAAGTGTTTGGGGCTTACGGGGAAACAGAATTGCTGGTGGCGGCCAATGAGAGTTTCATGGATCGCCTTTTGCATCTCCATTTGCGCCTGATTCGCTCTCAATGGATTAACCAGAATGCTTGGTTCAATATCACGCATCTGCGATTGCCAGAAGTCGTTGCTCCTTGTATACTGGCCTCCTTTCTCATACCTGGATACGACGATGTCGCTGAACTGAGTAGTCTGGGGCGCCAGTGCCTGGCCAATGTAGACACTGCGAACCTCAGCTAACACCAGACGCATAGAGAAGCCATCTATGAGAGCGTGATGGCAAGTCCAGGTACAGATAACTTTCTGTGTGGTTGGGGATTTGTGAATGTGAAGTCTGCATAGCTGCTTTGCGAAGCCTGGTTGCATTGACTTCAATTTTTTGCCCATTTGGACGAGAGGATTCGGCAGCGCGCTTTCCTTCAGAATGACTTGCACCAACTCTATGTCGCTTTGATGGCTTTTCTCATTGGGGGTTGCCTGTCGGGAGAGCGGCATAAAAACTGTACGAAAGATGGAATGTCGCCCCAAGACGACACCCCAAGCATGTTGCAATAATTGAATGTTAGTATCTGTATCACTCGCCTCGTAGTTATACGAATGCATGTATGACCGAGATCCAAGACTGGCCAGAAGCATCGCCGCCTGTCCATCAGTGGCAGGCGCCATTTTTTCAATGTCTTGGATGTTGAGCTTCCATGCTACAATGCTTTCTTCGATAGCGTCTTTTTGATCTTGCATGCACTCGGGAATGCTGTAGGAGTTATGATCAATAGATGTCCCAAGACTCTCGGTAGGCGACCAGGAAGCGCCACGGCCCATGGCGATTCTGTTCATATCGGCAATATTAAGCTGTGACTCGGCAGCCATGCTGCGTATGCAGTAGGACCAAGAATCTAGCAGCTGGCGTATCTCGTTGGCAGTGTGAATTGCGGTGCTGTAAAAGATGCCAATGTCCAGCTGACCCTCATGAGTCAAACTGCATTCAATGTCCAAGATGGAAAAACGTTGATTTGTGGGGGATTGGTACATGCCGAGATCCATCTCTACATTCTCAAAGGAGGTATAGGACGACGTTCTCGCTCTCTGTCCAAGATAATTGAACGTAATCATTGCATCTACAGGAGCTGTTTCAATTGCTGAGGCAAGATTGACGTTGGACATTGCATGTTTTCGGGTCTGCTGGACCATGGTGGTAAAGTCGTTCACAGATCCTTGTAACGGTACATTGAATGCAATAGGAATGATGCGAGTAAACCACCCAACTGTCCTGGTTAGATCGAGCTCCTCCAGTTCCAAGTCGCGACCATGTGATTCAAAGTGAAGCTCAATCTGATTCGTGGGAGGTCTCGGTCTCTGCCAGGTGCTGAGCGCTAGAACTAGGCCGGCAAGCATCATGTCAACGGGCTCCGTATCTTCACGTCTCAAGTTCAGAGCAGAGACATCTACTTTGACATTCATAAAGTTGCCTGATTCCTCTGTGTTTTCTGGGAGACGCTTCATCTGTTCCATGGTAAGAAAGGAGCTATATTCGCGAGCATAAATTCGAGCTGGAATATGCGCAGCGATTTGACGCTTGTTGGACAAATATTCGGCCCACTCAGGGAAGGATGAGAACTCCGGTTCAATGGAATCTCCCTGAAGTAGATCCTCCAAATCGCTCCAGATGACCTGCCAAGAAACCACGTCAACGGCCAAATGGTGAGCAAATATCGCACAGTAGAGCTCGTCACCTATATGAAACCCGCCAACGGCGCAGATCCGCCCGCTGGAGATGTTTAGGCACGACTGTAGCTTTGAAAGCTCTTCGGGGAGCTCCTCCACTGACGATAAATGCCTTGTCAAGAAGTAGGTATGATTGGTGTTCTCATTCGGTATACCGATGAGTTTTCCATGCTCATGGGTGGCACTTTTCAACACCACTAAACGTAACATCGGGTGGACTTCGACAATATTAGACCAAGCCCTCTGGAAGTCCTCGAATGTGTGCTTTTTGTTCAGCTTAATGATGTGACCTTGATTAAACCAATCTTCATTAGCTCTCTGGGAGGCAAAGAACCAATCGATGATTGGCGTGGGAGGGACAAGATTGCTGACCGTCTGACTCTCTGTCTTCAGCAATGACTGTACAGAGCTCTGCAACACATTGACATTGTCTGCATCCTTCCCGATAGACCTAGTTGGATCTAAAAAATCTGCGAGCGTCATAATGGTAGGGTTCTGATAAATATCTTTTACTTTAAGCGTAAATCCAGCCTTTGTGAGGACTGATCGAAGCCTAATAACAGATATAGAGTCACCGCCCATTGAGAAAAAACTGGCATCCCTGGGGAACTGCCGATCTCCGAGGATTTCCTTGAAAGCGCTTTGTATCCGAGTCCCGGCTGTTGGTGCTGGTGTTGTAATAAGCGGCCCTTCTATAGGGATCTGTGCTACTGTGCTACTCGAAACGGATCTCTCTGTAGCTGTAGCGTCAATCCCATTAGGCGATTCATGTAATATCGTCCCGCCAAAGAATAGAGTGAGGGCGCCAATCGTTGGATTTTGGTAGATATCTTTCACCTTACACTTGAGCCCGGCTTTTGTAAAGGCTGAACGGAGCTTGATGACAGAAATCGAGTCACCGCCCGTAGAAAAGAAGTTGCTGTTATTTTCCAGGGACTTGGTGCCAAGAACTGTATGAAACGCTGCGCGGACAGCCATCCCGATCTGGTCACACTCGCTTTTCTCCGGAGTTTGCATTATAATTTCTTGAATTTGAACCCCGACCGTGTTGTCTCGAGGGCGTTCACCCTCATCGATCCGCGATTGTTGAAAAGGTGATGAGTTTGGCAATTCTGGACTTCGGTCTACCACCGTTTCCGCGTGATCAATTTTATCAAGCTTCTCATCCGTTGCAGCTTGGGGAAGGTAACCATCGAGAGCTTCTTCTGGTAGTTCTCCGATCAGACTCTTGATCATTTTCCTGTCCAGTTTGCCATTGTTATTCATCGGGATGTCGTTCACAGGAACCCATAAAGAGGGCATGAAATATGCTGGCAATTTCGCCTTGACTGATGCCTGTAGCTTTAGAATAAGAGAGTGGAGACCAGCCAACGAAAGTGGTTTCAAGCTGCCTTTCGTTTGCAGACTTGCATCTGTAAAAATGGCTACAAGGCAATCGCCTAATGGCCGCTTGATCATGATGACAACACTTTTGCCCTGGTCGAGCACATTGTTCAAGGCACTCTCTATGGCTCCCAGTTCCACTCGCAGGCCTCGCAAATTGACCATGGTGTCCATGCGGCCAAGACAAACTATGCTGCCGTCCGATTCGAAACGCGCACAGTCACCAGTTAGGTAAATGCGTCCATAATCCTTTGTGTCTACAAAGGCCGCAGCACCGGGTGGTGGTTTGAGATAACCGCGTGCCAATTGATGGCCTCCTATGGCTAGTTGGCCAACCTCTCCTACGCCGACCTGTTTGAGCTTGTCGTCGAGAACGTAGACGAAAACGTTCTCCAAAGGCCGGCCAATGTTTGATATATCTGTATCGGGGAAGCATTGTCGACCAAGGACATCGACGGTGGCTTCTGTAGGGCCATATATATTGAAAAGCGTGGCCTTGGAAGCCCAGACATCTCGACACAGCTCCGTCATGGGCTCTCCACCAATATCTAGACACTCAACGTCTGGAAGTTCATTTGCATCGAGAGCACCCGCAATGGTGGGGGTAGTAGCAATGTGCGTGATTCTCAGCATAGCCATAGTGTCCTGAAGGTCTGCCAGCATCCATGACTTGCGACCAATACAAAGAGTGGCTCCAACACTGAGAGTGCCGAAAATGTCAATGACTGAAACATCAAAAGTCCAAGGTGCCAGCTGTAAGAGTCGCTTGTTTGGAGCCAGACGGTATAATGGGCGTAACGAGACTGTAGCATTCCGAAGTGCATGATTTTGAATGGCAACTCCCTTTGGTTTCCCTGTGGAACCGCTTGTGTACAGAACATACGCTAAATGTTCTGGTAGCCGCTTTGTGGTCAAGTTGAATGGCTTCGACGCCATTGGTAGCGGAGTGCTGATATCAACACAGAGCATACCCTTCGCCTTGAGTTGAGCTCTCAGCTGAGAAGCTTGTTCAACACCCAGGGGTTCCTTTTCTGGGATAAATACTACAGCAGCTGGCTCACAGTCTGCTATGATGGTGAGGTTCCAGTCAATTGGATTGTTCAGTTCGATGGGTACGTAAGCACCACCAGCTGTCATAATCGCCAAGATTGTGATTATTCGTTCAATAGACGCATCGCCCACAATACAGATAGCCTGGTTCAGCATGTTCTGAGGGCCAATACGCGTCGATAGGAAGCTAGCCAAGCCCGATATCATATCTGCCATCTCCTTGTATGTTATCGAGGTTTCGTTCTCGAAAATCATAGCAGTGGCGGAAGGCCGGGATCTAGCTTGGTCAATGATCTGAACGTCGGCAAACGGGGTTGTCTCCACTATGGGATTAGGCGTGCCATGGAACCAAGAAGGGACCTTTGAGACAGACTGCAGTTCAGACCGAGAGTCTCTCTGAGTCACGTTGGTATCCTTGTGGGATTCGCTCTCGCTAGTCGTCCCATCTGTGGCAACCCTCAGATGAGTAAAGGTATTTGGATCAGTGTAAGTACCTTCAATATCGTTCAAGGAAGCATATGGTCCGAGCTTTTGGATATGGCGCAAGAGACACTCGTATTCCTTGCATATCTCCAAGACTTCGACTTCGGAAATGCGAGCTGGATTGAACTCAACGCTCATGTCCAATTTTGACCTCCCGTTCTTTGTCATTTCTCTTGTGATAGTGAAAGCCAACGGGAATTTTGCAGAGATACCAGGTAGTACTTCCGGGAGAATTCCCTTGCAAGGTTCAATTGTTCTGGCCTTTTCTCGTGCTCCGACCGGTACATTATGATACGTGAAAAGCGTATCGAAATCATTTGCTCCCCAGCCTATGGACTCCAAAACTCTTTCGAATGGGATATCGGAGTATTCAAGAATCTTGGCAAGGCAATCCTGGAAGCCTTGCAGAGTTTCGCCTACGGAGCATGTGCCCGCCAGTTTTGTGAATCTTACTGGAAGCGTGTTGATGAAGCATCCGTACAAGTTCTGCTCCCGAGGTCCTCGGCAAGTGGCGGGGATTAAAACGGATGACCCCTCGGTGCCTGACTTGAAACTGAGAAGAAGTTGGAAAGCAAACAAATAAGCAGCAAAAGGAGTCGACCCGGACTTGTAAGCCCACTGCACTGGATCGTAGTCGAAAATCGCACCTCGGTTGATTGTAACAGCATCTGGATAGCTCTCTGATTCTGATCCTGGTCTCAGAGAGAGTCCATGCAACTTCTCAGGATCAACGAGCAATTTCTGAAAGAATTTTTGGGCTTCTGCAAGCTTGTTGGATTTGAGCATCTCATGGTGTCGAGTGGAAAAGTCGACGTACGAGCCAGCGTCGACGTTGGCCGTCTCCTTGGAACAAGATTTGCCTGTCACAACAGAACACAGCTCTTCCCACACGCCGGTGATAGTTTGTTCATCAGCGACGCAATGGTGAAAATTGATGATTATATACTGTTCGCCGTTGGGGAGAATAATAGCGGTGCATCGCACAAGATGACCTTCGGCAAGATTGAACTCCCGCATGCATTCTTCGCGACTAATCCTGGTAACCTCTTCAGCGGCTGTCTTATCGCTATGGTTGCTAAGATCATGAATGGTATATTCCAAGCGCTCTGATCCATCAACAATTTGAAGTAGCTCACTTTCATCTGTGAAGTCAAAGTGTGTTCTGAAAATGTCGTGCTCAGTCACAATATCTTGGAGAGCCGCAATAACGCGAGATAGACTGACACCATGAACACGATATGCACTTGGCAGACTGTAAGTTGAGTCTCCGAGCTGTTCTTGGAGTAGATAGAATCTTTTTTGCATTGAGCTTGCCAAACCTTGTTGTGGGCGTTGGAGCATCTCTTTTCCCAATGCCACATAGCTTCCGTCGTCAGACTCATTGTCGCAAGTCTCTGACAAAGCTCTATCAGCGAAATGCTCAACAAGTGATTCCATCGTAGGGCAGCTCATAACGTCGCGCATGCTGACACTGATGTCTGGCTCGTGCCTTATCATATCGGCCATGAATGCCATACATGAAAAAGAATCCAGGCCAAGCTCACGCAAGCCGCTTTGGTCGTCAATCGACGCGATGCCTAAAGATTTGCATAAAGACTCTCTTATTAATGACTCGAATCTCGCTTTGGCTTTATCACACTTTGACTGTAGGCCATCTTTTCGGGCGAGAGTGTCAACTAGCAGTCGAATCGATGGGCATGAGGTGATGTCGCGCAAGCTGATTTCCAACTCTGGCTCGACGCGAAGTATATTGGCGATAAATGACATTGCAGCGAATGAATCGAGGCCAATTTCGCGAAGGTTTTGATCGCGGTCGACAACTGCAACGCCTAAAGCTCTACATAGCGAATCCGTGACGAGTGACTGCAGCTCTATAGCGCGCTGATTGAGCCCACCAGAGATGTCGACGGGCATTGAAGTGGTTCTGTGTTCGATGCTTGGCGTAAGATCCGAAACAGGTGGAACTTGAAGCTCGCATGATTGCTTTGTCAACTTTGTGTTGGAAACATTTTTCTTGAAAAGTGAGTCCTCGGGGATTATGGTGGACAATATCGAAGATATAGATTGACCACCCGTGCCATCACGCTTGTCGATGACTTTCTCCCATGCCTGTACCAGAACTTTAATATCGTCTTTGTCATACTTCTGCTCATTGAATTCAACCAAGACATCCAAACAATCTTTATGAGCAAAAACATGCCACATGAGGTCAAACATCGGTTTTTCTGAAGTGATGAGGTCCAAAGTCATATCAGTCATATCAGATGACATATCATCATATGACTGAGCATCGTGCATGATAAATTGAATCATGAAATTGGCTGTGTCCAGGCCACAAGCAGAAGCCACTCTGTTGATAGCCATGTCTGATTCCAAGGCAAAATCCACTCCTTCGCGGATCTGCTTCGTGAAGTCCTCAAGGGAATCTTCACTACCTAGCCGACTGCGTAGGAATGCTGTATGAGTGAGATTGCTCAATACGTTCCGACAGAGATGAGGTGGCAACATCCCACGACTTGAAATAGGGATTATGGTGGTAACATCATCGGATTGTGTATAGCTGTGGAGAATCGCGTGAAAGCAGCTGAGAAGGTGTACAAATGACACATTGTCTTCCCGCCCTTCCGCCGTCGGCAATGACAGAGCATACCTTAGCTGATCGTAGGAGCCCTCAGAGCGAGGTTCCGTATCAATACCTACAGCTCCAGACATTCGCTGCTTCCATTCGTTAAGGTGGTTTTCGTCGTGACGGTTGGCGAGTTCAGCAGCGTAAAGAGCGATGGAAGAAGCTCCTTCAAAGGCGCACGAGTCGGAACTGCCTCTACTGGCGCGTCTGATGAGATTAAACAGCTGGATGCTAGTAAACTCATCCACAATAATGTGGTGTATTGTTGAGTGAAGGACTACTGTCCTGCCATCCGCTATGAGATGGAATACTGCCAGAGGACCATTTCTTAGGTCAATCGTTGCACAGTTATGTGGTATAAACCTTGCTCGTAAGTCATCCATGTCGATCTGCGAAATCCGAGAAATTTGTACCGCAACGAGAATCTCATCACGAACGGCCTGGTACAGCTTCCCTGCAGAGAGATCAAACTCGAATGTCGTCCTGAACATCTCAAGGCGGTTTACAACATCCAGGAGTCCAGATAACAGGGAGTCTGCAGTGACATCTTCGAATCGCCATACCCGCTGAACATTGTAGGTCGTATCTTGTAAGCGCTCCTGAGCTACCCACATAGCCAATTGACTCGGAAGGGCTAAAAATCTGCCAGTACGCTTATTGAACGTTGTCATAGACTTTTCATTCAAGGCCCGGGTCGGCGATACGTTTTCCTCGTCTGTGGTCATACTGACAACTTCGTGGTCAGATGAGACGGCCAACGGTGAATCTACGCCAACTAGATTGGCAATTCCGGCTGCCGTGGCGGTGCTGCGTAGCTGACGATATGTTAAATCAGGAAGATGAAACTTGGTGCATAGTAAATGCTTAAGTCGCATGAAACCGAGTGAATCCAATCCCAAATTTGCCAATGGCGCATTTACATCGAGCACCTTTGTCCCAAGCACATTTTCAATGATGGCACTAACCGCGGATATCGTTGCTGAATCATTTTGAGACACATTGCTTGAGTTATGGCCGCCAGGCTTCGATGCAATAATGTTGTTCAGAAGAGTTGACAGTCCTTTTCGATCAACTTTGCGGCTTGCTAGGAGAGGAATCTCTTTCACTTGGTGGATTACCGGGCGCAACCGCTCGGGAAGTCTCTCTCGACACAAGGCCATGAGCCGGCTCATATTGAGATTGGTGTCCCGGCCAACGACCAGCGCGTCTATAGACCTTCCATGGCCTGTGACAACAGCAGAACATACAACATCCGGGTCTGCGTGCAGAACTTCCTCAATTTCTTCAGGCGCTATTCTCATGCCCGAAACCTTCATTTGATGGTCTATGCGGCCAAGGATGCGTATATGTGGCTTCCCGTCTTCTCCCATGTGAGAATAATACGCGCGATCTCCTGTTTTGTAGAACTTAAAGTCACCAAACCCATGGATCGTCGTAAGAGCCGCCTGGGTGGCGAGGCCATTGCCTTCATACCCGGCGAAAAGCTGTTTCCCAGCAATCACAATCTCACCAGGCTCATTCATGTGGCAGATTTCGCGGCGTTCGTTGACAACCACCACCAAATTCCCTGGGAGGGCTGTATAAGAAATTTCGTCGATAGGGTAACGACTCGGGAGGAAAGTAAGGACTTGAATTGCCGCTTCTGTTGGACCGTATGCAGCAACAATCTCAACTTGCTTCGCCCAGGTGTTGAGGAGATCTGGAACCATCATTTCTCCTCCAACAATGATAGTCTTGAGGCTTGGTACTTGATCCGGCGATATAGTTCGGAGGACTGTTGGGGTGAGATGAATCCAATTAATCTGGAGACGGTCCATGTGCCCAACAAGGTCGGATTTCAGTTCATCGTCGTGGAGGAGAAAGAGGCAAGAACCCGAAGAGAGAGAGCCCCAGATATCTATCGCGCTCGCATCAAAGACATAGTTTGCAAATAGCAAGATGCGAGACGATGGTTCAAAGTTATACAGCCGCTGAACCGCTTGAACTGCGCTAGCAACAGCACCGTGTGTGAGTGTACACGCCTTTGGGCTACTGGTGCTTCCAGATGTGAACATTACGTAACATGCCATATCGGGATGTAATGTAGGCAGCAAAGATACCGCATCTCTACAAGTGCGAGTCTCAGCGTTAGCCAGCAGAGTTTGGATGTTGTCAATCACGAGAATTTGTGGATGACCCCAGGTGGCTAGGCTCGCCAATTTTGGGAATCCGTTCTCATTTGTGATGATCAAGCCTGCGCCGAGCCTCTTGATCGCAAAAGATATCCTGTGGCTTGGTGCGTCGAACTCAAGCGGGCAGTAGGCACGCCCACTCTTCAAGACCGCAAGCATGGCAATGACCATCCATGGGGTCTTCTCAAGAACAATCGGGACAACTTTGGAATTGCTTTTGTCTTGAGCCGAGAGGTAGATAGCCAGCTTGTCAGTAAGAACATCCAACTCGGCAAAAGTCAACCACGACGAGTTAGTTGCTAATGCTTTGCGTTGCCCGTGTTTAGCGACACACTGGCGAAAAAGTGACACCAGAGTCTCTTGTGGTGTAGACTGCTGGCTCAAATCCGCTGCTTGTTGCAAGGCCGCTTGTTTCTCTGAATGATGATAATCGCAGCTTATACTAGACAGGCTGCATTCATCGAGAGTTGGCTGTGAAACAATGTTGCTCAATATGGTGGAGAATCGATCAAGAACCCGTCTAACGGAGCCAGAGTGATGCCGCGCCTCATCAAACTTGGCAATAATCTTGACTTCAGCCTGTCCAGGCTCGACAACAACAACGAATGGAAGACTTGATACTTCTCGTCCATCTACTGAATTAAGCCGAATGTTGCTGCCAAAATGGAGTTGTGGCTCGCTAGCATCCGGATGATTCTCAAACACCAGAAGCCCATCGATGTCGCATCCGGGCTTCTCAAAACAGCGCAAAATGTCCGGTGTAGAAACACAGTCGTGCTCTGACATTTTGGTAAACATCTTATACGTATTTTGGAGGCATTTGTGAAGGCTAGTAGTCGAAGAAAGAGCCACAACGCATGGAATTGTGTTCAAGAAATTTCCAATCGCATTGATGTCGTCTACCATATGTGCCCTTCCGCTGGTAACGGTCCAAAATCCGACACGGGTAGGCGACTTGTGGTCAATCCAAGAGCTTTCAAGAGCAAGCGCAAAAGCCAATTGTACGATAGTAAAAGGGGTCACACCAAAAGCTTCAGCGCGTGCTTGAAAATCGCTGCTCAAAAGAGCAGTTTGAAGAGTTGCTTCTATTCGTTTGTGTGATGGCCTTTCGATAACATGTTCTCGCGGTAGAAGTTGCGGCAACTGAACCCCTGCAAGGTATTGTCTCCATAGGCCCTCTAACGCGCCCCTATCACGCGTCAGTTGCTGTGTGAAGTATTCAGCATTGGATTTGCTGGTTTTCAGCGGCAAAGTTCCCGAATAGGCCTTGCCAAGTTGCTTCAACAGGGTAGTTGTGCTCCAACCATCGAAAACGGCGTGATGGCATGTAAAGATGAGCGTATACTCGGAGGGGCCTCTCTCAACTAGGGTCATTTTGTGAACGTTGGTAGTGGCTCCGATTCCCACCTCTCTATCATGATCCAATAGGTCCTCAAGCATTTCCGGCGACGGGAGGAGAAGCCGATGGCTTTCGAATAAAGGAGTGCATGCGTTTTGCTTAAACTCCACCGCCAAATATGCCACTCCTGGTACATGGCCACGTTCCAAGGGCACAAAAATGGTGCGGAGTGAAGGATTGGCATTGCATACCGCACTCCACGCTTTTTTCAATTTGCTCTCTTGTAGTGATCCTTCGAGGTGGAGGATAGGTTGACTATGATAAACGCCTGAATTGGAGTCTAATAAAGACTGCTGAACCATGGACGACTGCATGGCAGTGGGCGGATATACAACGTCCACCTCGCTCTCGTTGATACCTGCTGCTGCAATTTGTTGTGCGAGCTCTGAAGTATCCATAAAGGATTCGACATGCCGAAACATGCCAGTAAATTCCTCATCGTCAACACCAGTAGTGGGGGTAGATTGTCCGGATATACTGAGAGCAGTGAAATCTGTAGCTCCAGGCAATTTCACAAATGAGTATCCTGAACTTGCTGGAGTAGAGGGCATCGAAGAGGGCGGTGTGAGACCGGAAGCTTCATCCGTCGGTTCGTCATCCGATGATGGCATATTTGACAGCAGAGAAGAGTTATCATAAGCAAGGACATCGTGAAGTTGTGAGAGGCTGGGATTGGATCGCATCTTCGCCACAGTACAGCCTCGAATGCCTAATTTCCGCGCTCGGGCGCAGAAACGAATAGCTGATACGCTGTCACCGCCCGTCTTGAAGAATGACCTATGAATGTCAACTTGTGTCTCATCGATGGGTAAAATCTCCGTCCAGGCGATGATGAGAGATTGCATTAATTCATCGTTCAGTCTCTCTCTGTAAGATGAACCAGGTCCGCTGGCTGAGCATTGCAGGCTTTGGGAGCTCTTAATGACTTCCCCGTCATCTCTAGCTTCTTGAAGATGAGAAATTTGGGTTATGAGGCTGCTATATGCTTCGATGTTTGTGTCCTGGCCATGAGCGGATGCCATTTCCTCATTTAATCGACGCCTATCAATCTTTCCCGTACGAGACACGGGCAATTCCTTGACTGGGATCCAGTATTTGGGGATCATGGCAGCCGGGAGCGCTTCAGACACCCGATCACGCAGCGCGGCCAATTCTTCGCATCGAGTATTGTTGAGAAACAGGATATTAGAGGTTATTGTAGCGTGGCGCTCCGATGGGATTGTAATCGAATCATTTGTGTCAGAAAACTCGATGAAACATGTTAGAGCTCTATTGCCAGGCTGAGTCTCAGAGATGACCACTGCACATCTCCGTCGAGCACCCACGAACACATCGATGGTCTTTTCAACATCGCCGATATTGAATCGAACTCCTGATATCTTAACCTGGTCATCAGTACGACCGATTAGGGTGAATATCCCTTGGAGGTCGTATCGTACAATGTCGCCAGTGTCATAGAGTCTGCCCAAAGTTGGATGGTTCACCAGACGCTTATTAGCAGAGGGCGGCGAGATATAACCAGACGTTAGCTGATCATATTTACCGTCTTCCGCTGCCCCAACAAATAAACGTCCTGGAATTCCAGGGAGAACAGGGTTGTATTGCGCATCCAAAACAAAGGCCCGCACGGATGGGGACGGCCTGCCGATATTGCAAGAATTGGTCGTCGGTTTCGTCGTAACGATGAAGTCGTGGGTGGCAATCGTTGTTTCAGCCGGTCCATACGAGATTCGGATGTCCACAGTCCCCCACCATCGTTCGTACAGAACACTTGGGATCGGTTCTCCTCCAAGGATTATAGACTGCAACGAGGGTACCTCTGATGGTAAATCAATAGCAGTAATCATCGTGGGCGTAGCGATAGCGTGAGTTACGGCCATATTCCTCAAAGTAACTGCGAGTGAAGTAATAAATTGATCGTGAGGAGCCACAACCAGTGTCGAACCTGCAACAAAGGTACAGAATATCTCCATTAAAGAAACATCGAACGCAAGGCTGGTGAGCATGGCCACCCTATGTCCGGTTGAGATGTTGAGAGCCTCAATCTGGCTACATATAGAGGATACCAGGGCACGATGTGATATGCGAAAGCATTTTGGTTCAGCTGTAGAGCCAGAAGTAAAAGCAATGTATGCATCAGCTGACAGCTCTGCTGTGGATGTCTTTGCTTCGTGGACATGGCGATGAGGCTGGTCAACCTGAGGAGGCGCTGATATGGCGATGCGCCTAATTGATGACGCGTCGAGTTTTCGATAATAAACCTCGTCTTCGTAAACAGCACCATTTACATGTCGACGAGTAAGTATCAGTGTAGGGGTAAGAATAGCTAGCTTCGAGTTATTCACGGCCAGTGTGCTTGTAATATCGAGGGGTACAAAGCAAGCACCGACATGAATAAGAGCGAGTATGGAAACCAAGTATTCGACACTTTTATCCATAAATAAGACAACAATGTCGCCAGTCTTGACTCCTTCTCTGCGCAGCTTATTTGCAACTCCCGATACCCACTCAAGAAGTTGCCGATAAGTCACATTCCGCTCAGCCGTCGCAATTGCAATTGCACTTTGGTTTACTGACGCAGTCATGTAAATATGGTCTAAGATGTTGAGATTCTCGCCTCGTCTCCTGAGCTTTTGTAGCACTAGCCCAGCTTGTCTTGTTGAAGCTTCCACTGCAAACTGAAGAGCCTGAGACGGCGCTGTTGAGACGATTTCCCCGACTGAGCGCCGCTCATCGCAGCACGACAACTCAACCACCAACTCTGTAAAGGCCTGTGCCAAAGCTTCAATAAACTTTACGCCGAATGCCTCTGTTTGGTATTCAAAGCCGACCTTGATAGAGGGCCCTGAATTGTCCAAATGCAGGATAAGACGATAGTGGCTCCCACCGGTTGCATCGGCAAGTTTCTTGTAGTCAAGACCTGAATTTCCCAAGTCAAGAGAGGAATCCAACGGGTCGTGATAAACGAACAGTGCGTCTATGTTGGCTGTATTTTCTGTCTGATTCTCCTCGGCAAACCAACTCAAGATATCTTCAACTCGCTGGTCATGGGCGACGCATTGGCGGTACTTTTCCAGCGTGGCTGCCTCGAATGTCAAACTCTCTTGGTCCAAATCGAGAGAGACGGGGAGAACCGCAAGTGTCATACAATAGCCCATAACACTAACAAAGCGAGGATCAACGGACCGAGTTGATGTTGGGACACCGAGCAAGTATTCCGTTTTTCCTGTGACCCGAGATAGAAATAGCTGCGCAAGTGACAGCCAGGCACCAAAAGTATTGGCGGTGTTCCCCCTTCGCGCTGCCAGTCTAGTTGCTTCCATTTTAGGTAGTGTTTTCCAATAAATATCTGCTGCGACATCGTATCCGGATAAACGTTCGCTGTGGTTTCCAATGGCATCTTGAAACAGCGGCTGTGGCCTGTAGCCTCGAAACGCGTCACGCCACCACTCGCCGTCGGAAGTCCCACGCGACTCGAGTATGGCTCGGTAAAAAGTGGCGTATTGGCTATAGTCCAATCGTTTGGTCGGAGTTACCATGGCTGTCGGTTCTTTTGCTTGGTACAGATCTATAAGTTCAGACCAGAAAGTATTGCTCGAATACTCATCAATCACCATATGGTGAAATGTAAGTATTACAAGCCATTGATTGGCATCTCTATCAGTCTGATAAAGAGCAGCGCTTGCAATGGGTCCTTCTTCAATGTCCAAGTCTGTTTCTTGGCTCATTTCCCAGTCATATACAGCCTCCAGCAAAGAAACGCCAGTCGATGTGGCGGAAGAATGAGCACGGCGCGACTGCTCGAAGGGAAAGAATGACACACGAGGTTTGTTGCAAGTATCTTGCTTCACTCGAGCAATGATATTTCCTTCTTTGAACCCTGTTTCGTCTTCAACAAAAGACGTGTTGAATATCGCATGTTGAGCATATTTTTCCGCAAGGCAATCCAAAAATCGGCTCGGGTCTAAGCCTCCCACAATCTCATGGGCAACTTTGCAGGTGTACACCTTGTTCCCGAACACCTTTGTCGCTCGGAATAAACTATGCTGTCCCGGTGAAGCAACATACACATTTGTTGGCATAGGCTCACTGGCGTGAGAGGTGCAGACCCCAGAAACTGATTCCATCTGGTTTGCAATTGACTCAATCGTGGGGTGGCTCAGCAACTCGGTGATAGAGACTCGGTGGCCAGTCTTTTCATGCAACTCCTTGATAACCCAGACAGCGTCCATAGAATTAAATCCCCATTCTAGGAGGTCGTCTTTTGAGGGAACAAGCTGTTGCAGTCGCTTCCGGATGATACTGGCGACTTGGTGGCCATACTCTGACAGTTGCTCCGACTTGTCAAGCCTCATTTCATCCAAAGTATGACGAGAGCTCAAGAAGGTCCGAATTTGGCTAACGTCGACCTTACCGTTGACATTTCGGGGGAGCGACTTGACAGTTATGACTTGTGGGACCATATAAGCAGGTAAGTTGGCTCTGCAAGAAGCGAAGATCTCCTTTCTGAGGCTGCCATGTCCATCTGCTATCACAATCTTGTTTCCTGGCTGGCCAAATGCAGGATCGGTGGATACTACTGCATAGAGACCAGCACGCTGGTTAATAGTATGAGCAAGTACCACACAACGTCCGCAGCCGGGGATTCCCTGGATGACCTGATGAATGTCTCCAAGTTCGATACGCTTGATTGATGAATTATTCGTTAGCATTATGCTTCTCCCATGAGAGGCCAAAGAGAGGGTTATAAGAAGGCGACAGAAGCCAGTGATAGATGTACCTATAGCGAGATAGGTTCCGTGATGACTTTTCTTACCTGTCCACTAATTTTAATTTGATCATCGGCTCTTCCACGCAGGTGCAGCTCTCCAATATCATCGATAAGCCCAAAATCCCCAGTTGCATACCATCCACTTGATGGTGTCGCGCCCGTAGTAGACTGTACTGTGCGCATAAATTTCTCCTGCACTTCGCCATTGAAGTATCCTTGGGAGACAGTCTCGCCATATGCCAGGACTTCACCAACATGGCCTGAGGGAAGAGATTGTCCTCTCTCGTTGACCACGGCAATATTTGCATATGACGGAGGTTTTCCAACACAACTAGGCGATGTTCCAGGCCGTAGCCTTTTTACGCTCGTCGTAGGAGCTTCACAAGGGCCTTTTGAGAAAACACTGTATTAGCTCAAGAGTCAAATACATCTAAATTGGTGGAGTTAAGCTAAGAAAATACCGTATATATTTAAGAGTACTGTTCGGTTACCCCAGGTGTTGACAATCTCTTCCGTACATGCCTCTCCACAAGTAACCATGTATCTGAGGGATGGAATGTTGTGTGGCTGCAATGTCGAGATAACACTCGGGGTTAATTGAATAGTGTCTGAGTTGAAGCTCATAATTTGTCCTTCAAGATCTGTTAAAATAGCGCTCTGAGACGCTTGGTGAAGTTCCGCTCCTGAGAGGAGAGCCGACAGAATGTCAAGCAGATGAACGTCAAAAGAGCAAGATGAGAATTGAAATACAGATCTTGAACTATCCAAACCCAACTCTCTCGCCAAGAATTTAGCTTGTGGAATCAAATTCTTGTGTGTCAGCTTGACGGCCTTGGGCTGCCCTGTGCTGCCCGAAGTAAAGAGAACCGTGGCAAGGTCGTCTGATGTAATTCGCAGCCGATTCTTTGTGTCCCGGTGGCTGCTGGGGAACTTCAGCCTGGATTCGTGTCCATATTTGCCGCTGAGCGTCAATGGCAGTACTTTGTGCGGCAATTGATGTTCAGTTTCCGCAAGGCAAATGGAAATTTCAATAGGCACCGAGGATATCAAGCTCCCAACCCGGGCTGTGGGTAGCTCTGGATTGATTGGAACATAAACAGCACCCAGTTTGAGGATGGCCAGGATGGCAATTACTTGGGCCGGTGATCGCGGAAGAAGGACGGCGACGAGTTGTCCATGCGAAATATGATATTTGAGATCGTCAGCAAGGAGGCTAACATATTGACTTACCTGTCTATAAGTCAGTCTATCCACATTTTCGAAGTTAATGGCAAGGCTGTTGCCATATTGCGATGCAACGACAGTGAAAAGACTGTTGATGCAGAGGTCGGACGTCAAAGCCGCATTTTTGTCTGTTATTGTTGAATACATTCTGGTTGAATCGTTTTCTCAAACCACAGATATGTGCGCTTTTGTCAACTTTTGGTGCAGGTCAAAGATCGGCGAGGGAAATTTCGCAATGCTTTGGTCGTGGCTACACAAGTTGTCATCTAAAGAGATGGCACAGGGATTATTTTACATTTAAAAGTGATCAATGTTCTAATGACCTGATCCTGAAGGATCTGTATAGGCATTCTTCATGGGAAAGTTACTAATATTGGACACCGGAGCTGTCTACGCTTCGATCCACCCGAAAGACACCTCCTCCGGAGCCCCGGGAACGTTTCTGAGTTCGGTCCGCGCCTTTTCTTATTTGAATGGAGCAATAGAAAGTGAACGGATTTACCATGCTGGATGCCGGGCTCCATAATAGCTTTGGTTAGTAGTTGGGCCTGTTTGAAAACTAGGAAATGCCCATCATATCTGATAAAGCACCGGACACATATATGGGCTGCTCCGGAGCTTATAGTCGTCCGCATTAGTACAAGCATTGTTTGGTACCGGCTAACCAACTACTACTCCTTTGGCTCCGCGTTCAGGGCTCCGGAGTCCGGCTTGGAAGAGTCGTGCCCACGCCACCTTTAAGTTGGTGCATTAATCTACTCTTTTCTTCCGATGGCATCCCTGTTTATACTCTCCATAAACAATACTACATAAGATTCGACTCCATAAAAGAAGCCCTAGATTCGATCCGGATCTATTCCCAAGTATCACAGGTGTGGCAGCTCACCCACTGACGGACACTGTGGATGGCCCAACGCTGCTTACACCGCATACAGCATGCAGCGTAGGGTGCAAGGATAAAGAACTCTGTCAGCTCCAAAGCAAGGCTTCCTAGTGTAGCTATATAAAAGTGGTTGCCGGTGATCCTTCCAAATCTTCATCTCCTTGAGTGGTGGGATTCTGTATCATGTTGCGAAAGGAGTCCGTAGCCCGAGGTTAGGATGACAATGTGCATTTAGAGAAAATGTGCTTACTATTCTGTAGTGTTAGAAAACTACGGGCAACATCATATCCTTCTTCTGAAAGGGTTTCTTTGTTCTTTCTTGTAATTGAAATTGAAAGAAAATCAATTGATGGATAAACAAATAACAAAATCTAACCATAGAAGGTTTTCTACATTCTAGATACTTCACAAGTTCACATGTATAAAACAAAAGCTACATGCAGGGTAAGCTGTCCTTAGGCGTTCTGCTGCGAGCGACCCAGGATAAGCATACTCGTAGTCGGCGTGTGTTTAGTGTGGCGTCTCCCTATTCAGGGGTGATCCTGGTAGGTCCTTTTGTAGTAAACTCGCCCCAATTTTACGGATTCCGATGCGGCCCACTCCGAGGACAACCTTGAAGCTTTGTTGATGTGTTGGTTCGTCGGTTCGTGTTGGTTGGTTCAAGATAGATTTGAGTGCCAGTGCTGTAACACAAAGTACTCCCAGGGTGTCTTTCCTCTGGATCCTGTTTTTAGCCGTAGGATTCATTCTCCCCTCAAACAAAGTAATATTCAAGATCGAGCCTTTTAACCAGTTTCATGAAACATCAGCTGGTTAGCGCCTTTTGCCTTCTCTCGTGCCGTCCACATCGTTGACGCTCTGTAAACACCAGATTTTGGCACAAGTTTCTCATCATGGCGACTCAAGGCCGAGCGCCTAAGAGAGACGACTTGGATGTCCAAGGTCCTGCACCTGGCGAGAGTGTCGCTACGGATCCGCTGCTTTACAGCATCTCCCCTGTCCAGCTGTGGATCGGTCGATTGGTATCGCGAGTGTGCAAGGCAAAAACCCTGGAGGATGGATGGCTTCCCGTCTTCTCTTGCGCTTCGGCTCATCTACGCGGTGTAGCTGCGCCGCTATATGCGAAGCGCCCAGGCGCAGCATTGAGCTTCTTGATGCAAAAAGAGACAGGTGGCATGCTCTTCTGCGGAGCAATTTTGGAGGTTTGTCTTGTCTTGTCTTGTACACACCTGATTTTGGTAACCCCAAACCCCGCTTGAGGAATTCCAGTCACTAATGTCATCACATCCAGGCATTATCTGCAGCGGCTACCATAGGCTCGCCTCTGCTGCTTCACAAGCTCTTAGAGAAGCCTCATGATGCGCCGCTCGCCTGGGGTCTAGTACTTGTGACCTTGGCTGCCACGGTATTTGGCCGTGCAAAAGATCAATTGTGCAGGGTTCATTACGCGTGGATGGAACTGATGCTCCGTGCGGCTATATTCGAAAAGAGCATCAAGTTATGCCCAGAAGCCCGCGTTGAGTATCCTCCTGAGCGCATCATTAATATGAGCTCCGTTGATGCAGACAACTTGGCAAATTATATGCTAAAGGTTCATGACGTATGGAGTGCGCCCTTGCAAATCGTTGGTATTGGGGCCCTCACTGTGACCATCATGGGACCAACTGCACTTTTTGGTAAGTCATGATTCATTCCTCGCTCATTGACGAGCTTCCTGTTGTGCGTACTTGACTAAATCCTGTTTAACTTAGGATTTGCACTTGTGCTGGTCGTATTTATATCTCAGTCTTGGGCAAACAAAGGGATGAGAAATTCTCAAAGGGCTTATATTATGACCAATGACGGACGTCTTGGTGCGTTGCGAGAACTTCTCTATGGCATCGGCAGCGTCAAGGCCCTTGGTTATGAAATGGTATTCAGGAAGCGAATTAGCCAGTTCCGGGCCAAACAGGCTGGAGCGCTGCGGAACGTAAGTTCAAGATTCTCTCTTCGCTTTGGTGACCGTTATTAAAGGCCGGACTTTACTGACTCGTCCGACTCTTAGTATCTCGTTCTTTGCTTCGGGTACTTCACAGCTGTTAACCAAGCTGTGAGTGGCTTTGCTGCTGGCGTGGCGTTTCTAGCCTACTACCTCATGGGCCACGAGCTGACGGCAGCAGTCGTGTTCCCTGCATTGACGTACTTTGGAATGTTGTATCAACCGATATCCAACGCCTCTTTAGCTTTTACAAGACAGTTCGCTACTTGGCCAAGCTTTAACAGGGTACAAGTATTCCTCAAGGCAGACGAATCGGAGTTGACTGAGGACACAAATAGTGAACAGGAAGCACTGGTTAGCTTTAAAGAGGCATCCTTCTCGCACCCAGTTTCTGATCCCAACTCCTCATCAACCAGCGCTGGTCTCGAAGTAGGAAACCTCAATCTTCCTTCCCGCAAACTGACCATCGTCGTGGGGCCTACTGGATCTGGAAAGTCAACGTTTTTGCGGGCTATTCTTGGGGATGTCACCACGACGTCGGGATCATGCAGCGTTCACGGATCTGTGTCGTATTCTTCCCAAGATGCCTGGGTTTTCTCCGGTACTCTGCGGGAAAACATCGTGTTTTCGGCTCCCTTTGATGCTGCGCGCTACCACGCCGTCATGAGTGCCTGCGGTTTGTATCAGGATTTCCCAAGAGACAATACATCTATTGGCGAGTCAGGAAACAACCTCAGCGGTGGTCAACGTGCGCGAATCGCATTAGCAAGGGCCCTCTATTCAGAATCTGACATTTTGCTGCTTGATGATCCTTTTGCCGCTGTCGATGCCAAAACACGGGCATTGCTATTCAACACTATCCGGGCCCTCGAAAAAACTGTGGTCCTGGTGACCTTACATCATTCCTTGATTCCCAGATGCGACAATGTTGTTGTTATTGAAGGTAGTAAGATCGCCTGGGCTGGCACGAGTACCGAATTTGCAGCTACTACCGAGCTCTGTGAGAAATATCTCCGGTCCGCTGATACAGCCGATAGCGCGTCCGATTTCAGTGACCAAAGCGAGGAGAGTGTTGACACTGATGATAAGGCGCCGCCTGAGGTAGTAGTAACGAGCGTCGGCGAATCATCTGCTACAGACGAGGACGTGTTTGACGAAGAAGATCGGGCCCAGGGTACAGTGAGTTTCGCTGCACTCAAATTCTATGCTGCCTGTGCTGGTGGTCTTCTCGACATTATAGCAATTGGCGCATTGGTCTGCCTCTTGACGGGTGCTAAGACAATGTCGTCGTATTGGTTCGTCTGGTGGATCGACGATGCATTCCATCTACAAGGAAGCCAATATCTCGGTGCTTTTATAGGGTTGACTGTCTCTCCTGGTTTCATTGCGGGTAAGTAACTGTACTACTAGTACTACCAGGTTTTCAGGTCCCTCAACTTAAGCTAACGAGCCTTCAGCTCTTCTTGGTATCGTATTGGTCTTTTCGAGTCTTCGTGCGAGCGACACCATCCACAGCACCATTGTAGACAACGTCCTCAGCGCTCCGATTGCCTATTTTTCTCGTCAACCTGTTGGCAGAATCTTGAATAGGTTTACGCATGACGTTATGTCGATGGACGTGTTCATCATGAACTCTGTTGATGGTATCATTGCCGCCGGAAGTGCATTAATTGCAGCCATTGCCCTTGTGGCAGCTGCTGCCCCGATCACTCTGGCTGCCGCCATTCCGTCTGTGTTGATCGCAGGCTGGTATCAGCTACAATTTGCTGTGTATGTCTATTGCCTTACCTATTCTCTCCATGAATTCGCGTTTTTACTTTCCTCCTTGCTAACAGATATATAATAGTGCTGCGAGAGAGGTGCAACGATCGGCTTCCATCTTACATTCACCAGTGCTTAGTATCGTCAGTGAAGCCCTTCGAGGTATGAGCTCCGTCCGGGCTTTTGGAGCACGCGACTTCATGAGCAAAAAACATGACAAAGCGCTTGATACTTACATGTCGGCTGTGATTTGTCGAAAATCTCTTGACACGTGGGTAACCTTTCGCGCCGAGTTGTCGACAATACTTCTTCTCTTGGTTACGGCTATGCTTGTCGTTTACACCGACCAAGACAGTAACGTGGGCCTCTCTGGTACGCAGGCAGGCTTGGCTCTCAGTAATGCTACAGCCATTTCTCAAAGCATTTATCTCTTCACCTGGTCCATTACTGAACTGCAGATTGAAATGAACTCCATCGAACGGCTGAAGACGTATCATGAAGCTATTCCGCGCGAGTCAAACCACTCCAATGATGCAGCCCCCAAGCCTCCAGTCGACTTCAACTCGATTGAGTACAAAAACGTCTCTGTTATTTACAAAAGACGACAAAGTCCTGCTCTAGATAGCGTCAACCTGGTGCTGTCTCGAGGCGAAAGGGTGGGCATCATTGGCCGAACAGGCAGTGGAAAGTCGACGCTGATATCTACATTGGCACGGCTTGTCGACGTAACCAGCGGTAGTATTTTGATAGGCGGTGCCAACATCTCGGAAATGGACCCCCAAAAGCTGAGAACGGATCTTGTGTGTACCCTATCACAGCAACCTCTATTATTCAAGGGCACTTTTCGCGAGAACTTGGACCCCGCTGGCCGCTACAGTGACGAGAAACTTCTCGAGACACTGAAGATATGCCAGCTGAGTCCATCATTGATCGGCTCAACAGAAGATTTATCAAAGGAGCTCACCTCTGAGGCATCAGATATTTCAGCTGGACAGCGCCAACTTCTTTGCGCAGCTCGTGTGCTTTTAATGGAGCCTCGGATCTTGCTGGTTGATGAAGGTGAGTAATTACGTCAAAATCTCCTGCCCCCTCTATTACCGTCCATTCTCCATCCGTGAGCAGAGATGAATAGACCCTAGACATGCGACGCTGACATAAAATTTCTTGGAATAGCTTCGGCAAACGTTGATTTCACGGCTGAGGCAGCCCTTCAGGACGCGCTGGAAGCGTTGCCTGCCGAGACAACTGTGGTATCCGTTGCTCATCGTGCTGCCACACTTGCATGGATGGACCGCATCATCACAGTGGATGCTGGACGGGTTGTTGAAAGTGGCACACCGGAAGACCTGCTACGCCAGCAAGATAGCCACTTTTACCAAGCGATTGCTCGAGAGGGAGAGGGAGCAATACGTTCTGCATTAGCTGTGGCGCAGAAACATAACAGGCCCTGACCTATTCTTTCACAGTCAGAGGTAATTGTTCCAACATCAGCCTGGTGGCAAATTTTTAAACAAAACCATGGCTACACTGGGATTGTCAAATTAGCCGCCAGACCCAATCTCATAAAGGTCTTTGGCCAAGAAGATTTTCTGTCAAACGCCAGAATAAACCACCACATATGACTCCTACTAGTAGTCATACAGGAGGGATAGAAACTACTTGAGATTTATAGGCGACGTAAGGGAAACACTGTCTTTATTAGGTAGGCAATGCAAATTCTCCATCTTGGCTCATACAAGATGTTAGAGTAACGAGTCACTAAGGTGAGCGCAATTGAATGAAGGCGTATGGCTGCATCTTGTTGGTATATATATAAAAAAAAATAAGAAGAGCTATTGATCCCTATCCTGGCAGTATTCCAGCCGTGATTTGTGGAGTATGAGTGGAGGGGGAAATACGAAGAAAGTTAATGGTTGTCTATTTCTAACACACTAATATATGTATGCACTCTATTCTCTGGCGCGCATCATCTTTGACTGCCCTAATACTGAATTATCGTACTAATCTAATTGCGCGTGACTCGAAAACGAAGGGACAAGTGACTCTATTTTCTATACCACTAGCTATCCACCTAGTCTCTATGTGTGATTTCCCGAATGATACAGTTCCGCGAACCTCGAATTTCGAGATAATAAGGCTGTTGGAGTATCGAATTCAACCAAGACACCGGCATCCAACACGGCCACTCGATCATAGCGGTGAATGTATCGTAGCCGATGTAAAACTGACAACACTGTATGAGTTGCAAACTCCGACTCTATGATATCTTGTATTGTTTCTTCGGTAGCGTTATCAACACTGTAAATCCGTATAGAGCAGTTAGAAATTGTTTCTCAATAATGGGTTCAATGGAGTAGGCTGCCGCCCGATGCCTGGAAAGAGCACGCTGCCTTCGCGTATGTGGTGAAGAAGACCTTACCTGCTAGTAGCTTCATCAAGTATAAGTACTTTTCCCCTCCGCACCATGGCACGCGCCAAGCATAGAAGCTGCCTCTGGCCAGCAGACCAGGAAGTAGTCTTCAATGGCATATCGAGGCCGCCTTCGCTTTTCATCGAGTCCCAAAGCCCCAGTCTTTGCAATGCTGCAATCATGGACTCATCTGATGCGTTTTGGAGCGGGTCGATGTTGAAACGGACGTCTCGGGGCATAATGAACGGTTCCTGCGTGACAACGTTCAGTCTCTGCCGGATCTCGGAGCGGCTATGCATTGACAAGTTGACCCCGTCAATCTCGATGCTCCCTTGCTGAGTCTCGACCATTCGTAGAAGAGAAAGAGCTAATGTTGTTTTCCCACTACCTGATGGACCACATATAGCAATTTTTTCTCCGGGGTTGATGGACATTGTGAGATTTTTCAGGACGGGGGCCGAAGTCATTCTGTGCGACATAGATTAGCATGCTGGCCAATAAACCATTGGGTCTGCCGCCTCCTAGACCATCCCATCTGAATAAGATATACTGAATGAACTTACGAGTGGCCCGCTTCAAGGTGGGAAAGTTTAATCGATCCAGTGGAAGGCCATTCGGCAGGCAATTGTTGCATGTCTGCAGCAATCTCTTCTGGCCTCGTGGTGGCCACATAGCTCTTGATCCGCGAAATTGCACCTATTGAAGTCTCCATAAGAGTCCAAAACCGGATAAGAAGCATCAAGTTGCTGTTAAACGTCATGACCATAACCAACGCAACACCGACAGACCCCGGATCGAATGAATCGCGCATAAAAACAACCATAGCCATTAGGGAAATAGTCACAACTGCAACCATCATGTCTAGGAAGAATTGGAGGCATTGCTGTATGCAGTTAAGCAGATAGACGGGTCTCTGAGAGAAGTTGAGCAGTGATACGCATGCATCGTCGAAAGCGGCCTGCCAGCCGAAGGCTCGAACTGTCACCGCCCCGCTCACTAGTTCTAAGAAGTGAGTATATAGAGGCGCTTTTGCTTCGATATCGAGAAGACGCAATTGTCGTGAAGTCCTAAGATAGAACTTTTGCGTTATGTAGACAAGGCCGGCGACAAAAGGAATGGTAATTGCCAAATATTTGGCATATACAGCCAAGATGACGATCTGAGCTGTACAGGTACCAGTTGCTATCCCACCGCACAGTTAGACCTGACATTAGATATACTACCGAAAAAGAAGACGTACCAGCAATGAAATTTAATGCCTGCATGGGCAGATCCATATCAACCAGGTCCATATCACGGCTAAACCTGAATTATCCAAAGATCCAACGTCAGAAATTTGCAAAGACCAATAAAATGGAAGCAGCTCAGGCTCTATGGATAGGGTAACTATTAACGGAGAAAAATGGGATTGTTAAACTGCCTTACCTATTGGTAATATTGCCAATGTCAACGAGTTGGAAAAACTGAAAAGGTGCTCTATGTCTTATGTTAGCTGGCCATGCTAGATATAAGCTGCAAGAAGCATATTGTTGTGAGTGTATGCAGAGGACAGCCTACTTCAATGTCGCATTTAAAACGTCCTCATGTAGCCGTAGTGAGGATTTTGATACCATGTTAATAAACATGAGCCTATGTTGGTAATCAGTCAGGTTGATGCATGCGATGTGAAAATTGAGTAAGAGAATAACGAACCAGCAAGCACAAGTCATGAATACTACACCAATAACCCCGAGAAATGCGTATATGCCGAGGTACATACCGACTCCAGCCTCGGGATTTCGTTCATTTGCTGCTGTCCACCAATCTACCCATACAGCTACGCGTGAAGTTAGCATGACTCAAATCACAAGTAACAGAAACCGCGTCACTACTAGACGTACTTGGGAACTGGCGACAGAAGGCCCAGAAAGCAACCGTTGCTAAGAAGGCAGCAACCACAGGAAAGCCTGTCGCCCTCAGATAGTACACGTAGTCAGAAAAATCACCCTTTTGACGAGTAGTATCGTCCTCTGATACCTCATTCAGCGTTGATTCAGCCGAGTCCGGAACACTCTCTTCTTCTTCTTCGACGCCAATAATATGAGAGAAGCCACGGGTCGAGGCTTTCTCGTCCGGCGCCACCATCTCTTCGGTGTTTGCAGAGGATGATTTAACGTTCATGGATTGGATGTAAGAACTGCTAGCTATTAGATCCTTCAGAGCACCTTTCTCGGAAATCCGACCGTCAGCCAAGACGACGATTTGATCTGCGTATGGAAGGAGAAGGCCTAGCAGAAAGAGCGAGTCATTAGAGATTAAACACGTGTACTGCATTTTGTATATAAAGTATTCCTTACTTGAGTGTGTTGTAAAAACAACGGTGGTTCTCATATTTCGAAAGAGTCCGTTTGCTTCAAATAGACGCGAAGTGATCTTCTCCGTGGCTACAGCATCAACCCCACTGAAGACGTCGTCAAGAATAACGACTCTGCATCGTGAGTATAAAGCCCGCGCCAAGCTCTGTTCAGCTTCAATTTAGTGTCCGAATCCAAGAATACATAGTCAGACACCGGTTCTTCACTTACAATCCTTTGTTTCTGCCCACCACTCAACTTTAACCCGTTGCTGCCGACAGGTGTTTTATCACCCTGGGCGAGCCGTGATAGATCCTCTTCAATTCCGCATGCCCAGATCACTGTTTTGTACCAATCTTTGTCAAAATCCATGTTGCCAATAATATTCTCACGGACTGTATGGCTCTGAAGCCATGGTGCCTGCGAACAGTAGCCAATTGTGGCAAAATTCCTCTTTGTGGAACCTTCGGTAGCCAAAGACTCTCCAAGAATACTCTCCAAAAGAGTTGACTTTCCGCTGCCAACAGGACCGACGATGGCAGTAAAAGCTCCTTGTTTGATAGCAAGATTGATATCGCGCAAAACAGGATATTTAGCTTCTTTCCATCCAAAGCTTTGGTTGTCAAACTCCACAAGATTTCCATGTGGGTGTGATCCTATAGATACCTTCTCGAGTTCCACAGAGGGTCCGCCGAAAGACTCGGTGCTATTTGCCTGTGAATCAGAAATATCGGATGCGTATGGGACACTGCAATATTCTTGCATCCTGTCGAAGCATCCCATACACTGTATTACGGCGGGTATTGACTGGATAAGAGTCAAAACAGGTGTCGTTAGCAGAGACACCAATGACAACGATGTAAAAGCCTGGGCAGCGAGTAGAGAATTGTCTTTCCGGATCAACGCGATGACTACATATAGAGTGAAAGTCGCTATTGGAGCAAGATCAGTGGGCGCTTGGGCTAATTACGGTCAGTTATTACACGTTTACGTGACGATGGGGTTCACCATCTTTACTAGATGGGGATGATGGGCAAATGCTTACAGAGCACAATTCTCCAAATTAACAGCTTGCGAAAAGCAGCAGAGGCCACTATTTCGGCGTGACGGAGGCTTTGAATTATAGACGATAACTTTTCGGAAAGCCCCAGCATCTTGACAGCCTTGATATTCTCCAAAACATGCGAGGTTAGGCGCAGCCGGTCTTCCACTTTTTCCACCCATAGTCGCTGCGCGGTGCTAGTAGAGGCAGAGAGGGGAAGAGTGGCCCCGATGAAAACTGTATGATGCAGAAACGCAAGATTAGTTACATCTTCTGGAAATTCTCACAGCTTTCGCAGTATCTACTTACCCAAGATGATAACAACGGGCATGACGCAAGCCACACCGACCTGCCTCTCTAGAAGATAGACTGCTATGGCGATATCGATGCAGCAAGCCCAGACTTCATGGATATACCTGAAAGCAATTGTGATACGCTCTACATCGGTCCCCATTAAAGCGATTGCCGTGATATTACCAAGATCCACGCTCCTGGCGCGGGCGGTTTGGCCGTGGATGAGAGAGATTAGCCCACCACGCAGACGAATTACAAAACGGATCGTTCGATACTCATACAAGGCTGTCGATACCTGAGGGCTGGTCAGTTTTAATCCCGATGACTCCGTATTCCTCCTTGTGATAGCTTACAGCCATGCCAATGTAAGTGAGAGCGGTAGCTCCTATTAGGCCCTTACCAAAGGCCATGGGGGCGTCCGTAGAGCCAACCCAAGTGACAATTGAGTTTATGAGAAAGGGCTGGCAGAAGGTGAAAGCAGTGAGACAGAGGCGTGGCAACATTCCGGATAGGAAAGCGCCAAGGTATGCATTTAAGCACACTCGAAAGAGTGCATATTTCGCAGATTTGTCTCCTAGACATTATATGCGTCAGCGATTATGTTCATCATGCCTTCATGACATAACAAATACGGAGTCTTTCGACATACTGGTTTTGACCCAAGTTTTTGTCAACTCCCTCCCGATAACGCCACTATCGAGTTTTGGATCCAAGTCTGGAAGGTCTTCTACGGAGAGGACTTGAGTATATCCGCGGCGAAAGGTTGTAGCAAGCCATGCAAAGGTGGCTTGTTTCCAGAACCCGCTGAATGGCTCCGGAGTGCCTGGCTTTTTGACTGATCCTATAAGTATATCGTCTTTTTCTATTGACTCTGAGACTAATGCGGCCAGAGTAACAACAAGGCTCAGCGTGAGAACGATGCTTGATTTTGTCGCTTCCGGGATCAGCCATAATGTTCTTACACGAACTATGTCTGCTATGGCGCGGGCCGATAAATACAGAACCAGTATCGTTGAAGGGCGGATTGAACGGCAGTGATTTATGTAGGACAAGACAAGGGCGCTGAATACAGTAAGAATCTGTAGAATATCTGCTGCGAGTGAGGCAGGGGCTCGGTCATGATGAGAACCTGATGCCCTCAGGATGAGGAAGGCGATTTGGCAGGCTAAAAAACATCCGATGGTTACCTGAGCACAAATGAATTGATAAGTCACAGCGAAACGGAACCGTAATTTCAAGAGCAGAGGATGTAAATTTAAGAGTTACTAGATAAACATACGAGCTTGATGAACAATAATGCAGATCTTTTGACACAACGATGCGCCTTCCATAACTGCCATGCAGGCAATGGAAGTAGAAGCAAGAATAATGATGATGGTAAGCAAGCTAGTAAGAGATCTTCAAATTGTATCGTAAAGTCGAAACCGCGACAGGCAGCGTTCACCCGTGGACCGAAAGAGGCGTCGGCGCCTCTTGGACAGGTCGCTGTTATTAGGTCCATATCTCGACTGATGCAGCCGAAGTGTTACAAAGAGTCGACCCCAAATCAATTACATGTCTATCTATCTGATGTTGCAAATGAAGGACGGTCATATAAGGCGTAGAAGAGTGCGGAACAGAGCCTGAATTAAGGCCTTTGACAGCACTTCCGTAGTATTTAAGTTCGGAGTCCGAAATTCTATCTGAACGTATTATCTAATTGCATATTCGCCTACCGGTTTACGCACACGAATTGCGGATACATGAGGTATAGAAGATAAAAGGCGCAGAACAGATTGCGAATGAACGCATCTAAAAATATTATGGTGGCGCCTGATTTCGGAGTCCGAAATTGTACTTTGGCCCACCGGCGCTACCATTCAAGCTGGAGGGACTACAGCGATCACGACATGTGATTTTGGTCACGTTATACAAGTATATAAGGAGAAACTCGACGGATCAAGACCAGAACAGATAAAGCGATACACAACAACGTAAAGAGAGAGAGAGAGAGAATGCTATTCAGCATCTAAAGTTGGCTATCCAGCACCCGGCGACTGCGTGAGGTTTTACCCAAACCTGCCTCCGGGCGTGAGCCTCCTCTACGAGTTGGGAAACCCATACTCAGACCGGAGACTGGCGATGCAGGAGCCGGACATTTTTGCCTCGCCGACACGCCGGCCCATTTCAGATACTTGAACGCATCGGAAGGTCAGCATACAAGCTGGACATCCCACGACACTGGCACATCCACCCAGTGATATCAGTCGGCCATCTGGAACCAGCGCCGAAGCCTACAGATGATAATCGGCACAGAACGTAAACGGAGGCCTCTTATTTACTACCTGAATACCTACTTAGTACCTATCTTGTAAGTACATAACTAGGTACTAAGGTAGTTGATACCCGGTGATTTTTAAGTACCTAGTACCTATATACTGCTACTATTACTCTTTTACAATTAATATTATATTTAAACATCTGCTACTACTGTTATTATGTTCCAGTATCCGCTACTATTGGTATTATACTTTAGTATCTGCTACTGCTGGTAGTATATTCTAGTGTCTGCTACTTAGGTATTAATATAATCTCCCAGTACCCGCTACTAGCGGTGATTTAATGTAGTATATGCTACTATCGTCACTCTCTTAATAGCACCGCATATACTGATATTATCGCTCCCGGTCTATTCGTCTTCACCATGCCAGACAGAGCAACGTATTACCACGAAAAAAAAAAAAAAACTCCCACCCAGCTCACACCGACAAGCAATGCTCTTTGGCATTAGCCCCTCCTATACAACAACGCATAAAAAGCTTGGGCCTATGAAATAGTAACTATAAATACAAAGGAACCTAATACGAATGAAAATGCAGTGAGTACATACCCCAAACACCACCAAGGGGTTAGCCCCTGGGAAGATGAAATTGACGAGGCCATCCAGCCTCATCTGGTGCTGGGCCAGAGGGAGCCCCACGCCGGCAAAAGCATTGATGGCCGCGGGGAGTCCATTCTCGGCATTGGCAGCGGCGGCGGTATCTTGGGCGAGAAGCCTACGGACAGACGAAGAAATTTGCGCGTGGGCAGGCAAGGCACACACACACTAGGTAGTAGGTAGTCAGTCAGACAGTGGTAGATACCAAAATAGATAAGCTCTTCCACATACGAGTATACGTATGGTAGCACCGGAACCAGAAAACCCCCAGAAAACTAGCCTCAACACAGGCGCTCCGCGAAAGCGCCATCGGTGATGGCAACATTGGCGGGGGCCGGGGCCGGGGCCGGGGGCATGGAAACGCCAGTAACGGCACGAAGCCGGACGCGGTAGTCGAAAAACGCCTGGCAGAGTCAGGCCAAAAAGACCAGGAAGCCCCCAAACATCAGGGTCAGGGCGACCCATTGGCAGCGTGTGCTTTTGTGGCGTACAAGTGCTGGGTACGTGGGCAAGGTGGGATGGCATTCGACATACGGCAGGGAGGCGGCGGGGACGAGGGGCGGGAGCAACAGCAGCGGCACGAGCTAAGACAAAAATCAGCCAGGAACCAGACATTGATTGGACAAAAACAGGTGCAAGATCGGAGGGGCTGTCGCTAATCCAGGAACAAGGATCGGGAGCGATTTGAAGGAATGGGCCGACCATGTGCATGTGGGGTGCGTCAAACGTACATATGGTGGAATTGACTTTTCGAAGGGGGGAAAGGGCTGTCGGAAGAGGTAGATATTTGGAGTCTGGCTGTCATCGAGTAGCGACACTGAACAAAGCATAAAGAAACAAAAGGTACGCACAAAATGTGATGATGGCTTGGGAGAGGGGAAAAAAAAACCTTTGCGAAAATTGTGCGCGGACTTGGGACTTGACATTTGCGACGGGGCAGAATTTCTTCACCGAACGATGTTCTTGATACAGGTCGCAGCATAGCGTCTTAGTACCCTAGATATAGAGATACCTGAATTCTAAGTGCACGCCTAGATGGCTGCTACTTGATAACAGCGATTGACATGTAATGGGTACCTAGATACCTCTAGATTTTAGCTACCTCAGGTGTGAACCGCCTCACATCTACCTTAGTAGTGGGCAAGTACCTAGGCATCCTCTACTCTGTTAAGAATCTTCAAGCAAGCATCTTCGTGAGGATTGTAGGTTCATTGGCTGTTCCAATCGCCGCGTCAACTCCAACTAATTGGACACAGTCGCCATCATACAACGATGCCTCTCCCTCCAGCGTCACCATCTCTGCTCCCCCGCCCCCCGTCTTCTGTGGCTTCGGCCAGAAAACATCGGGTAAGAGCTTTCAGTCTTAGCTGATGGTGATTGGGATGTCAACTAACAGATGGCAGCCTAATATGCGCTAGCGAAAGCAGATCCGCCGGGCCCGAGAAGAAGCCCAGGCCCAGGCCCAGGCACAAGCGCAACCACAACCACAACCGCAGCCTCAGACACAAGCACAGGCAGAGGCAGAGGCAGAGGCACAGGCTCAGATTCTGGCCGAGGCCGCGGCAGAAGCAGCAGCAACAGAAGCAGCAGCCCAAGGAGAAGAAGAAGAAGAAGAGGAAGAGGAAGAAGGAACCGGACGAGAGGTGGCTGTGGCCCTTTGGCCGGTTATACAAGCGGTGGGGTTTTTGCTTGGCGCGGCCGTATTAACAATCATGTCTATAGTGTTTCACGATTAATATTGCAGAATGTTTGTCCGCTTCCCTCGTATACCCTTGGCCGCTCTCGACCCTTGACTGTACTTCTCTGCTACTTATGCATTATGTGCGTAGGCGTGATACCTTGCTGATGTTGTGCATGTCACTCCTGTTTGATACGAGGTAGATGGTGGTGGTTTCGGAGAATAAGTATATATTTGAGCCGCCTACTATCGGGGATAATCTCAACAAGTGCTACCCGTCCCCAATTGACATGCCGCAGAGAATTAACTATCACTATAGTAAAAAAAAATGACTAAATCTGTCAATTGGTCTTTCACTCTCACCATGGGAGCAGAGGACTGGATAGTCCGCCTTCGAAACTACACCCTATGGTACGATAAAGACAAACACCCTTACGACCTTTTCTGGGAGGGGGAGGGGAGACCAAGTGGTGGTGACCATACAGACCTAAAAATCGGCATTTCCATGTTCTGGCCCAATGGATGCCTCAGGGTGGTAAAGAAGCAGGAAGTATTCGCCCAACTCATTCGCGATGTATGTATCCAACCAAGCGGAGGTCAGAAAAGGTTAGCTCATCAAGTAGATGGTAATTTGAAAGGGAGCGCCTATTCAGCCAGCACCCTGAATTTTACCCATTATTTATAGTAGCATTTATTATAAAAATATTAATGTGATAGCAGGTAGTAGCGAAATATAGATATTGTAGCAGGTACTAGAGAAATGGATATTGTAGCAAATATTGGAGAAATATAGATATAGTAGTAAATACAAGAAAAGTATAAACACAGGAGCAGATATTAGAGAAATATAGGTGTAGTAGCAGATATAACAGAGATATAAATATAGTAGCAGATACCTGAAGAACAGACGTATGTTTCAACGCGTAGTTATTTATAATTTCCTCAGTCTCGGTTGTTTTATTCTCTGCTTGTCAACCTGTCCATGATTCAAGGCCGCTTAAGACTAAGTAGTCTGTTATAGGCCTTCTAATGCGGCCATATTGCCAACATGGACCTGGATTTCATCGACAATGGCGACGACGACAACGCCAGCCAACAATCTTTCCACACCGCCAACGACAGCCTAGATAGCGACAATAGCAACGAATCTTCATTCCATTTGGCTCTTACCTAGTAAGTTTGCCCCCGCCCCCTTGAGGTGTAGTGATGCTTACAGTCCAAAGCCAGGAGACCTCCGACCAGGAAGAAGATGGGATTTGGGGGGCATTTAGAAGCTTGTGTAAGTCGGCCATTCTTCGTCTTTGGCGGGTGACTGACATATAGTCTAGTCTCGAAATACCCAAATTTAATTCCCACTCCCTCGCTCCCTTTCACTTCATCCTCCCCCTCCTGATTATCTATTTCCTACTTCTGCCCTTGTGCCCCCCTTCCTATCTTCGCTGGCTCCTGGCTCACACTATCCCGACATAAAGTCGTGGTGTGTGATGCCATTTTTCTCTCTTACCTTTCACATCCTCACCTGTGACCCCTTGGCAACCCTATGTAGATCTCTGGCTTATGCGCGTTGAGTCAGTAGAGTTCCCTTTCCCTCTGGGTCACCCCATCTTGATATATAGTGGTGGCGCGTGATGTCAACCGCTTCCCTCTTTTCGTATCATCCCCAATCTCCTCTACACCCTGGCTAGGGCTGTCTCGACCCTTTGTCGCGGCGCGCGGAGTCAGCGCCCATACCAAGTACTAATAAGACACATAGGACGTGAATATCGGAACTAACCTCGTAGACTTCAATGGTGGCCAATTTCTTTGTGACGCCGGAGTCGGATGGAATATAAGGGAATTGTATCGGTACCTGGCATACGCACTATTTCCAGTAATAGTTATTTCAAGTGAGTAGTAGAGTCGTGTGTGTCTAACATACCAATATTTATCCATTCATCAAGTTGTTTTTATGCCTTGATTATTGCGATTACTGCTAAGATCGACCAAGACCTCTGTGATTTAATGTATCGAGATACCTCATATCTTCAACGCCCCAACTCGCTTCCCTTTGCAGCATCATTACTTGCCTCTATTTAGTAGAAGTGAATCGTACGATATTATTACGGTTTATAGTGTCATCAATCTGCTGACTACGTTTTCTACGCATAGGAATCTAATGATAACCGGCGCTGCACATGTGTGCTGTACGTAAGATGCAGGCAGGTACCGGGTAGTTCCAACGTATCAACACAGGGTGAAATGATAGACCGCGGTGACCTCCCGCTTAGTGCTTCGCAGCCTACGGATCTTCCAAAAGCCCTGAGATGTCCGTTGTCATAATGAGTAGCCATTTCAGCTGAGGTCGGGACTGTTCCAAGATGCGACATTCCGTTCAGTCGCATTAACCCAACGATCATCCAAGCCTTGGCGGTCACACTCGACCGAATCTCGCCACCATATCAATTTCGGAGTTCCAAGTTCTTAGGCACAACCTAGAATAACCTGGGAGGCATTGCGTATAAAGGTCTAATAGTAAGCTAAATTTGCTGCACAGCAGTACTTTACCAAGTCCCCAAAATATGGGAGCAACATTACGTACTTGTACTGACCTCACAGGAGAATGTGGTAATGCATACATGTAAATAATCAAGGGCGGAGTATTAAATCACTTGAAATGTATAATATGTACAACCCGGATTCTGAAAAAATATAAATTATCCCTAATTTCTGAGCCATATTCATGACATATTAGCACAGTTGGATAGCTTATTCACAGAAGAAGATACTTACAGTAGGGTCAGAGTGATATCTCCGTGGATCTTCGCCTTGAGTTCAATCTCTATATCGAGGTTTAGGTCCAGCCGCAACCTTAGTGCACTGTTGTCATCGCCCTTCTTTGGCTCCGGCTGCTCGTCATGCTGCTGCCGTAACTGCTGCCGTCGCCGCCGCCGTGGAGGCGGAATCTCTTGCTGGCTCAAGGCCATCTTTGCCCCAGGTTTATCCTCTTCGGTCAAGATGCTATCATGGGATCTCTGTTTCTTCCCCCACGCTAGCCCAGTGGACCGACTCTTGGTGGTCTGAGGCAATGCTGACTTAGCTTGGCCAGAGATCTCAGGCTCGTCCTGATTCTTCTCCTCATCTTCATCAGGGCTCAAATCCTTGGATCCTACATTGCGATTGGAGCCTCCAGGATCGCTCTCTTCTCTGCCAACGCTCCCCCCCCTCTCTCCAGCTTTATCAGCTCGCGGCTGCGCTGCCTGGTCTGTATCCTGTAACAACGTGCGGTCTCCGTATTTTTCCTCCATCTTATTGTAGTACTAACAGTCAGTCTAACGTGTGCGAGTAAGTTTCTAGTTATAACCCTGACCTTGGATGACGTGGGTTGCCATGGGGGTTATTTTCCTTTTCCTTTGCAAAGGTGCTTGGGGTATGGGAGAATGGGGGAATGGTTCCTACCGGGATGCAACGATAATAAAGCGGGGGTGGCTTTTCCCTCGATGAACCGCGTGTTGAGAGTACGCAATGGAGTAAGAGCTTTAATCAAGGCCGATGGACCTAACAACCGACGTCATCATTTAGCATCACTACGTATTAGTGTTCTGTGCGGAGTAGCGAAGAAGCTGATCCTACAGCTACTTCGCCCTGCCCGCCCTATAATGCTCCTGTGCCTGAACGAGGCACTGTCCCTCTCGTTTATCGCTCTCTTAAAAACGAGCCACCCTTGACTGCCATGTCGGTCGTTTTCCTCTGTCGTTATTGACCCCCGGACAACTACTTCGGGCGCTAAAGGCAAGCCGGGACTCCAGCTTGAAGAATTCATCACCACAGGGCGAAATCACGATTGTCGCGCGGGCGTGATTAGCTGCGATGGTGTTCTATGGGTGAAGAGGATCATATTCAACGGTTGGTACACACTGCCAAGGTGCATCCAGGCAGAGATATGCACAAAGGACGTCTACTTCTGAGGAGATGTTACATACCTAGTAGGTATGTGTCTTCATACCATTGTCTACTACCCGCAACAAGGCACCGTACCTTTGCCTCTCCTAGTCGCAAATATGCCTCATGGTAAAGAGGGATACCCTTCTTCATCGCTTTCTCTTGTATATCTGTATATCTTGAGCAATTTGGTGCATACCTAGGTAGGACATACTGGGTTGGTTAATTCCTTTGGCAGAATATAGTTTGGGTCTGCAAAGCAGTAGCAAAATATGTACATATCATCTGAGGCAGGATAGCCTTTGGCATAGCTAGCGTAACAAACTATTAATGCAAAGATCAAGAAACATTAAGATAGGCCAATTTCATTCATTCCGTGCTCCTTGAAAGGATGTTGTTCAATCTTGTCGAGATTCCTTATTTGCTCCTTTTCAAGCACACCTCTTACTCTCTTAATCCTAGAAGGTTACCAACGTAGCTGACTGCCTTTGGTGGCGGCCAGGCTAACCCTTCGGCAGTCCTGGCAATCAACTTGACTCCAGGAACACATCAATTTACGTACCCGCCCTGTTCGTCCTTTCCTTGACGCTCAGCGCGAGTCAGACCATGTTGTGATACCATGTCTCCAGCCGATTGCAAGAGACCACCCTGGCCAATCTGGGAAGCCGCAAGGTCGTTAACGCCGTCTTGTAGGGAATCAACTTGCTCAATGTTCGTAACTTTGGCCTGATCCAAGTTGCCTGAGCAGACATCAACATTGGCGTGGGATCCATGTGCTGTTAGATGTAGGGTTTGCAGAATCCAACTCACTCTTGGTCGTGTAGCTGGCTTTATTGTCTTTCGTAAACCATCGAAGATAGATATCCTCTAGCCACGGCACCCACGACTCATATTGCTCGTTGTATGTCTTCTTAGCCCACTCCATCGAGCCGATGGGAATTATTTTGGACGTGACAGCTCTAAGATGTACTGATGTGGGAGATTATGGATTGTTTACGGATCATCCAAAGCAAGGCAGTTGACATGACGTGTCGGTTTCTGGTTTTATAAGTTTTTCTAAACGTCGGCAGTTTCGCCATGTTGTGTCGTCAGAGACTAGAAGTAAGCCTGCTTCACAGAACCTTGTTTCTCAGAATCATAAGGTAATTACCATCAATTCTGTACTCGTACGTCACCTAAAGCCGTGCACGCCTCATTCACTAGGTTGAGCCAATCACATCTAGTGGAGACTCTCCTCCGAGTTGCTGGTAAGGTAAAGTGGAACGAACCCCTAGCTTCAAAGTTCATTAGTTCCCGAACGCTGCGCCTCCAGGCATTTCTCTGTGCACTCGATCAACGTGCGTCATTGAGAACAGGGACCTGCAAAGGAAGCCAAATGTCGTGTAAATGGTCACCTTTACCTAGTAGCTAATGACTTGAATCAACCCGTGCAGCTCCGAAAAGCGTCTACGCCTTTGCCACTTGAGATTGCAATACGCTTGTGCCTTCCCTTCTCTCCGACGACGACCTGTCCCTATGTGGCTCCTATGATGGCCATACAGCGGGATCGGCCCCGATATGGCTGAGGCCACCTCGTATGAGGCATGGCCGGCTTGCTGTTTGGCTAGCGATAAGAACCCTCTCCCCGCAATAGAGATGCAACTGGGCTGTGAGAAGGGAGGGAGGCCACAGGTGATACAGAGATATGGCACATGCAAGATGTTCAAGATGAGACAAAAGGGCAAGCCTAGCTACATGCCACGCATGACAGAATAGGAGGAATTGCGCCAGCTAGACGGAGATGGCATCGGCGTTGTACATGTCACAGTATCCTACCAATACAGATTACTCGACTCTACTTGCACATCTGGTAGGCTGATAGATTCAAGGTTGGATACGGTGGTTGGCATGTACTTGTACCTGCAGATTCCCTTACTAGCAGAATGTGTTTAGAATCCTGGACCGGCATCAAAAGCCGCGGAAAAGGGAAAATAAAACGTCCCTTTAGACTTTCTAAATCCCCTGGCGCAGCTTCAATTCGGGATATCCTTTTCATTCTGCCCACGCCCAGTAGGTCTACCTCTGCCTATCTAAGCTATCGCGATACTCTGTACTCAGTCAGACCAATTCACCTGTTTCTGACTAAAGAATCCCGACCAACCGACGATTGATCATCCGAGCCCCAACAGTTCAAATAACTCTTTTTATAATAAAGAGCATCTAACAAAATCTCCGCCGACAGACCGAATCTCACCACGAGCAAACTCCATTGTCCCGCACGACGGAGCCATGGGCCTGGCAGTACTCGTACTCGTACTCGTCGATGAAAGCGCCAGCATCGATTTCGGAGTCCGAAATTCTTGGTGCCCCACTCGAAATTGACCAACATCTCAAGCTCGAGATGCCAATCGGATCAATCAGGTCGGATCTGACATGCTCCAACAGGGGCATACGGACAAGGTATGGATGTATGGCGGCCCAGCGTCAAGGAAGCGCCAAATGCAGAGTCGGCTCAGGCCATTGGCGTTTGTGCCACGGGCCGAAAGCACTGGATTCAATGTTGACAAGGGCCGCCAAATCATTTGGCACCATATGGACCGCAGAAATGCAACGTCGGGTGGTTATCACAAGCTTGACTCGGACGAAAACGAGCATTTGGCACGCTCTTGTCTATTGCCTAGGCACGGTCTGGAATAATCCAAGAGGCATTGCGCGTATAAAGGTCATATATTGAACATTGATGAATGCAATGATTCGCCACACAAAAGTACCTGACCGTGTGCACAGGTACCTGCATATGTACCGCACTAGAAAAAGTGGCAGCGGGGTACTTTTGTGAAGCGAGGTGCAACGAGATGGACCCAACTGAAAGCAGAAGAGAGGAAGGGGTTAGTCAAAAAAGGAATCATAATGTACCTGATCTACGGAGTACGGAGTAAAGATTGATGGTCATTGAATAATACAATTGACATGTGGAAGCAACTTGGCGGCGCAAAACATCACTACCTTACCAGTAAGTCTAAGGTACCCTGGGTGCTATCATAAAGCGTGGACCCAAGTACTACTATAGGTAAGTACAGGGTGTGCCGTCCCCTGTAGTGCGCTATCAAAAGCGGGCCATCTGCGCTGTAACTCGAATCAGCTGCTGTCAATGGAAGCCTGGAGGTTGATGAGCCTTTGGATCCTTCCATCTCACCCCGCAACCTTCACGACTCACAAGCCGTCGCGATCTCGTCGTTCGTTATACGGTCCGCCAGTTCGTTTCCTCTTCTGGTTTTATTTGTGCCACTTCTTGCAGGAAGAGGATTGCACTGGAAGCATGCATCTTGTATCTCAATCAGCCTTGATTTCCTTGTCCTTTGCTTTGGCCGACGCAGCAACTTCAGCTCCTCACCTGGATTGGAGCACCATAGAATCCAGTCGTGTCTTGAAATATCACGACTGTTACGATGGATATCAATGTGCGCGCCTAGAAGTGCCTCTTGACTGGACCAATAACACCGACACTCGCACTGCCATCATTGCCATTGCCAAACTGCCTGCTGTAGTCTCTGACGATGACCCTAGTTTTGGCGGAAGCATCTTTGTGAATCCGGGGGGGCCAGGAGCTTCGGGTGTTTCTTTTGTTCTCTCAGATGGGCATGATTTGCAGCGGTACGTCGATAAGCCTGGTCGCCGCCACTACGAGATTTTCTCATGGGATCCCCGTGGTATCGGCCGCACGACTCCGAGCTCCGATTGCTTCCGCTCCGATGTCGTGTCTCGCAGTGCGTGGCAGCTTGAGGCTCGTGGAAATGGCGGGCTCGACAAGGGCCTTGACTCCATCAGATATGGCCTCGCAATGTCAAAAGCCTTGTCTCAGCGATGCAAGGATTCGGAGAAGCAGTGGGGAGATGGAATGGCGTTTGTGAATACTCCTAGCGTGGCTCGAGATATGGTCGAGATGCTGGATAAAATCGATGAGTTGAGAAAACGCGAGGGCGACAGCAAAGCACAAGATGACGCCCGTCAAGAGCTCAGGAAACGGACCGAGGAAGATGATGTACCGCGGCTGCAGTATATTGGATTTTCCTATGGTACAGCCCTTGGCAATTACTTTGCAAGTTTATATCCAGGCCGTGTTGGGAGGATGGTGCTCGATGGAGTGGTTCATGCCGATGATTATGCAAATGGTGCTGTAAGTCCGTCACGATATATTTCCCGAGCTGCGGAATTCGATCAACCGCCATCTCTCAAGCTCATACATCAAACTAACCGATTCAGGGCTGGCTTACGAATCTTCACGACACTGATGAAATCTTGGAGGAATTCTGGCGAGGCTGTCACCAAGCTGGTCCATCTGTCTGCACCCTCGCCTCTGATTCAGACACCTCACCTTCTGATATCAAAACGAGATTCTGGTCTTGGGTGGCCGATCTCGACGACATGCCGATACCCGCGCTGTCTTCTTCAGGCACTATAGTCGTCATCACTGGCGACGATATCCGTAAACTTGTTGGCTCTTCCTTCTACAATCCTATTCGGACCTTCAAGCTTCTGGCGACGACGCTTCACGAGGCCATGAAGGGCAATACGACCGAGCTCGTTAGTAGCTTGATGAAGTTTGGCCATATGCCGAATCTGGACACCGTCTGCTCCGATAATAACAGCACCAAACCAGCTGGTATTCGCCCCGAGTCTCAGTCTGCTGTCATCTGCGGTGACGGTGATGATATCACTGACAAAGATGCTGGCTGGTGGCTCAAGTATGTCCAGCGTCAAGTGAGCAAGTCGAAGCTGTTTGGAAGCTATTGGTCCAATATTCGCTTCAGCTGCTCCAGTTGGCCGTTTCGCCCCAACCTATCGTTCAAGGGCCCCTTTACAACCCCCAAAGCGTTTCCCAATCTAGTTGCGGGCCACCCGGCCGCTCCTCTGTTGTTTCTGAGTCCCCGTCTTGACCCAGTCACGCCACTGAACTCGGCCCGCGCAATGGCTGCCAACCACCCTGGCGCGGCAGTCGTCGTTCAAGAGTCCATGGGTCATTGTGTTATTGGCACTGCCCCGAGTGATTGCACTAAAAGCATTGTGGCTGACTATTTTGAGTCTGGAACTGTTCCATCGGAGGAAGTAGCATGCAAGACAGAATGTGGGCCATGGGATGACAGCTGCAGTGGCTATTCTCCCGCAGCCGCAGGCACTGGTGAGTTTGCAAGCTGGCAACTCTGGGGCAACCCTCTCCTCTTTCGACAATGACTCAACATTTGAGAAACAACTCCCGGCGTTATATCAAGAAAATGATTTTAGTGCATCTGGTACCGATTTCGCATCATGGCATAGTGAACAATCCATGCGGAAGACATTTTCAGGTACTGGAGAGTTACGATATACGATACCAAAATTTTTCAGTTAGTTCGAATAGAATCACAGTTAGTATAATCAGGCTACAAATTCCGGCTCTGTTGTTATTTTCTTCAATTCTACTTTGCAAATATGGCCAATCGCTGCCATCCATTACACAAACTTATCTCTATATGGTGAACAACGGTGTGAAGTGAAACAGGCCATTTAAATACTTGGTATTCAGAGAAGCCACAGTTCAACGATTCACTAAGCGAGAAGATAATTTTCCAACTGAAACACTATTGTAATAAAGTATTCCATGATCTATGAGAATGACTCTTACCCGTCGGGTCATCGCATGTCATATAGCTGCCTTGCTATCAAAGCTAGCAAGAATGCATGTATGCACGACGTGAGACGAACTGATTCAATTTGAAGTTTAAAACTTGGAAAACAATTACACCAAGATAATTCCTTATTTAATCTTGTGATTTATACCCCGTAAGATATTCTGAGTAACACGATGACACCGTCTTACTGCATTGGCGAGATCGCGGAAGACTTCCGGACAGCGAAACTCACCGCGCGCCTGTATGATGAATGATTGTGAATTTGGTTCTTCTGGTATCTACGAGAATCAACTGTTTTGATAAGATTATAGACATGGCAGTTAAATGTGAATGGATTCTAGATAAGCTACTTCCGGGCTCCGAAGAAGACGACTTCCGGATTCCGAACATCTTCCTCCACGATAACCTCGTTCCGGGTTCCGGCCAAAATAATGCATGGATTAACGGTCACTGTCAGGATACCTGACCATGTTGGAAAATATCTGACTTCAAACTCAAGAGTAAGAAGATCAAGTCTCAATTGCGAATAGTTTGTGATGACTCAGGTATAAATATGAGCACAACCCATCGTTAATTTCAGATTCAAACCACTGAACAAGCTTTCACTGGCAACTCTTTCAATAAATCAATATCCCACTTAACATATACATCACAATGGTTACCTCGAGCCTGATTGCTTGTCTCATCGCGTTGGCGGGTGTCGCTGTGGCGTATCCAGGTATGTTTCCAACTTTTGCAGTGCATCACTTTTCTAACACAACACGCTTCAAATCGCAGCTCCCCCAGTGGCTGAAAGCCACGCAGTTTTTCGACGATGTGGACCTCTTGAGGTATGCTCTGACTCAAAACTGACAGGTGAGACGATCGTTACCATATGGTTGAATTCAGCTGATCAATTGCTCATCTCCGTCAGCGGCGCAAGAACCTGCACCCGTTCGAAGGTGTGGACCTCTAGAGTTTTGTCCCGATTCGGAGCCAGTGGCACCCGTTCGAAGATGCTTGCCTCTGGAGGTTTGTACCGATTCAGAGTCAGCAGTGGATCAGTAAATGTGATATCATAGATAGAACAAGACATCGGCTAGAGAGATATTTGTTCTTGATATGGCACCAATTACGGACTGGTTTTATTGTAGTGTAGCAGAGTTGAGAGGATATGGGGATGCGAAGTCGTGTTGGGGGATTGTGATACTTTTATAGCTTATAGAATGGACTTTGATGTGGTAACTCTTTTGTTTTGTCCATATTCGGTGACTTCCACAGGTTAAATACTGTTGAAAAGCAAAAAAGTTAAGTGCCCAGAGGCTATTGAGGTTTATATTTCAACAAATACCGACTCCTCGAAACCGGCCAAGGACAACCACTTTTCGCACGCATTTCATTTAATCCTCCAGAGCTATTAAATCTTTGTAGAAGTTATCGTTCTCCAAACCTTATTGAGGTGTAACTCTACCATCAACCTTCCATTTCACCACAAACTCGCCCATGGTTGGTAGTCTTTAGCCTGCATCAGCTGTTGAAGCTGCCTCCTCCGAACTCCAATATTACCACCATCAAACAGTGAAAACACCGTCGCATCATTCAATAGTCTCGGGAACACTGTATCAGTTTGGTAAGATGTTCTACAAGTATATGTGCGTCAGCCTACTCAACTCATCGGAGGGGTTAATGGGTTGGAGAAATTTAGATTTCTTCCCTCCCCCGGGAATAACTCACATTCCCACCAACTGCATCGTGTCCCAGACAGCACTGACGGCCTGATCGCTGCAATAAATTTTGGCCTGCAAACAGGCTTCATATCGGCTGCTGTCGTCCCCAGTTCCTTTTTCAACGCCATCGAGAGCCTTCCACGCGAGGAGACGGGATGTATCGATCTTGATCTTGGCGTTGATCAACAGGTCGGCTGGGCTTTGCCTCTCTATGACGAGCACCGTCCCTCTGCGGCTGTCTTCTTTCGCAAACTTCAGGGCTGCTTCAAAGGCTGCCCGCATCGTGCCAACTGCCATGGCACCCGCTAACGCAGCGGACATGCTGAATGCCCGCTGGATGATGGATGCTCCGCTCCCTGGAGCTCCTAATACGTCTGCGACCGGAACTTTGAAGTTAGTGTACCTGGTCAGTGGCCCAGAGGCCGCGGTATGGCCCATAAGATTCGGTTCTGCAATCTTTTGATACGCCTTGGGCTCATTCTGAGCTATCGTATCTCTTGTAACTATCAAGACAGTGATGTTTGACGCGGGATCATCGTTTGGGTCTTGAGGTCCACCATCCTCGGACAACCGACAACAGAGACACGCGAGCGCAGCACCCTTTCCATCCCAACCAGCGCTATTAGTAGTCCATAACTGCGTGTAGTTGCAAAGCATTAACGAAAGCATGTACTATTTAATTTGATGAACGCGGTTGGAGTTTCTTACTTTGTCGCCATTTACAACGTAGTAGTCGCCTTCTTTCCGCGCAGTAGTTTCCAATCCTTTGCCACCCTTTTCAAGCCAGTTGGCAGTGCCACCTGGTTCGGAATGGGCCAAACTAGCAAGTGGTTCGCCTTCGCAAGTGAGAAAAGGAGCAAGGAATTTCTTTTGCTGCTCTGGCGTGCCGCCTAGAATCAGGGGCATTAACCCAAGTCCAGTGCCTAGCACATGAAGCATAATGCTCGAATCGATTGCATAGAGCTCTTCTGCAACAATTGCGCCATCTATAAACGACTCATTGCTCCCACCGAGTCCAGTTGGAACCTGAGCCTTTACAAAGCCGGCTTTCACAAGCTTTTGGTAAAATGGCAGAGTGGCTTGGAATCGGGATTCTTGGTCGCTGTATTGAGAGTATATTTCTCGAGCAGGTAAGAGAATCTCTTTGCCGAATTTGGCAGCTTCCTCTCGTAGAGCCTTTTGTTTATCGGTTAAGCTAAATCCAATCATGTTAAATATTGATCAAAAAAGGAGAAGCTGTGATATCGGTTCTTAATTGGGAGAAAACAGAGTTATGTGGTGTTATGGTAGAGCGACATGGCACGGTCCAAAACAGAGAAAGCTGCTCTGATCAGATGTTATATATATACTGAACAATACAAATAGTTCTTCGATTATTACATATGAGTGATTAATCTTTATTACTGGGTAGCGGTACTCGAAGAGGGGCGCTCTTTAACTTCTGCAGTGTTGCGGCCGCCCTCCACGATTCTACGGTTGGGTCGGGCGGTTGGGTTGGATTCATGTAGCTTATGCATCGGCCTATACACCATATTGAGAATAATGTGCCGAAATATATTACGCTTACTATGGAAGATAGGATGTATAGTTTGTTACTTCATGTACCAGCTATAAAACATACAGTCTCATTTGCTTGTTTCGATAGCCTTTGTACAACGGATCATTGTGCTCTATTGAGTTCAGATTGTATGAAGTTGTCTGATGGGGTCCCGTGGTTTCGGATATAGGCCTAGTAGGCTGCCTTAACTACTCTACTGGGGAATTTGGCTTCCGTTGCTACACAGTCCTCTCGCCCGACTATTTCATGGCTTCTACCATATGTCTTAGGTTAATACCCACTGAAGTAGTTGATATGTATCAGCTGAGTAGTGATGGTTTCTTTGAGCTAATTATACTCTTAGTTCAAGACTATACTGACACGAACACATTAGCCACTTCAACCCCCATCTCTTGAACTTCGTCTATCCAACGCATCCGAAACAATAAGTGTAAAATCATCGATGTGTATTAAGTTGATTAAATAAACACTCCATATGAGAGTTTTATTCATTTGAAATACATAATGTGACCCAGCACGTCCAAGACGGTGACTTCGAGTCATAATCTTCAAAACGTAAACTCAGACAAACCAACCATCGCCAACCCCGCGGCTGACAAAAATGAGCCAACTACGGAGTAGACCAGAGGTATATGATGATGACCTGACGAGTGATACCCACTGCTTACGAACATGTATAGGTAGTCACCACCATGTGGGGTTTGCCTACTCGGCAGATAATTACGTGGAAGTGATTGGTGTCCCAACATATAGCCGTGGCCTGAAGGATGGTAGGCGTGAACAAGTTGCCCATTAGCGTTGCTCTCTTCTAAGAATATGTGGCGAGTGGGTTGCATTCTTGAAAGGAGATTAGTGATTTCATAGGAACAGTTGCCCACCGCTCAGCGCTGACTTGTGGGAATTTTACCCCTCAACAGGAAGATGTGAACACCACACCCATTCTTCAAGAGTCTCTCAGTCAGACTACCTTTCTGCTGCAATCACACTTCATCACCGCTTAGTTTGTGAATACTCCCTAGAGCGCATTTGCGTACCCAAGAAACTGAGAAGATATCGTGTTTTCGGCAAAGAGAGCCTCCTTCATAGTAAGAATCTGGTGAGATTGCAGCATACTAACCATTCAAAGTATTGAGATGCAATTAACAAATACTCTTGAATGGTAAGTTGCCGCTTGGCTATGTGCTGTACGGCAATGTCTTGATGAAGTAATTTTGTCGACTGTGACGCGGTTTGCATCGTAAATTCGATCCTGGCTGCTCATTCTATACATACTTCAACCCTTTCAATGCTACTAGAATG